CAGTCCTCTATCTTGATTTTAGAAGGATGCATTGTTAAATCTCTGTTTTGGAGCTTGTATTTATCACAAGGTCTCTATTTTTTTGATGTATATGTATCTTGAATGCATGTAAGACACATGTATATTATGATAGTAGTTTCTTTGAATCTTAGTACTTAAATGTTTTGCATTACGCTATTAACCTTTGGTGACTAGATCATTGCAATGCTAACATCTGTTGCAGATGATTTTCATCATAGACTGATGACTAATGGACAAGAAAAAACCGTTTATTGTTGATTGTTTGTTTAGTTAAAATGGACAATTTGATTTCCATGTTAGTTTGTTGGTGTGTTAGATTAATAAGATCTGTCTGGTGAACACATCTCTTTTACGCTGGTTGCCTGATTGTCTGTTCTTTGTTAATACCGATTGTGATCTTTGCTACCCTGGTACGAGTCGTGGGATGGTACCATCTAGACTTTTGCTTCTTGATTTTTAAAAATTATTAGTGTGGTAAGTTTATCTTAAATATCTCTTAATGTCTATGATTGTTACATTCATTGATAACCTTTTTAAATTGCGATTATGAATCATACGTTGTTGATGATTCTTGTGCTAGGTTACATGTAAATTCTACCGTTGACTTTCGTTTTTTGCAGTAACAATGGTTGAAAATATCTCTCTTTATGGTACTAGTGACTATTGCTTGGTCTTTTAGTCTTAGTTGATGAATTTCGAATAACTGATAATGTGCAATTGATGTTTCTTGATTTCCCTTATGTTTTTGTTGTTTTAATAACACTTTTCTGTGACTGATGTCAACATCAATAAATTTCCAGTAATCTGATTGTTTGCTGCTTCAGGTCAATATTCTGTGAACCTTAATTTGTTACACTTGGATGATTTGGCAAAATCTTGCTTTCTGTTTGATATTAGGGAAAGTAGCGCTTTGATATTGAACATTTTAAGATTTTCTCTTTTTTGTATTTTGATGTTAGTTTTGTTGATTAACGAGCTTTGTTAGCTTTCTATTAGACTAGATGGTGAACACATTTGTTTCATTTTTGTTAGGTTGTGATCTCGGCTTTCGTATCAGTCTAATGGCTTTTGCTTCTTGATATTACGAACAATTAGTGTGGTGAATTAACTGAACTTTCTTGAAAATATATTTATTTATTCTTGTATGATAATCCAATTAGAATTCATCATTGTCTGTGATTGGTATCCGTATTCACCAATACTATTTAATCCAATTAGAGTTCATCAAAGTTTTGTTTGAACCTCAGGTGATTTCTTGTTTATAAAATAGTATTACTTGGTCTCTTAGTTGATGAATTTCGAATAACTATTGAAACTACTAAAGTATTTATTTACAATGTGCAATTGGTTTTTCTTGATTTTCCTTTCATGTTTTTGTCGTTTTAACAACAGTTTTCTGTGATTGATGTCAACATCAATAAAATTCCAGTAATCTGATTCTCTGTGCTTCAGGTCAATATTCTGTGAACCTTAATTTGTTACACTTGGATCTTTTGGCAAAATTTGGGTTTCTGTTTGATACTATGGAAAGTAGCGCTTTTATAATATACATTTTAAGATTTTGTGTTTGCATTTTGATTTCAGTTTAGTTGACTAACGTATTAGCTTTCTATTAGACTGATGGTGAACATGTACACTTCTCTCATTTTTGTTTGGTTGTCCGATACAACCAATAATGATCTGATGAGTATTGCTTCTTGATATTACGAACAGTTAGTGTGGTGAACTGACTGAACTTAGTAGTAAAGGATTTCAAGTCCTTTCTAGTCCATGGACAAAACTCTGACAAATTAAAGCAATGACCTTTTAATTTGAAACGCAAATTCTGCTTTGCGTTTTTGTTTCTTTATTCTGCTTTGTGTTTTACTTCCTTTCTAACAATCACTTTTAAATCCTTTTAAACCATCACATTGTGGACATGATTTATGCATCATGATTTATGCATTGCATTTGGATTTAATTATGTGAAAAATAAATTTTAATTTTAAATGTAAATAATGTTTTGAGTGTTTCAAACTAATTCTTTTAAGGTAAAAAAATATATATATTAACTCTTAGAGCATATCTTCAGTGGTGTATCTCAAAAATAATAAGAGTATTTTTTGAGTTTGTGTTCTCAACAATAATTTGTTTTTTGATATAATTTAATTTAAACACTTTATTTTAAATTCTGTTCTTTATTTATAAAATCTTTAATTAATCTTTCAAAATATCAAAATACATATTAAATATACTTAATTATAATAATTAGATATATTTATTTCTATTACAAAATAATTAGTAAATATTCTTTAAATATACTTTTGAATGACATAATTAAACATACAATTATATAGAGTAAACTTAAAATATAAAAACTCAGTTTTTCTGATATTTAATGCTATTGTATTAACTTTTTTTTAACTTTTAATCTTTATTTATTAAATCTTTCATTAATCTTTCAAAATATCAAAAAATCATATTAAATGTACTTAATTATACTCCCTCCGTTTCAAAATACTTGTCATTCTAGCATTATTTTTTTTATTCAAAATAGTTGTCGTTCTCACTTTCCAATGCAGAAATTTATATTAAATACCTGATTTAACCTTGATCTAATGAAGAATACTAATAGTCAATTTACTTTTAAAGGATATAAGAGAATTTTTAATCTTTTTTATTAAACTGCGTGAAATTTCCTAGAACGACAAGTAAAAAGAAACGGAGGGAGTATTAATTATATATATTTAATTATATTAAAAAATAATTTATAAAACTTCTTTAATTATACTTTTGAATAACATATTTAAACAGAAAAATTATATAGAGTAACTTATTTTGTCGAGTATAATTTAAAAAAGTTGAGAAAATTGGCAAAATACACAGCTTTGGGAGAATCTTTGTCCCAATACACAATTTGAAGAGATTTTTGTCCCACTACGCATTTTCTAAAATTATAATCCCTTTTTACCCTTAAAATTGATTAAAGTAATTAACCCCTTAATTGAGATATTTTTAATTAAACATAAAAGTGAAAATATTTTCTTTCTTCCCCAACATCTCTCCTTTCTTCTTCTTCTCAGACATTTCTTTTCTTCTGCGACATTCTTCTTCTCCACGTTGCCGTCTCTTCTCACATAATTCCCACATGATTTCCAAACACCACAAGTAGCACAGATTTGCAACATAGTAACTAAGAGAAATAAGAGAAACTAGTAAGCTTTGTGTATAGGAGAAGAAGAAGAAGATGAAGATTATGATTAAGAAGATGGGATGGAGAAGAAGTTGCTACAATTTCGTCGTGGGAGTGTTGAGATAAAAAAAAGGAAAGAAAATATTCAAAAAATATTTGTTAATATTCTCTAAGATTTCCGGCAGAAGATGATTTCTACATTTGGTAGAAGACTGTATTTTAGCAGAACATGACTCTACCACATGGTAGAAAAGTGGTTTTTAGTAGAATACGAATGGTAAGAGATAATGTATGTGGTAGAATACGAAATCTACGAATACGTAGAAGGCTGTGTTTTACGTAGACAACATATTCTAGAACATGTAGGAATATTTGTTTTCGGCAGAACATAACTTCTACCCAGGGTCGGGCCTGAGCCTATTCTAACAATTCTTTAGAATGGGACCTCAGTTTGTTTTTTCTTGTAAATTTTAGGGCCCATAAATTTTTTATTTTTTATTTTAGTTTAAAAATTCAGTTTTAAGGCCTCAATTTTCCTCTTTTGAATGGGACCATTAAAAGTGGGGCCCGGTACTGCTTCTACCAAATTTACAAAATGGCAGAACATAGAGTAACATGTAGCACTGATATTCTACTAATAGTAGAGGTATCATATATTATAGAACTCGTGTGCTACGGAGGGAAGATGTGTGTAGAAATGGTAAACATCGAATTCTAGGGCCAGTAGATATTATAGAAACGAGTGGAATACATATTTTACTTTGAATTTCAGAGTTGGTGGAAGAAAACTTCAATATATTTTTCAAAAATGATATTGTTGAAAAAAAATTGTGAAAATATTATACAAAGTCTTAAGATCATTTATCTGATTTTTAGAAATATTTTAGGTTTCTAAAATAAACTATTTCATATTTTAAAATATATAAAGGGTATTAAAGACAAAAATAGGTAAAAATATGAAAATATGTATATGGACAAACCTTCTTTTTTTCTGTGTATAATCACAATTCTCCCAATAAAGTTTGATGGTCCTTACATGACTCGATCATAATGTAGTGATTGACTATATCGTTATCCCGGTGAATGTACTGTATTTGACATGATCATCAAACTTTTGGCTCTAAATATAATTATATCAAGAGCTTGGTTGACAAAATCTAATATATTTTCATTCGGTAGTTGTTCTCCATTTTACTGTATTTGAAAAATCTGACATCTCTTTTCCAATCTCTAGGGTTCATCTTCCTTGCTTTCGGATATGACTTTGACGAGTTGGTGGCTGCTATATCGATTAAGGGGTAACACCACACCAGTTAGATTAAACACTTAGGTAACAAGATCTTATCACTGACGAAGTTGCACACAGCCGCGCTACATGATTAATTATGGACTGGTTATACCAAACGAGCGACCAATATCTTTAGAGGTATGATCTCTTTGTTATTCAAGCTCAATTTTTTTAGAAGACTTCTTATATCAGTTTTGGACCATTCTTAGGGCATCTCCATCCCTGGATCTAAAGAAGGTTTTAAAGAAAAAAACTGATTTAAAAAGAGATTTAATCAAACAAAATTTTAAACTCGAGTCTTAGGTAAAACCCAGCTCTGTATTTTAGAACCCAACACGTGTCACCACGTTATGAACTGAGGGTTTAACCGACAGAAAAAAAAACTCATTTTTGAAAAAAAAAACGAGGAGAGGGATTGTCGTTCACTCGTTCGTTCCACCGATCAGACAAATTCGATGTTGGAATCCGCCGAACGGTGAAGAAGACAGAGTTGGAATAGCAGAATTCGCACGGCAAGGCATGCCGGTGGTTGAGATCGGAACAGTGATTTTGGCGGAGGTTTTAAGGAGGACGTTGAGTGGAAGACCTTTGCTTTCTTCCATACGTTACTTCCGGAGAATCACTTGGGCACCGAGTGAGGCATGTTATTTTTCTTGTGCCTTTGATTCAAGACTGGTTATTGGTTTGATGTAATTGTATCATTTAGATGTTGATGGATTATTCTGTTGGCAGATTAATGAGCCTATTGAAGTTAAGATTACAGAGTGGAATACAGGAGGGCTTCTCACCAGGATTGAGGTACTAGAATTTGTCGTCTTGATTTTTGGGATTCATAAGGGTAAAACTATTATCTTGCTAGTAATTCAAAGGTATGAGTCCAAGATTAGTTTATCATAAACATACATTCTGATAAAATTCCAAATCGTGGATGCTCATAGTATTAATATTGTACCATGCTGGAAGACTTTCAAAAGTCTTCATTACTCATAAAGCACCTTCAACGTTTTCTCTAATCTCTTCATAGTGCTTCAATAATGAATATGAAACGCATTGTGGTTTCAGGTAATGGAAAATATGAAAAACTTCACAAACTAGAAGAACTATGGCTCAGAAGAAACCGTATCAAAGTTGTTAACCTGTGTGGGCACCTGTATAGAAAAAATTAGCTTGCAGAGCAATTCCATGAAAGGTCTGTTAGTTTTGTGGATTCATTGCCTTGAAACTTTTTGATGTTTGTGTGTTGAAGGTTAGTGATGGGGTTCGGACAGCTAATCTTATTGTTATATGTTCTCTTTTCATGTGATGTCCTTGTTTCTTATCGAGAATTTGTTTTTATACATTCAAGAGCTAATCCTATTGTTATATATATGTTATGTTTTCATGTGATGTCCTTGTTTCTTATCTGAGTTTGTTTTTATACATTCAAGAGCTAATCTATTGTTATATGTTCTGTTTTCATGTTAAAATTATAAATTTTGGAAAAGATAATTTTTGTTTTAAAAACCCTATAAATGGTTCTATGAAAAAAAAAATTAAGATGCAACACAAAAGTTGTTAAGATAAAAAGTTGATGGAAATTTATAATAAAATACTTTTAAGAACTAAAAACATGGTTTTAGGAATGGAGATGGTCTTAATATAAAATTAAATTCCAATAGTCTTATTAGGGGTGTCAAAATGGATCCAAATCCATGGGTTGACCCAATCTATCTTATCCATTAATCCAAATGGATTAAAAATTTGGATCCAAATGGGTTAATGGTTCACATGGGTGATGGATTAATTGGATTGGATTGAAATGGTTTGGTTTATAATGGGTTAGATTAATGGTTAAATCACTTCATTAAATTATTCTAAACAAATAATTTAATAAATAAAAGAAAAAAGAATGGTTTATAATGGGTTGGATTAATGTTTTTTCTCACATAATAAATCCAAAATTGTATTTGGTTGGATTTGAATACAATACCATAAAAGAATTTTACAGTTTTGACAAAAAAAAAAACGATTTTACAATTTTGGTATAAATCGCAAAATCATGGGTTTTCCGCAAAAACTACAAAATCACGGGTTTACCGCCAAAACCGCAAAATCACGGGTTTCCACCAAAATCGCAAAATCACGATTTTTCGCCAAAATCGCAAAATCATGTTTCCCACCAAAACTGCCAAAACTGTCTTATCCAGTTGATATAATTGTAGGGTCATCTACCATCAAGATTTACAAGTACCCGAACAATGAAATTTGAAAAGGCTCTACTAAAATTTTGGACAATGCATCAGCTATTAACCAAAATTGCAATGGCCTTAAAGTTTTCGAAGGTTTCTTTGTTTTTTAAATTCCTCAATTTATATTTTTTAGAATATCATCAGGTTTTCTGTTTTCTATACATTTAGTAGAACCTAAGGTCAGGACTTTGTCAAGTTTGTGAGCGTAAGAAATGGTTTTGGTGAAATTGTTTCATTAACTGTTAGTACTATCGACTTCTCAGGGAGATGTTATTTTTATTTGTTATATATATACCAATTTCTCTTTAACCAAATGATCGTAAACGAGATTTCACTATTTCAGTTTTCTTGTTAAAAATATTGGATTGTCAGAAAGTGGAATAAATATATTCCTGAGATGGCAGTTAAAATCTAAAAACAAGTCTCTCTGATTTAAAGAAGCGTTTCTCTAAAAGACTTTTGATACAAAAGCTTGATGTTACAGATGAAACTACCACTGAGGTTATAGTCTCTTCCCTCAATCCTTCTCCTTTCTTGTAGCTAATTTGTTGTGTAATATGTGCTCTTGTGAAACTGTGCCATCGGTGTTAATTAGGAATCAGCGGAATCTGTAAGAGAAAGATATGGTTCTCTCAACCTAATATACAGTAGAAACTCTATAAATTAATACTGTTGGAACGGAGCTATTTGATTGATTTAGCGAGTTATTAATTTATCAAGAGATCATTTGTATCAAAAACTTAATTTGGGACCGGAAAACTATGTTAATATATCGAGTTATTAATTTATTGAGTATTAATTTATAGAGTTTCTACTGTAAATGCAACCGGTATACTTTCAATTCCTAGTGTCTTTCATTTCTTGACTAATCAATTGCGTTGAGTTTTAACGAAATGTTAGAGAGACATTAGTTTCTGTGCCTTTTTTTCTCCTTTTGATCTCGGTACAGAAACAACATTGAACAAGGTTGACAAGTCATCTCCTTTCTGATGCTTGCTTACGAGGTTAATATCACTATGGAATCATCAACAACAAGATCTTTGATCCAGGATATCCATTGAGTTTACAGGTAAACTCAACACTCTAAAAGATTCAGAACAGACGATGATACATGCTATCTTTCAGTGCGAGGATTTGTTTTTGTGCACCACCAAAGACAAAAGAATCGGTCAAACCAGGTGGATCCGGATCAAACCCAGTAATCATAACTCAGTTGACTATTCGTATGCTCTAGGATACGAAAACAACAAGAACAAATTAATATTCTTGCGATAGCTTCAAAATCTTGAGGTGTAGAAAAGATGACGGTTTCTTGGTGGACGAGGAGAATGAAAAAGTCGTGTGTAGTGCTACAGACACCAAAAATGGAAACAAGACCGTAATTTACATTGTTGGAGGAGACGAGAACAAATTCGTGGAGAGATTGCACAAGGACCAGCTGATGACTGTTGGCCATTTCTCGATAGTTATGTTCCAAGTTCGGTCAAATACAGCAAGTAGCTAGAGGCATCATATAGGTGACTTATTTTAATGACCCTAGTTTGTTTTTCTGAACGAGATTAGTCAGGTTATTAATTCTTTCAAGCGTGAAATTATCTATGGAATTGCCATTTTCATCCCATGTCATGGTTATCAGAAAAAATGATCTTAGCGGCTCAATCGTGTGATGATCAGTTATTGGTGAGATCCTAAGCTTGGCTTGGTTAGAGAAGCCAAGGAAGAGGGATATCTCTTTATGAGATGGCTAAAATGAGAGAAACCAATGACTAAAATGAGCGTTTGTCCTGTTTCAGGTAGGATCATGTTTCAAATTTGAAGTGAAAAAGAAAGTTTTCTTAAGCTACAAGCTACTGATATTCAGAAAGAATAAGCTTTTGCTTAAGGTTGAGCTAGTGATTTATCTCACTGGTTCAGAAGATTTGACAAACCTTAAAACAGAGTTAACATGATAAAGAGAAGGAGGCCAAGAAATCAATCATCGTCTTTGAAGAAGATAGGTTAGTTGGTTACATGTCGAGCAGTGCCAACTTGACAAGGAAAACGAATTAAAAAATCAAAGAGCTTAAGGTGAAGTAATGTTGTCAAAGATGAAAGAGAGTCTGCATAATTATAAAAGTTGCTAGAAAAAAAAAGCATATTTCCACACAAGAGAAAACGGAGTGACAACACTTTGACATAAAACCAAAACGAAACTAACCTCTGATTAAGCTTAAACAAGCGCAGGATGCTATCTCTTAAAGACATGACACAGACTCACAGTTAAGTATTGCGTGGAACTTGGTTAAGTGGGTTTGGTTTTTATTTGAAACCATTCAACACACTTAATTACATCAACTTGAGATTCTCCACATAGTCTACAAAGGTGTAAATACTATGACTACGATGCTCAAACTCTTCACATCCCTGAATATTGACTCTTGTAGAAGTATTCCTCTCGAGATTGTACAAGTAAAACCAGAAATGTTTGTACGACGACCACACGATTTCACCTGTACACGTCATTCCAACAAAGTGAAAATCCCTGAAGTCATCTAAAGGAGGCAATTCGTAGGTCTGCTTGAACCATTTATGACTTTGAGCATCTTCTATAACCCACAACACAAGTTCTTCATCCTCATATGTTCCCTCATGTATACCTAATTTACCTTTGTAGTTGAAGAAAGTCAAGTAATTACCACATAAATCAGAATCAGAATAATCTACTGCCATGTCCTTATCCAAGTTAATAAAGCCGAACTTCTCAGACCTCACGTCAAAGCAAACTATCACCGAAGATTCTCCCATCTTAGCTCCGAGATACAAAACACCATTTATGCATATTCCATCACCCACTCTCTTATTCCTCATAAAATGGAATTTGCATTTGATCTTTCTCCACAAACGTTTTCCAGACTCCAATGTCAAAACCTGATGAGTGTTGGGTCTTTCCTCGAGTGACGAGGTCATACACAACACTTTGAACCGTTTGTTGATCGGATCATAGCCAAGAGAGATTCCTGCAATCTTTTCTCCCGCCGTGTAACTACTCTCCATTTCAAGAAGCAGTTTGGGTAAGGTTAGGTACTCTCCCGTGATAGGGTTAGAAATCACTCTCTCATGTATTATATAATCCTGATGAAGGGCCAATCCACATACTGGAGCACCTAATAATGATGAAAAATATGTGGATAATGGCGCATGATAACATGTGGCTACAAGAGTAGAGTTATCATCGGGATTTTGAGGTTGTGGTGATGAGTAGAAGAACAACTTGTAATCAGCTTTCACGGTGAAAAAGAGCCTTGGACGAGTGGAAGACTTGGTCAAATACAACTCGGTGAAGTCAGGACGACGGAGTATGTATCCCCAGAATTTCGATACGCAACGAAACCTTGCTATAGACTCTCCAGGGACTCGAGAGAATATATCCATGAGTAGATCAACTGGGATTGGGTCAGAGTAGAGGTGCTGCTGCTTTTCATGGCGTGTTTTACAAGCCCTAGATCAAAGCTTTCAAGATTTTAGGGTTTGTTTCTCTCTCTCTTTCTTACTGACTTTATATGCAAGAATTCTAGATGGGCTCTATTATAAGGCCCAAGACATACTGAGTAAAACTAAAACCCAGCTGCAGTATACTGTATTCTCTCATTGATTCGACTTGGTTCTATCTAATTCTTGAATCAATAATTCTGACTTCAAGTATAGTTTTATCGGTGGTCACCTGACAAAATGTACGTGTGGGAGAGAATGAAAGCAGAGGAGAAAAAAGCATTGAAGCAAGAAAAACAAAACGTGGAACAAAGAATCTCAGAGACCAGAGTTTACCAAAAGAGAAAAGAAAAAAACGAATCCCAAAAATCAAAATATCAAAAAGAAAAAACCTTTACTTCTTTCTCTTTCTCTTGCAAATGATAAGAGAAGAATCAGCTTCTTCTTCTTCTGATCGAAACTCACTCCACACTTGTCCTCAGCTATGGGATTCGAGAGCTCTTCATCAGCTGCAAGCAACATGAAACCTCTCGGTGGCGATTCAAGACCTCAGAGATCCAATACTGCTCAATACTCCGTCGACGCTGGCCTCTTCGCTGATTTCGACCACTCCGTTTACTCCGGCAAGTCTTTCAACTACACCAAATCTGTGATTTCCCCTGCTAACAACGTTCCCGATGAACACATCACTGCTTATCTGTCTAACATCCAAAGAGGCGGTCTTGTTCAGCCCTTTGGCTGTTTAATCGCCGTGGAAGAGCCTAGCTTTAGGATACTTGGTGTTAGTGAGAACTGTATTGAGTTTCTGGGTCTGTCTCTTGCTTCGAGCTCTCAATCTAGCGACCTCAAGATCAAGGGTTTGTTTGGAATCGATGCAAGGACGCTTTTTTCGCCTTCTTCAGCAGCTTCTCTGGCTAAAGCTTCTTCCTTTACTGAGATTTCGCTACTGAATCCGGTTCTGGTCCATTCCAAGACGACCCAGAAGCCCTTTTACGCTATTCTCCACAGGATCGATGCAGGGATTGTGATTGATTTGGAGCCTGCTAAATCCGGTGACCCGGCTCTGACTCTTGCCGGTGCTGTTCAGTCTCAGAAGCTCGCCGTCAGAGCGATTTCTCGGCTGCAGTCGCTTCCCGGAGGAGATATTGGTGCTCTATGTGATACTGTTGTGGAAGATGTTCAGAGACTCACCGGTTACGACCGTGTTATGGTCTATCAGTTTCATGAAGATGATCATGGTGAAGTTGTTTCCGAGATCAGAAGATCTGATTTAGAGCCTTACTTGGGTTTGCATTACCCTTCAACAGACATTCCTCAAGCCGCTCGGTTCTTGTTCAAGCAGAACCGTGTCCGTATGATCTGTGACTGCAATGCAACTCCGGTGAAAGTTGTTCAGAGTGAGGAGCTCAAGAGACCGCTTTGTTTAGTCAATTCTACACTAAGGTCTCCTCATAGCTGCCACACTCAGTACATGGCTAATATGGGATCTATAGCTTCTCTTGTACTCGCTATTGTGATCAAAAGCAAGAACTCAAGCAAGCTTTGGGGGTTAGTTGTTGGTCATCACTGTTCTCCAAGATACGTTCCTTTCCCGTTACGGTATGCTTGTGAGTTTCTCATGCAAGCATTTGGACTTCAGCTGCAAATGGAGCTTCAGTTAGCAGCACAGTTAGCTGAGAAGAAGGCTATGCGGACGCAGACGTTGTTGTGCGATATGCTTCTCCGTGACACTGTTTCAGCTATTGTGACACAGTCTCCTGGTATTATGGACCTTGTCAAGTGCGATGGAGCGGCTTTGTGTTACAGAGGGAAGTGTTGGCTTGTTGGTGTGACTCCTAATGAGTCACAAGTTAAAGAATTGGTGAATTGGCTTGTGGTGAATCACGGTGATGACTCGACTGGTTTGACAACGGATAGTCTTGTGGATGCTGGATATCCTGGTGCCGTTTCGCTTGGGGATGCGGTTTGTGGTGTGGCTGCAGCGGGGATCTCTGCGAAAGATTACTTGATTTGGTTCAGGTCGAACACTGCGAGTGCTATCAAATGGGGAGGAGCTAAACATCATCCTAAAGATAAAGATAATGACGGAAGAATGCATCCGAGGTCGTCTTTCAAGGCGTTTCTTGAAGTTGCCAAAAGCAGGAGCTTGCCTTGGGAAATCGCTGAGATCGATGCTATTCATTCCCTGAGGCTTATCATGAGAGAGTCGTTTACAAGCTCAAGGCCTGTGTTGTCGTCTGGTGGTGGTAATGTTGCCGGGAGAGATGCTAATGAGCTTACTTCTTTTGTTTGTGAGATGGTTAGAGTGATTGAAACCGCGACCGCGCCTATCTTCGGGGTTGATGCGTCTGGATGTGTCAATGGTTGGAACAATAAAACCGCTGAGATGACGGGGTTGCTAGCTAGTGAAGCCATGGGGAAGTCACTCGCTGGTGAGATTGTTCAAGAGGAGTCACGTGGAGATCTTGAAAGTCTCTTGTGCAAAGCCCTACAAGGTTATAAGCAAAAATCAAGATTTTCTTGGTTGGATACAAGTTTCTTGGAATGTGTTTTGATGGTTTTGTTGTGTTTGTTTATTCAGGTGAGGAGGAGAAAAATGTAATGCTGAAACTGAGAAAGTTTGGCCACAACAATGATTCTTCTTCTGATGTGTGTGTTCTTGTGAACTCCTGCACGAGCCGGGACTATACAGAGAAAGTCGTCGGTGTCTGCTTCGTTGGCCAAGACATGACTAGTGAGAAAGCAATAACAGATAGATTCATCAGACTTCAAGGAGACTACAAGACTATAGTTCAGAGCTTAAACCCGTTGATTCCACCGATATTTGCCTCGGACGAGAACGCTTGTTGCTCGGAGTGGAACGCAGCCATGGAGAAGCTCACCGGGTGGTCGAAACACGAGGTGATTGGGAAGATGCTGCCCGGTGAAGTGTTCGGAGTTTACTGTAAAGTGAAGTGCCAAGATTTACTCACAAAGTTCTTGATCTCTCTGTACCAAGGCATTGCTGGTCATGATAATGTTCCAGAGAGCTCGCTGGTTGGGTTCTTTAACAAGGAAGGGAAGTACATAGAAGCTTCGTTGACCGCGAACAAGAGTATTAACGCCGAAGGGAAAGTTATCAGATGTTTCTTCTTCTTGCAGATCATCACTGGAGAATCAGGTTTGAGCTGTCCAGAGCTTAAAGACAGCGCCCAAAGCCTCAACGAGTTAACTTACATAAGGCAAGAAATCAAGAACCCTCTCAACGGTATCAGGTTTGCGCATAAGCTTCTTGAGTCCTCAGAGATTTCGGAGAACCAAAGGCAGTTTCTGGAGACTAGCGATGCTTGTGAGAAGCAGATCGCGACAATAATCGAAGGCACAGACTTGAAAAGCATAGAGGAAGGGTATAAAGCATTTAACATTTTGAAATCTTGTTACGTTCTTGAATCTTGAAAACCAAATGTGTTTTTTTTGTTTGATATCATATCAGAAAGCTGCAACTGGAAACAGAGGAGTTTCGAATCGAAAGCATCTTGGACACAGTCATTAGCCAAGTGATGATTATGTTGAGAGAGAGGAACTCACAACTCAGAGTTGAAGTCGCCGAGGAGATCAAAGCTCTGCTTCTCTATGGTGACAAAGTAAAGCTTCAGCTCATTCTTGCTGATCTTCTGCGCAACATTGTGAATCATGCTCCGTTTCCAGATAGTTGGGTAGGAATCAAGATCTCACCAGGCAACAAGCTTGCGAGCGGCAGTGATCGCTCTGTCCACCTACAGTTCAGGTAAACAACATCCATAGAAACAACTGACAAAATGCATCTAGACTTTTGAGTATTGTAACTAAAAATCGATGTTTGCTTTGTGATAGGATGATACATCCTGGGAAAGGACTTCCTTCAGAAATGCTTAGTGATATGTTTGACACTCGAGATGGATGGGTCACGCCTGATGGGTTAGGACTTAAGCTTTCAAGGAAACTGCTGGAGCAGATGAATGGTCGTGTGAGTTATGTCCGTGAAGACGAACGTTGTTTCTTTCAAGTGGATCTTCAAGTCAAGACAAGGTTAGGTGTAACAGAGGCTAGTTCAAGCATAAAGTAGAAATTTTGAGTTATGAGGCATATAAAATATGGTCCTTTTAGGATCGAATGTAAACCAAATGTATTTATGAAAGTTTCCATTATTTATTCCACAATAAAACGTACTTAAGGATCCTTATGTACATGATTCAGCCACCCAATAAAAAACAAAGCACAACCATCTATTTACATGTCTGTTTCAATCCCCAATTCTAAAGTAAACAGAAGAAAGCCAATCTAACCTGAGAAAACCAGCGAAAAAAAAGAGTTCTAAACACTGCTATGTAGTGTTTTGTCTGCTTCTGTTCATCATCAATTTCATCATCATCTCATCCTAGAAACTGAATATTTACGTTTAAATAGAGACAATAAAGTGATACACTTGAATGTCAGCTTTAATGCGTGCTCTCACTGGGAAGAGGATGAGCAACTTTCGGATTTGAATGCTCTTGGTCCATGATGATCTAGCAAGATATAAATGTATGAGTCAACAGCTAAAAAACAGAGAACGTATAAAGCGATCAATTCAAGGTAGTGTGTTTGTTGTAAGAGATTGTTTACCGGATAACTAGATTCTAGTCCATCAAAGACAATAGGGTGGCACTGCCTGTCTTCGTTCATCAAGCTCGAGTTCTGGAAGTGAGCAATGAGTGCGGTTTTGCCTTGGATCCGTGCATAAGCCAATGAAGCAACTTTCTCACTGTTGAACTTCTCCCATTTTTTCCCATCAAAGGCCTGAGAGAAAGATCAGAATCATAAGGTCATGCCCCAAAATTTACAATCTATCAGAAGCGACACTAAAGACTCAATCAGGTTTTGTACCTCGTACAATGCAATGATGAAAGTAGGAGAGAGCATATTGATAAATGCATAACCCACATTGCATTTATTCTGCACAAAAGAGAAACAACATCAGAGAATTGATCACATGATGTCAGAGATTTCACCACGCAACCAAAGGTGGGTCTTTTACCTTGAAATCAATAGGCAAATATAGAAAATCATAAGTTCCTCTGCTTGTCTCGTCAATGGCAGCTAACAGCATCTTCCGAGTATACCTGAGAACAAGGAAAAAGATAAGCTCTTTCATAAAACTGACCTGGGCGTAGCAAAGTCATAAGGAGAAAATCTTACTTGTTAGGGATGTTTTTGATCATCAAGGTTGTCCGTAAATCTTCACCGCTCATAATCTTACTCAAGTCAAGATGAAACTGTTTCTTGCTGTCTACTTGGTTAACGTTATTATCAAACTGTTGGCTCCTTCCATCCTCCAATGGGCCATCATTGGAAGCCATTTTTGCAACAGGCCATTGGTAAGAGCCAGTGCCCATACACAACTGACTATGTCTTGGAGTAGATAACATTTTGAAACTTGGGGATCCAGTTTCACGCATGTTTCTTGGACCATTCACATTACTGCTTGCTCCTCTGAAAGCCATTGATGAAGTTTCAGGGGATCTCGGGAAGAATCCAGACGGTGCAGATCCTACATGGTGGTGCTGGTGGAGAGACCCGTTTTGAGCCGAGTAAGGAAGCCTGTGAGATTGTCCTTTCGAAAAGAATGGATTCACAGGCCAGGCTGAAGAACCAGGGCTTCCCCACAGAAACTCTGATCCAGACAACGTTTCCACATGACCCTGGTTAGAACCAAACGAGGAGGCAGATCCAAAAGACTGCGTTGGCTGAAAGGAAGAAGCTTTGTGGCTTGCATTAGTATAGCTGCTGTTTGAAAACAGATGATCCAAGTGGCTGACTCTTCTTGCTTGGTCAGCTTTTGTCAGGTTTGCTCCTTGAGAATGCAGAACAGAAGAATGTTCTGGAAAATGCAAGTTTGTTGTTGGGCTCAAGTTTCCAAATATTGGAGACTTGCTGAGACTCTGTAGAGGGTTATGATCGATAGGGCTGTTACACCAATAATTCCCAACAGGAGAGCTGGCTAAAGGTGAATCATCTTGCTCAAATTCCGGATTCAACTGCATCATCATGCTGCAAGAAAATCAAAACAGAAGTTAAATCCTCCGTTACTTAACAGTAAGTTTTGTTCATGTGTGTAGCAATGAAATGCTCACTTTCGACGAGCACCACCAGGACGGCTATGTTCAAGCTTTATACGCTTGCCAGCAATGTCAGTCTTGTTCAAAGCTTTGAGAGCCGCATCAGCTGATCTAACGTCAAAAAATTCAACAAATTTGTGATGCCTCTTATTTGGTGTTTCCCGTATCTGCTTTGTCAGAACTTACACAAACGTTAACCATCATGCAGCTCTTGAGAAAAAAAATAACCTAAAACCTCAAGAAAACAACAGAGAAAGAAAAACGCATCACCTCCTTGATCTCGCCATAAGCTCCGAATATATTCTCAAGGTCTCTGTTGGAAACTGATGGGGCCAAGTTGAAAACCACAAGAGTTCCTTGATTAACATCTTTCTCAGATGGATTATCCTATTAAAAATGAAAAACAACAACATACTCAAAAAGAGAATGCAAGAAAAATGATTAAGAAAAGGAGGAAGCAAGAATAAGAAACCTTGGGGATTGAGAAATGTATGTCAAGTTTCCTCCGTTTAAGCAGCTTGCCTTGTAATGCTCGCATAGCTGCTCTAGAAGCTCGAATATCGTAATAAGAGATCATTACAAAACCTCGATGCTTGCAGGCTGTATACAGCGTTCGGATATCTCCATATTGCTGCCAAGAATCGGAAAAACAAACATCAAAGATCTAATCTTTTCAACATACAAACACTCAATCTATGGAATACAAAAGCGAAGCTACCTCAAAAAGAGATATCAACTCTGAATCGTCAACGTTACTGTTAATATTCCTAACAAACAGAGTCCTTGAAGGATGTTCACCATAAGGATGTTCGCCAGCAATCGACCCCACTCCATTTTGGAAAATGTTGCCATTGTCAAAGTTCGAATCAGCAAAACCAATCCTTGAGAAGCCCTTGTTTAAGCTGTCATGTGGGTCAGTCTCTAATTCAAGACCTCCTCCGCTACCAAACAGATCATCATAACCTTCAAAGTCATCCAACGTAGCTGGTAATGCAGTCAAGTTTAAATCATCCATTAGACCAGCCAAAAGCTCTTCCTCATCATCAGGAAGCATGCTTCCGATTGGATGTGAGTCACGAACATTGAGCATATTGTCAGTGCCTCCGTTGAAATGGTTTAACCCGGAAGCATCTTCATTAACAGACTGATGGTAGTTCTCGTTAGGATTGACTGCAAGAGATAACGATTAGAAAATAACACAATCTAAAAGCTACTCAAAGAAACAGGCTTTGGGTGTGAATACAGATTTGGTGTTGAAGAAGAGGCAGAGAGCTGGAAAAGAGTGAAACGTCACTTGAAGCATTGAAATTTCCACATCTTGAGAAAGTTCCATTTGGGATATTCATTGCTGATAATATCAACGAACGCTTCACTTTGATCAATTCCAAGAAAGATGTGTTTTTTCCCAAACCTGAGAAGCAAGAACAGGGGATAACAAAATCCAGTATCAATCTGAGAAGCAACTAACAGTTTTCAGCAAATCTCCAAGGAGCTAGCCAATCTCTATAAACCCCTAAACTTTGATACTGCTGAGTTAAAACCCTAATCAACATCATCATCATCATCATCATCAGAGACGTTAGCACCAGGACCTATACATGCATACACAATCGATACAGCTAGAGCTATTTCAGAGAAATCGAAACAATCAATACTAAAGGAATAAAAACCCAATCTTTCAGTCTCAAAGAAGCTTAACAGTGATCATCTAACTGTTTTTAGATTAAAAGAAACCAACTTTCTACTTCACCAATTAGTTTTTTTTCAGAAGAATCACGAGCAAACTCATTGCCGCAAAAGGAACGAAAAGTATCAATCAGTTCAAAAATCGAAGCTTTAAATTAAATTTAGAGCCTAAAATATCGAAACTCTAGAAGAGGAAGACATTGGAGGAAGAAAATTAAAAACCTTTGAAGGACCTTTGTTTTGTTTGTTTCTCTCACGATCACACGTACCGAAACCTTCTCTCTCTCCCTATGTGACTGTATATATGTATATGTACACACATTAATAAAAAAAATTATAATTTTTATTCCCGATTTTTGATTTTCTTTTGGAGGAATCTAAAGGGAATCTTGATTGGATGGAGAGAGAGAGTAGTGAGCAAAAGAACGGCGAATGATTGAGTAACAAAGGACCAAGTGGATAAAACAAATTCAACTCTTTATTAGTCCTCACAATTTAAGCCCCAAGCTTATATAAATGTATGTCATGGAACTATACAATATTGTTAACCTTTTCACAATAAAACTAAAGTAATTGTGGGTTCGGAAAACCACACTCAAAATTTATGTGTATTTTGTAGGGAGAAATTGCTGTGGAATCAGAGGTTAGATTCTGATGTAAGTCGAATGATTCGTAGACAAATATTTGACGAAATCGGACTTAGGCTAATCGAATAAAGTGGTTACAAAACCGGCCTGAAAGACCATGTAAAACACTAGGATTCGACTAAGCAAAAGAGATGGAAATGAGGTGGTGGCTGCGCTCGTGTAACGAGCTGCCTACGTACCCTGTTTTAGGGATCAAGCCAGAACGTAGTTCGATTGTAAGTTGTTCTCTATTTCGAGTCGTTTTCTGAAGAGAAATGACCACGAAAAGAGCTAAAGGGGTGTGAAGATGACGATAAATCTCAGGTTATCGGAGTGATCCGAAGGTAAGAGATTATGTCGAACTTCTGCCGGAAGTGATTTCCGGCTAGAAAGATCAGGGCTTTCTGGGATTATCTCAAAGACCAAGGATAAGATCGAAGAGATATGGATGTTATCTCAAGCGTGAAAAGAAGCTATCAAGACGTGAAGAACTTTGTTCTCAGAAGTGAGAAAGATAGAGATTATTGTCCAGGAAAGGAACATTCTGCCTTGTGATCAAGAATCGTCCTCTTTTTATAGCTCCGAAGTAGATCGCAACCTCCTCCGCGTATCTCGTCCACGTGCAACTACCGATCCCGCTATTTCCGGATCTGAACAGTCGAAGCGAGATTCTCGTTTGACTCGTTCAAACTCAGCTTGCGGACTTGACTCCGTCGAGCTAGAGCTCGACTTCGTCTTCACAAGTAGCTCGGACAGTAAACAGCTGGATTTTGGACAAGGATACTTGGTGGGCTCGAGGTCACTTTACTGGGCCTGAGTGGACTTATCTTGATCTTAGGACTTAGGTGATGGGCCTTATGGGCCGGATTTCTGGAGGGAAATCCAGGTCCAACAATAGCCCCCCAGCTCATTAAGTGAGTATAATCGAACTTAATGAGCGGTAGGTTGTTTTAAATTGTCCCGCAGTCCCGTCGAACTAAATCATGACTTTGAATAGTCATTAGAGATCGACGGTCGCAAACGGGAAGGCGAGAGATCTTTGAGATCTTGCCGTTGAATGATAGTTTCACCTTGAAAGACAAGGTAATAACTTATTCTTTAGATCGACAATCAAGATCGAAAATAGATCGAAGAGCTATTATGATCTTAAGAGTCGAGCTTTTCGAGAGTAATGAAAACCTTAGGAGAAGATTTGCGATTATCAACTCTTTTAGATTGTTTCTCGAGAAGGCTTTTGGTTTAACTAACTCAAACATTGCGCGAGCTCTTTTTGAGTTAATCGATTATTTTTCGAGTTCGACCAATTGTTGATTAAATTCTTTAATCGAACTTGGTCGCTTTAAGTCGGACTGTTTTTCCGACTCGAACTCGAAAAAGGATACGACCAAATGAATTTAGTCGGTTTGTTTGATTGAATTCTCGCATAAGATTTTCGGCTGACCGAGAAATCTAGCAGAAAAGACTTTTCCAACTCTTCTGAAAGTTGCTTCAAGTTAAACTGATTTCTTTTTGAAATTTCGAGTCACTTGGCATGATTTCGACTAAGTATTTGTTTTATTTAGGTCGAGCTAAATAAAACTTAGTCTTTGGTTCGAATGTTATTTCAACCAAATGGTCGAGCTTATCGTTGAGCTAAGCTGAACAAAGACTTAGTCAATATCTTTGAAGATATTCTTAAGGTCAGGTTAGAATCTGTTGAGAATCTAGCTCGATCTTGGAGATGTTCTCGAATTTTAGCTCGAGAATTGGCAGAGTGCTTGACTGCCATTCAAATCAGACTAAGTGAGACTTAGTTGATTTCTTAGGATCATATAAGATCAAGCAAGAATCTATTTAGAATCGAGCTTGACAAGATGGTATATGTCCCGAGCGAACTTCGAATCGAGCTCGATGCTGCGATAGAGAAAGTTTTTCGCTGTAGTGACTTGGGCAAGTCATATGTTTTGCTTCGGATTTAACACCTGTGTAGGTTTTCATCCATTTTTAGCAACAAAATTTTGTTTGTTACTGTTTTTCGCCGCGTTCCATCTGTTACAGATTAGAGCCCGACTTCGAGTATCCACCTCTTGGAAGAGAGAAGATTTCTCGCGAGCTATCGTTTTGTGAACGATCTGCAAAGTCGGCTGCCACTCGTTGTGAGCAAGCAATCCAATCTAGAGCTAATGGAGTTGTGGAGATTGTCCACGTTGCGGTTGAATATACTCTTCGTGATGAAGTAGTAGGTCAGGTTCTTCATGCTGCTATCGGGGATGATACCCGAGTGACTCATTTGAGACGAACTATCTCGTTGAGGTCGAATAGCGAACAATGAGGATGGAGCTCGAAATGAGCAAGAGATGATAATCGTACTCCGAATTTGTCGAGCTCCTTGAAAAAGCGAGTTAACTCGACGGCGAGTCCGTCATCCCTTGTAATGATAGATTGTTCGAAGGATGTGCCAGTTTTGGATAATCCTTGAACATTCATGTTGCGCCAATGCGGGCCTGCTGCAGATCAATCTCCAGTTTTGGATATGACGCTCGAGAGGGAGCTGTATGCGGCAGCGATGGCGGCGGATGAGAAGGTATGGTTTTACCTTTTCTAAGTTTTTGCCGATGATTTGATATCTTCGGACTTAATATTGCGATTAATCTTTATCAAGCTTTGAAGGTGAATCATGAAGCTCTCTGCTCGTTGTGAACAAAGGTTACATGAAGCGTCTTGGCAAGATGAGCTTGATAAGATGAAACAGGTGGTAGATGAGCTCGATACTAAGCTCGAATATGTGAGAGATAGAGTAGCTCGTCAAAGCGGCTTGCTAAGGATGAGCTCTATTCTCGTTTAAGTTTTGAACAAGTTAGCCCAGCAAGGTTTTTATGCTTTGCCTTTTGGATTTGGTGCCTGGAAGGCTTTTATCCTTTTATGTTCAAACTTGTTTGCTCGGAATGAGCTTGGTGTTTGATAATTTTTCTTAGACGTTTGATGTCTTAGAGTTTATCTTTGTTTTCCAGATCAATTGACTGTTAGCTCGATTGTTCGAACATTAGTCGTTTTGGTTTGATTGGAGATTTGACCTAGCGTGTCAGCTAACTGGTCGGACCGGATGAAGCTCAGTTGATCTCTTTGAGAATCGTATAAAGTTGAGCTAGTTTCTTTTTGAATTCCAGCTCGAGCTTTTAACGTGTTGAGCTTCAACTTGGAAGGTTGCGTCGGGTTGAGCTAACCTTTGTCGGTTGAAAACGACTGATTTTAGATGATCGTCTGAATTCAGTAGGTGGTTCTACACAATCAGCACTCGAGCTTCATCTTTAAAGATTTCTTTAAGTCGAGGTGATTTCCTATCAGACTTTTAGTCGGATTCACCGGTGTTTGCCAATTGCGTGATTTTGTAGATTAATCAACATGATCAGCAGTTGGGCTTGATTGAAGAAAGACTGCTCGGGGCCGAGCTGATTTCCTTTAAGATTATCAATCGGATTTGATTGGATCCAGTTGTGTGATTTTGTAGATTGATCTACATGATCAGCTCTGGAGCTTTATGGTTAAAGACTGCTCGTAGGTGAGCTAATCTCCTATTGAATTTTCAGTCGGGTTTGACTGGGTTTTGCCAATTGCGCGGATTAGTAGATTGATCTACATGGTAAGCATTTGGACTTGATCTTCAGGACTGCTCGGAATCGAGCTGATCACCTTTCAGATGTTTAGTCGGGCTCGACTAGGTTTTGCCAATTGTGTGATTAGTAGATTGATCTACATGAGCATTTGGACTTGTCTTCGAGGACTGCTCGGAATCGAGCTGATCACCTTTCAGATTTAGTCGGCTCGACTTTTTTGCCAGTTGTGTGATTCGTAGATTGATCTACGAGATCAGCACTTGGACTTAATCTCGAGGACAGCTCGGAGTCGAGCTGATCACCTTTCAGATCTTCAGTCGGATTCGACTGGCGTTTTGCTAAGTATTCGATGTCCTTAGGAGTAATTCGAATGTTTAGCCGGTTTGGATTGTTTAAAGAAAGACTGCTCGGGGTCGAGCTGATTTCCTTTAAGATTATCAATCGGATTCGACTGATGCCAGTTGTGTGATTTCGTAGATTGATCTACTCGATCAGCACTTGGGCTTAATCTTCGAGGACAGCTCGGAGTCGAGCTGATCACCTTTCAGATCTTCAGTCGGATTCGACTGGCGTTTTGCTAAGTATTCGATGTCCTTAGGAGTAATTCGAAATTTTAGCTGTTTTGGGTAGTTGGGCCCAAAGTTTGTTGTTTTCCCGGTTGTTGATACGAGGTGTTCCTAATTCGGCTTTGTGGGAGAGATGGTTTACCATGCGGAGTGACTACGATCTTGTCGCAACGGATAGTGTTCCGAGCGTGTCCGGATGGGACCGTCGAAGCGGCTTGATTTCGTATCATAATGCAAACTGCCTGAGGTCTCTCGGCTCACGTTCGGGTCAAGTGCGATTCGGACGTGCCGTCAAAGTAGCTCGATATCGTGTTAGACTACAAGCTGCCTTGAGGAGTTCGACTCGCACTCGGCTGTAACACTGATGCCGGATGCTTGGATGCGGTTGACTCTGATGGGTTTCTGCGAAATAAGGAAGCGATTTTCTGTTCCGTGGCTGGACCAGGTTATTTCTATATATCTAATTACGCTTAAGAGTCTAAGGAGGCGCTTAAGGATTCGCAAGGTGAGTTCGAGCAATTTCGTAAAAAGAAAAATAGAAAAGTATTGATATTGAGATGATACAAATCGAACCTGTTGAAGGGCTGGCCATTGAAGTCGTCTCGAATATTAGGAATGGATTTGATTGGGGCTGGACTCATGGGTGAGCTGCCTACGTACCTCCAGGGAAGGAGGATCAAGCCTGGACGTAGTTCGCGGGTGGAGATACCTCGGATGAGATTGTTTTAACGAAGTACCGTTTCAGGTACATTGCGTTTAAATGACTCAGTCCATGTATTCCTTTTTGGATTGGTGAGCTTGTAGACGCTGTTGCGAGCTACACCAGTGATGAGGTAGGGATCTACCCAGCTAGTTCCGGACTACCTAACACCGGGCTCTTTGTGTTTGTCATGACGTGTATTAATTCGGAATAGCTGTTATTAAGCTATAGTCCAAGTTAAACATCACGAGCTTTGGGTCGGATCCGTCTGGAGGAAGAGTTCGTCCTGAAGATTTGACCTTTTTGTATGCTTTGATCGAGTTGTTTGAGTCTAAGCATTTGTTAGAGCCTCCGCGAATGAATGCAATTTCTAGGAGGAGAGTAATCTCCTCTTCGAGAGTAGCATCATCGAGTGATACAGGAGGTCGAACGATTAGTTCTTCTCTGAATTTCGATTTGTACCACAGGTTGTTTCGGAAGGCTAGTAGAGCTACTGCCTCGTTAGGGTTTTCGATCTTAGCGATGATTGCTTTGAATCTATTGACGTAAGATCGAAGTGATTCGTTTGGAGCTTGAGAAAGCGTCCAGAGATCGGCTTCAGAAACTTCTGGTTCGATGAAGATCGAATATTGGTTTATGAATACCGAAAGGAGCTGGTCGAAAGTATCGATTGAATTTTCATCCAGCGTTGCGAACCAATTTTTAGCTGGTCCGGCTAGGTTTTCAGCAAAGAGTTGGCAGAAGCTGCTTCTATCTCTTCAGGAGAAAATTGAGCTCGAAGAATTTCGAGATAAAGAGCTCGGATATAAGCTCGTGGATCGATGCTACCGAGTATTCTGGGATAAGTATCGCGCAGATAGGTTTAGTGATCCTGGATGAGAAGGGAGTTCGTTGTGTCTCCCTGATTACTTTGTCGATATCCGGAATCGAACTCATTGCTTGGTTAAACGTTGAGTTCGCTTGCCAGGAATGCGAGGTTTGTTTGGTCCTGGAATCTTTCGAAAGATTCGCAGTCCAAAAGGTTTCGCGGATCGACAGGAATCCGATTAGCTGGAATCGGATGGGATAGAGCTCGATTTGACGAGTTGTTTGCTTTTGTCAATCGAGCTAGATCTGTCGGATCGTTTGCTCTATGAAATTGAGCTCGATCGACTAGATCATTTGTTGCGGGAAACTGTTGATAGTTTCCGTTCACAACAGTTCGAGCTGTTGCGGGAGGCTGCGAGCTCAAAATTTCAGTAGACTGATTTTTGAGCTGAGTCATCGCCTGCAAGCTTGAGTTGGAAGCCATAGTTTCGGGCCATCTAAATATAGTTGGTTCGACACCTGATAGCTTTGGAGGTGGAGATGGAAGTCGCTCTGTTGGCTGAGATCCTATCTCCGATTTGCTTGAATTTGGAATGTTCAAGCTGCTCATTGGCGAGCTCATCGGTGGGACGAGAGTCTGAAGACATGAGCGCGCAGTGGCGCCTCATCCCGTTTCGACGAGCTGTTTAACGAGGTCATCGGTGGGATGAGAGTCTGGATGACAAGAGCACGCGGTGGTGCCTCATCCCGTTTCGACGAGCTGTTTAACGAGGTCATCGGTGGGATGAGAGTCTGGATGACAGGAGCACGCGGTGGTGCCTCATCCCGTTTCGACGAGCTGTTAGGTTCGTAGATTGGTGAAGAGTCAAGCTGAGTTCCCGGAGGAGGACTTATGATCGTCCGTAGCTCAGCAAGACTTCGTTCATGTTTTTCCAACCTGATTTTTTGGTCGTATTGACTTTAATCAGGTCGGTGAGCATTCGCTTGATTCGGGCTTGGTCGTCCGGATTCGGTCGAGCCAAGGCAAACGACGTTGACACAGTTTGAGTCGGAGTTTTCCGACTGATCGGTGTCGAGGTAATCGGGAAATCTTTAGATTTGACCCGAATCCGCAAATGAGGTTTCTCAATTGCGTGCGAGATCTGATTCGGTAGAATCGAGTTCTCGGCTGTCACAGGAGTGACGAGGTTGATCACCGATGGTTTCACGCGGGCTGGAACATTCGAGTTCGCTGCCGCGGAGGTGATAACCGGATCGATCAGGACGCTCGATCTACTAGCAGTTTGGCTGCTGCCAGTTGGCGAGGTGATCGGGTTTTTCGATGTGTCTGCAGTTTTGGCACTGCTGACATCCGAAGTGATTTGATCCGATGGGATCTGAGATTGGGAGCGAGCTCCCTGAGAATTTGATAGGACTGAGTCCATTTCGTTCTCAACTGGTCTAGGTTCGACCCTTGTGTAAGAGAAAGCTATTGTCTCCCCTCCTTCTAGCGCCAAAATGTGGGTTCGGAAAACCACACTCAAAATTTATGTGTATTTTGTAGGGAGAAATTGCCTGTGGAATCAGAGGTTAGATTCTGATGTAAGTCGAATGATTCGTAGACAAATATTTGACGAAATCGGACTTAGGCTAATCGAATAAAGTGGTTACAAAACCGGCCTAAAAGACCATGTAAAACACTAGGATTCGACTAAGCAAAAGAGATGGAAATGAGGTGGTGGCTGCGCTCGTTAACGAGCTGCCTACGTACCCTGTTTTAGGGATCAAGCCAGAACGTAGTTCGATTGTAAGTTGTTCTCTATTTCGAGTCGTTTTCTGAAGAGAAATGACCACGAAAAGAGCTAAAGGGGTGTGAAGATGACGATAAATCTCAGGTTATCGGAGTGATCCGAAGGTAAGAGATTATGTCGAACTTCTGCCGGAAGTGATTTCCGGCTAGAAAGATCAGGGCTTTCTGGGATTATCTCAAAGACCAAGGATAAGATCGATAGAGATATGGATGTTATCTCAAGCGAAAAGAAGCTATCAAGACGTGAAGAACTTTGTTCTCAGAAGTGAGAAAGATAGAGATTTATTGTTCAGGAAAGGAACTTCTGCCTTGTGATCAAGAATCGTCCTCTTTTTATAGCTCCGAAGTAGATCGCAACCTCCTCCGCGTATCTCGTCCACGTGCAACTACCGATCCCGCTATTTCCGGATCTGAACAGTCGAAGCGAGATTCTCGTTTGACTCGTTCAAACTCAGCTTGTGGACTTGACTCCGTCGAGCTAGAGCTCGACTTCGTCTTCACAAGTAGCTCGGACAGTAAACAGCTGGATTTTGGACAAGGATACTTGGTGGGCTCGAGGTCACTTTACTGGGCCTGAGTGGACTTATCTTGATCTTAGGACTTAGGTGATGGGCCTTATGGGCCGGATTTCTGGAGGGAAATCCAGGTCCAATAATAATTTAGTTAAAAATAATAATACAAAGGATATACTGCATATTTTCTCAGGTATATTATTATTATTACTATTTTACTTTTAATAAAATAAAAAAGTTACAATTTTTTTATTATAACCAACATGTTAGGATTTGCTCTGCATATGTATTTTATAATCTTTTTATATTTCTCTAGTGATTAATATTACATAGGAAGTTTGTGACAGGAATAATGGTCAGTGATCGCAAGATAAACACTCAACAGCTTCTTCGCCTACTGATTTGCAATGGTTAATACAAGCTTGACGATTATTTGAAGTCTCGGGTAAAACCACATTTCTTGCATTAACGCAACGACACTGATTTGCCAAACACTTCATATATTGACAATGTGTTTTACAATCAGAGTCTTTCTTGCAGGATTGTGGTTCTGCCAAAATCTGAGTATGTTTATGTTTAATACTAATCATGATAATATATAACTAATGAAAATGAGTAAGGTAAGATTATATATTGATGATGAAAATGACGATACTGATGTATCTAAATATAAGATTAAAAGTCTCATATGTTGATAGTAGAAGAAGACCGATGACTATCAATAGTATGTGTTCTTCATTTTTCTTCAATATGCTTGTGTTTTCTTTTGTGTTTTGAACAAACTAATTAATACATATATACAGTAGAAACTCTATAAATTAATAATGTCGGGACTTTCATATTTTATTAATTTATAGAGTTATTAATATATAGATTTTGGCTAAAAAAAAATTTCAAAAAAAAAAAAATTCAAAATTACTAATCTTTTAAATTTTCCTTCACATTAAATTGAAACTATATGTATATTTTCTTAACTTTTCTCTTTGATGTTTCTATATTTACTTTATTGTTTACATTTTCTCATATTTGCCATATTATTTTAAATTTCTATTTTCTTTTAGTTTCCATATATGTTTGGTGTGAGAGATTCATATTTTAGTAGCTAGATATTTGAGATTTATATAAGTTTTTATATGATAATTATTAATTTATGATATTATTGGGACCATATTTTACATAGGACTTAAAAAAAAGTTATTACTTATTATCTTATCGAATTGTATCATATTTTACACCAGAGACTGGAGAAATTTATTAATTTATCGAGTATTAATTTATAGAGTTTGTCTGTATCTGACTTACTGGTAATATAAGCCCACACTAATTAAGATTTTCACAAATATATGTCTACATTAGTTAAAAGGCCGTAAAAGAACTGTATTGGGCCACATAAAAGCCCATTTTGTGTGTATAATCAGAAACCCTAGTAGTAACAACTCTTATAAAAAATCATTTTAGGTTTTGGTGTTCTTCTGTTAGCGGAGGCGCATTGAGAAGATCTTAGGAAGCAGCAAAAATGGCAGTCCCGTTGCTCACCAAGAAGGTCGTGAAGAAGAGGTCTGCCAAGTTCATCAGACCCCAGAGCGACCGCAGAATCACCGTCAAGGTAACCACTGATTGTTTCATCCAATTCCACCGAATTTCTACTCTGTTCTTTTAGGGTTTTTGGAAGAACAGTCTCTTGGTTCTCTATAGGATGCAATATATTGAGTACCTGGCTTATTTACGAAGATTTTGTTACACGATAATGAGTATATTTGCAAACTAAGTAGTCTCAGTTTGAGCTTGATTTAGTCTCTGAAGTCTTGCTTTTTGAAAATTTATATGAAATGATGTTTGTAGGTAACCTAATTCGTCAACTCTGGCTTTAGTATTTTCATTATCTCTCTCAGGTCTTGCTTTGTAGCTGTTCTATGAAAATGATAATTGTAGAACAATTGTTGAGTATTGTATTGTCTGATAAACACATTTCAGTGCCAAAATTGTTTAAACCTGATGTCTCAAGTTTCTGAATAATAGTAATCTTTCATAATCCGTAATCAATTCTTGATTTCCTTCTGATTTGGTTTTCCTTCTGCAGGAAAGCTGGAGGAGGCCAAAGGGTATTGACTCGAGGGTCAGGAGAAAGTTCAAAGGTGTGACGTTGATGCCCAATGTCGGTTACGGATCCGACAAGAAGACGCGTCACTATCTTCCCAATGGATTCAAGAAGTTCGTTGTCCACAACACTAAAGAGCTCGAGATCTTGATGATGCACAACAGGACATACTGTGCCGAGATTGCACACAACGTCTCTACCAGGTTGAGGAAGGCCATTGTCGAGAGAGCTTCTCAGCTAGACATTGTTGTCACCAACAGGCTTGCTAGGCTCCGTAGCCAAGAAGACGAGTAAGGCAAGAAACAAAGCCACTATAGTTGTTTCTGTGTTCTTGCGTTTGCGTTTTGTTATAAGACGGTTTTTGAGTACTGCTTCTTTTGTGTTTTGTTTGAACAAAAACATGAGTTTTGGTATTAGTATGAAACAGACTTCGTTATTTCAGATTCATTACTTCTCAAAGATGATTCAGTCTACTCTGTTCAGTAAAAATTCTGAATCAATCATAACTATTAAATTTCAATATCTATAAACATTGAAACTGTAACATTCGATGAGGGGAGTCTTGAAGCAGATAATGAAGACTGTCTCCTCGATTCAAAAACTTGAATTTTCCTTTGTGCATAGTTGCTTGCTGTTAAAGAAAAATCAGATTTGTTTACAGTTTCCTTGGAAAATGATAGTTATAAAACAGCTTGGTTTACTCATCAATACTTTTGCTTTCATACTTCGACTGTAATGAGTAATGAGTCAAAAGTTGTATGCTTTACTCTAGTAATTTCAAATTTTGTGAAAATCTTTACTCAAGTGATCAAAAGGTGAATGATTTATCATGACTTGTTGTTTTAGTTATATAACACAAGTCAAGACAATTTGGTACTCATTCAGAAAGATTTGAGCCTTTGGGTCTGAAAGATGATCTTGGGATTATAGAGACATAGAGTGCAAGATGATCTTGTACATGAGGAAGATTGGTTTAGTATTTGTTAGATACTTTATATAGTTTTGTTTATAAAAAAGATATTCAACAACTTTCCCTATAAAAACGAAAGTTGGTGGAGACACTTGGGGTGAAAAACGAAGAGATGAGTGGCATCCACGTCATCATATCAAAAGTGAATACACCCACGCATGTCTTCATTAGTATGCATAAAACTGTAATCAAAATCACTTAGACCATTTCCAAGTCATTACTTTAATTCATTGGACCATACTTAACTTTTAACTTTAACTAAAGATGGCAGCTTTGTATCACACTTGTTGTGCACTACATAGAAAGTATATATATCCCAAAATTAGAACAAAATGTAATTCCCTGGTTTAATTAAAATGAAAAAACGCTTTTCTACGAAGAATAAATAGAGAAAAACAAAAGGGAATTTGGTGAAATTCCTCGGAGAAAGCTTTGGGACCTAGAGAGAATCCATGGATATTATTACTCTCACCAATTCAACTGTAAGTAGAGTTTTTTTATTTGCTTCTAAAATCCTTCTCTTATGGGTTTTTGATAATGATGATGATGATGAGATATTCATTTGTCTTTGTCTCAGCTGCTCTACATGGACTCAAACCTGGAACGTTTAAGCGACATATATCCTTCCTTTGAGCTTTGTTTGGTTTCTAGAGAGTTTGTCTCAAGAAACTTTTCAGTTCCTTAAATTCTTTTGATTTTTGGTTCCTTAACAATGCTTACAGTCTTAAGGTTGGGAGCAAATGTAGTTACTCTTCTTCTTGTTTTGATTCTCACTGTCACAGTAATGAGAAGAAATGGTAGATGTAACACAAGGGTAAATAACAAATTTTAAAAAACCTAATTTGTGGTTCTAGTTTTGGTAGTTTCATTCACAAATGATTCATTTTTCTCTTGGTATTTAGAAAAGCTACATTGAGAAGAGTGTGTTGTATGTAATACCTGCACTTGGAGCATGTTTGTCTTGCGTGGACCTTGTGGTGCTTGTCATGAGGACAAACCCTAAAAGAGATTTCATTCTTTGCTTCCTCCCTCTGTCTCGTCTCGCAATGTGGGTAAGTCTTTCTTTGTATATCAATCAAGAACCTCTTGATAGCACTCAATTACAGAGCTAAAATCAGTTTTTTTACTTTGCAGATTTCCGTCATGCTCTCATCGATTCTTTCATGTGCTTGCTGCGTTTTCAGTAGCAAGATAATATGTTTCTGGTGGATCTTTAGATTCCTAACGGAAGCACTTCATCTCAACATGATATTCACTTTACCGGTAACATCAAATTGTTCTGTCACAATAGCTACAGAATATGAGTTACATTTACACTGATTCTTGTTGAGATTAACTAACAGACTTTGGAGATTTGCCTGATCATGTTGGACATTGCTTTTGGTATCTCTATCAACGTTCTTAGGATAAAGCAGGAACCTTTCAAGATCAGGTATATATGATTCTCTTCTTTAATTTCTTTCTGTTTTTCTTCTTTAATTTTGTTATTCTCTTTGTAGTTCTCTGGAGGATCCACTTATTGAGGAAGGTGATGATGATCAAAGGCACATTGTACGTGACTTCTTGTTGTCTTTTTCCTTGTAACTAACTCTCTAGTACTTGTTTACAGAGTAGTTTAAGAAACCAACAGATTCATGTATTCATGTTTTGAAGCAGAGAAGTAGCAGCTGGTGGGATTTATTCACATTTGGATACATCAGTTTAGTGATGAAACATGGATCGACGAAGCAGCTCGAATTCAAAGATCTACTTCCACTTCCACCTGATATGGATCCTTGTACAAGCTGTGAGAATCTGTTGAGATGCTGGCAACTTCAAGAATGCAATTACAGCTCAAATCCTTCACTGTTCTGGTCAATCTCTGGTGTGTATGGATGGCCATATCTTCGTCTTGGACTCTTGAAGGTATACACATTTTTGCTTATTTGACTTTCTTGTAATCTTTGTTACTGTTTTGCTACTGTAAAATATCATAAAATATTTGCAGGTGTTCAATGATTGCATTGGCTTTGCAGGCCCATTATTACTCAACAGACTCATCAAGTATCTTCAAAAAGGTCTAGTCTTGTCATAAAGACTTGGTGTATATATATTGTGACTACTGATGGAATGTTTTAATTTACAGGTTCAGAAAGTTCAGTTGGCTATACACTCGCTATCTCCTTGGGCCTCACATCTATCTTTAAGTAAATACACTGCTGATTCTGTTCCAAGTGTAACATTAGTCAATTCTGATATATATGCTTTCTTGTCTTGTAGGTCCTTTCTTGATACACAATACACATTTCGTCTCTCAAAGCTTAAACTGAAGCTACGTTCTAGTATAATGAGTGTCATCTACAGAAAGGTAAAACATGTGAAAAGTTACTTGTGTGTAATAAACATTTTGGTTCTTTGATAAAAGATGTTTTTGTTTCAAGAAATGATACTCTATGCAGTGTTTGTGGGTGAGCACAGCGAACCGGTCTGGTTTTTCAGAGGGAGAGATTCAAACATTTATGTCGGTAGATGCTGACAGGATTGTCAACTTGTGCAACAGTTTGCATGATATGTGGAGGTAACAAACAACACCTGCTATGTGAACAATGAATGTGTTGTTGACAACATCTTTCAATCTCATTCTGACATATTATTTGGTCTCAGCCTGCCTTTGCAAATTGGGATAGCTTTGTATCTTTTGTATACTCAAGTCAAGTTTGCTTTTCTTTCTGGACTTGCAATCACCATCTTACTGATACCTGGTACGATCTTGATATCTTTACATTACAAAACTCTGGAGTGTCCTGTTTTCTCATATTTCTCTTCTCTTTTTCAGTCAATAAATGGATATCTATGCTGATTGCTTCTGCTACAGAGAAAATGATGAAGCTAAAAGATGAGAGGTAATGATGTCTTGTTAGACTCTGAAAGATTCAAGTTGTAAATTTTGTTGTTGTTATCTATATTAGGATAAGAAAGACAGGAGAGCTTCTTACAAACATCCGCACACTGAAAATGTATGGTTGGGATAACTGGTTTGCTAATTGGTTGAAGGAAACAAGAGCCACCGAAGTGACTCACTTAGCGGTTTCATTTTCATATCCCTCCTTAATTAATTTTGCTATTGAAAGCTGTCTTCTTAACAGTTTTAAGAGTCTTTGTTTGGATTTTACAGACGAGGAAGTATTTGGATGCTTGGTGTGTTTTCTTTTGGGCAACGACACCAACTCTTTTTTCTCTTTGCACTTTTGGTCTCTATGCACTGATGGGTCATCAACTTGATGCAGCAACGGTTGCTTTTTGAATCTTTTTTTTTCAGTTATATTTCTTAATTTAAAATAGATAAACTTGTCTTGACAATCTGATACTTGCAATGCTTTTTTCAGGTTTTTACTTGTCTTGCTCTTTTTAATAGCTTAATCTCTCCATTAAACTCGTTCCCATGGGTCATCAATGGTCTCATTGATGTAAGCTTTATCTTCAACCATGTTGGACTCTGAGAGTATCTTTCAGCCATGTCTACCATTTTAGTTAATAGTGTTACCTTGTCACAGGCCTTTATATCCACCAGGCGTGTGAGCAAGTTTCTGCGTTGCTCGGAGCATAGTAGAGATTCCTCTATAGATTCTTGTTTCATCTCTGAAGACTTAGCTGTGTTTGTAGAAGATGCATCTTGTATTTGGTCAAGGGACGTTGAAGAGGAACACAACTTGATTATAAAACAAGTAAGCCTAAGAGTGCCAAAGGGAACATTTGTTGCAATTATCGGTGAGGTATAAAAAACTTTAGTAAATTTAGTATTTGTAGAGTCATTCATCTATGATGTGATGTCTCTTTATGTGTGGAACTGTTTTGTGTCGTTTTCAGGTTGGTTCAGGTAAAACATCTTTGTTGAATTCACTATTAGGAGAAATGCAGTGTGTTGATGGATCAATACTACTAAATGGCTCTGTTGCATACGTTCCACAGGTTTGTAAAACACTTGTCAAATACTCTCTAAATTCCTTTTTTTTTCAACTTTGATAAGTCTTTACTTGTACCTCACTCAACTGTAAGGTCCCTTGGATTTTATCTGGAACTGTACGTGACAATATCTTATTTGGGAAGACTTTTGACTCCAAAAGGTTAAGTGTTTATGCTTCTTCTAGTCTTAAATTGTATGTTCAGAATTTGAATGTTCTTGTAACTTTGTTAAACTAAAGGTATTTGGACACACTGAGTGCTTGTGCACTAGATGTGGATATTTCGCTTATGGTCGGAGGCGACATGGCATTTATAGGCGATAAAGGAGTTAACTTATCTGGAGGACAGAGAGCTCGGCTTGCTTTGGCCAGGTTCTGCTTTCACTCTTATGCTTTGGCCTGTGAATCTGATTGAGTGTTGTGTGTTCTGATGACTTAGTGTAATCAAACAGGGCTATTTATCATGATTCAGACATGTATCTGCTTGATGATGTACTGAGTGCAGTTGATTCACAAGTAGGATCCTGGATTTTGCAAAGAGCACTTGTTGGTCCTCTCTTGAACAAAAAGACTCGCATTATGTGCACTCACAACATTCAGGTTTTCATCAAAATATCTCTCACAATGATAAAATTATCATTTTGTTTTCTCATACCGTCTAGCTCTTGGTATTATGACAGGCAATATCTAGTGCAGATATGGTTGTTGTGATGGAAAAAGGAAAAGTGAAATGGTCAGGAGCTGTTACTGATATGCCTAAATCCATCTCTCCAACATTTTCTTTATCCAACGAATTTGATATGTCATCCTCAAAGAGCTTAACCAAAAGACAAGAATCTCTTTCTGTCAATAAAGATGATGAAGCAGATGAAGTTAGTGAGTTAGCTGCAGATATTGTCAAAGTAGAGGAAAGAAAAGAGGGCAGAGTTGAAGTAACTGTTTATAGGTAAAATACAATTTTCTTAACCATGTCTTCTTGCTTACTATTTAAGTAAGTAACTGTTATCTGTTTCTTGGCAGGAACTATGCTGTGTTTTGTGGATGGTTCATCACAATTGTAATATTACTTTCAGCTGTTTTGATGCAAGCTTCTCGTAATGGGAATGATTTGTGGTTATCATATTGGGTTGATAAGACAGGAAGAGGAGTAACACATTACTCAACCTCGTTTTATCTGGTAATAGATTAGATTCTGTCACAAAAATCATTCAGTTTTTTTTACTCTGTTTCTTGGAGTTGAAATTACTACTAATCTTGCAGATGATTCTCTCTATCTTCTGCATCATTAACTCGATATTAACATTGGTGAGGGCATTCTCGTTTGCATATGGAGGACTAACAGCAGCAGTGCGTGTTCACAGTGAATTAATCTGTAAGCTTATCAATGCACCTACACAGTTCTTTGATCAGACACCAAGTGGAAGAATACTTAATAGGTTAGAGAAACAACAACAAAAAAACTCTTTTGATCATGTGTATTGTTGTTTCTTTATCTTAACCTCGTTTTTTTTGTTTTGGTTCCTCTGTTTCAGGTTTTCATCTGATCTATATACAATCGATGACTCTCTCCCGTTTATTCTCAACATTCTTCTAGCAAATTTTGTTGGCTTGTTAGGGATTGTTCTTGTATTGTCTTACGTTCAGGTTTCTTGACAAATCCTCTCTCTCTTTTCTTGCGCGTCAAGTAATCTTCCTCTAAAGTTTTATTTTTAACAGTTGTATATTATATGCTTACAGGTTCTTTTCCTACTTCTGCTTCTGCCATTTTGGTATATATACAGCAAGCTTCAGGTACTTTTGCCTCAAGTGGTATATATTACAAATTAGCTAAATCTGGTATCATGTTTTGGTTGGAAGTTTCTTACTAATTGAGAATTGTTTCAGTTCTTCTACAGGTCAACATCAAGAGAACTACGAAGGTTGGATAGTGTTTCACGATCACCAATCTATGCATCTTTCACGGAGACACTTGATGGATCATCAACTATCAGGGCTTTTAAGTCTGAGGTAGTTTTCTGTTCTGCTTCTATTTTAATTGTTCTTATGATTGAATGAGTGTCAGCTTTTGCTTCTCCATTGATGGACAAACCTGTATGCATGACAGGATCATTTCGTAGCTAGATTCATCGGGCACTTGACGTTATACCAGAGGACTTCTTACTCAGAGATCATTGCAAGCTTGTGGCTCTCCTTGCGTCTTCAGGTACACTAAAGATCATTGTAACAATGTTCTGTTTCCTCTGTTCTGCAATAAGCGGCGTTGATCAGTTGAGTTAATTGGTGTGCAGTTGTTAGGAGCAATGATTGTCTTATTTGTAGCTGTAATGGCTGTGATTGGCTCCCAAGGAAACTTTCCGATTAGTTTTGGCACACCTGGATTGGTAAGGAATTTGCAGTTTCGTAGCTTTTCAGGCAAGTAAAAGCATGACAAAAAGGTTATAAATTTGAATCACAGGTGGGATTGGCGCTATCATATGCAGCACCATTGGTTTCTTTGTTAGGAAGCTTCTTGACAAGCTTTACAGAAACAGAGAAGGAAATGGTTTCTGTTGAAAGGGTTCTCCAAGTAATGATGATTCTGATTAAAACTAATCACTTGTCATTATGTTAGTGTTACTAGTAAATACTAATGCATAAACCATGTTCTCTCTCTTGTGTGGAACAATAGTACATGGATGTGCCTCAAGAAGAAGTCTCTGGTCGCCAATCTCTTACCGGAAAGTGGCCGGTTCAGGGATTGGTTGAGTTTCATAATGTGACAATGAGATACATCTCAACTCTGCCTCCGGCTCTCAACAACATCTCTTTCACAATCCAAGGAGGAACACATGTACGTGTATTCACAGAGTAGTCTGTGAACATAGATTTGAGTTTTCTCTGTGTCATGAAAGAACAGTTTCTGTTAATCAGGTGGGAGTAATCGGAAGAACTGGTGCCGGAAAATCATCGATCTTGAATGCCCTTTTCCGGCTAACCCCTGTTTGCAATGGAGATATAATTGTTGATGGAGTTAACATAAACCATCTTCCAGTAAGAGAGCTTCGTTCTCGCCTTGCTGTTGTTCCTCAGAGCCCTTTTCTGTGTCATGGATCATTAAGGTTAGAGAACTTTTACTCGTTCTTGCATTTCAAGAATCAAGATCTTGTTCTTGCTTGAATTTTACGGTTTTCTTGTTCTTTTTCTTGCATTTCAAAAACCAAGATCTTATTCTTGCTTGAAGTTTACGGTTCTCGACTTCTTGTAGGGACAATCTTGATCCTCTTGGGTTGAGTGAGGATTGGAGAATCTGGGAGATCTTAGAGAAGTGTAAAATTAAGGCAGAGGTAGAGACTGCAGGAGGGTTAGATTCGAATGTAAAAGAATCTGGATGTTCTTTCTCTGTTGGGCAGAGACAGCTTTTGTGCCTCGCTCGGGCTCTGCTCAAGTCGTCCAAGATCTTATGCCTTGATGAATGCACAGCAAACATCGATGTTCATACGGCTTCTTTACTGCAGAACACGATCTCGAGCGAATGCAATGGCGTTACTGTGATTACCATCGCTCACCGCATTTCGACGGTTCTTGATTTGGACAGCATCTTGATTCTTGATCGTGGAATCTTGGTTGAACAAGGAGAACCACAGCGTCTTTTGCAAGATGACTCTTCAATTTTCTCAAGCTTTGTTAGTGCTTTAAAGTGAACTGTAGTTTAAATCTGATTAGTTGTTGTTGTAACTTACCTCTCTTTTTTACATTCTCTTAAGTCTAAGCTTTCAATGATTAATCTCATTGCTTGTCCGACAAGAAACATATCTACTTTGTATTTTAACCTCAAATCTAACTCACTCCTCTTTCTTTCTTAACTTGAATCTCTCTCTCATTAACTTCCTTGCATGGTCGCATTTGCGTATGTAATCGCTAAACGACTCTGGCTCTCAGAAACCGTTCAGCAAATTTCCCAAACTTCACCTTAACCACGCCAAGAACCGGACGAATCTACTTCGGGTTTAATTCAAATTTTAATTCCATTGCTTCGGTTTAGTTAATTTTCCAGCTCTATTTCCTAACCAGACATCAATTATACAAGGGTAACTGAAACGAGTTTAAGTCTGTTACCAAACCTAGATTTCGATAAAATTATGGTAACATAATGGCATTCGTTTTATGAGGTTTTAGTTTGCAAAAACTAGTACCCGGTTTAAGCATCTATATACAATATTTTTTATTAACTTATGTAATATCTACCCACAAAAATCGATTGGTTTTTGTATTAGGATGTGTGTAAAAGTTAAATTAAATGTACTAAAACGCGTTAATACATATAATAATAATGAGCTCTGTCTATTCTATGGCGACGGCTAGGGTTTTGGTAGGCGATACAGAGATGGAGCTAGGTGAGGTGGATAGACCGCCGGGAGACCCTCCAGACGGTCAGGTATCATGGGCAAGCAAGGTTAGAGGAAGTAGCGGCCGTGGGATACCAAATCCAAAGGATGTGGTGGCGGATGAGTTTGTGCAGGCGAGGTTACATGTTGAGTTCCCGAACGGCGAGGATGGAGAACCAGTGATAGGACAGGAGGTGCTAGAGGCTATGAATGGGCTGTGGAAACGTTGTATGATTGTGAAAGTTTTAGGGCGGAACGTTGCGATCTCGGTACTCAGTAGAAAACTAAGGGAGATGTAGAAACCGAAAGGGGCGATGTATGTGATGGACCTTCCCCGGCATTTTTTCATGGTGAGATTTGAGCAGGAAGAAGAGTACTTGGCAGCGCTTACGGGAGGACCATGGAGGGTGTTTGGGAGTTACCTTATGATACAAGCATGGACCCCGGATTTTGACCCGACAAGAGATGAAATAGAGACCACACCGGTATGGGTACGATTGGCGAATCTACCGATTAATTTCTACCATAGATCAATCTTGATGGGAATCGCGAAAGGTCTAGGTAAACCCTTAAAGGTGGACTCAACGACACTGCACTGTGAGAGAGCTCGTTTTGCACGAGTTTGTGTGGAGGTGAATTTGAAGAAACCACTAAAGGGAACGATACTTGTTAAGGAGGAGAGATACTTTGTATCCTATGAAGGGTTAACGAACATTTGTTCAAAATGTGGGTTGTATGGTCACTTAGTGCATTCATGCCCTCAAGCAAGGATGGAGAAGGAATCGGCGGCTGCACCACGAGTTGAGGAGAATCCGCAATCTGAGATGGGAGTCCAAGCAAATGGCCGTCGTGAAGATGAAGGATTCACCATGGTGGGGGATGCAGGTCGGAGAGAGGAGCCGGTAAGGCAAAACTTTAGTTTTGCGGCGAAGGGAACCAAGAGGAAGGCCGGGAATGTTAGTCGGGTACTGACAAGAAAAGTAGATTCCGCGAATATCGCGTTATCCAACAGTTTCGGAAGGTTGGGAGAGGATCTAGATTTTCAAGATCTCAGGCAGAAACAGAATATTGGAGAAGAAAATAAAGAAAATGAAGATACACAAAATCTGGAGGGAAGAGAAACACGTGAGATCCAAGGCTCTACGCGTGGGGGGAAGAATCCAAAGTTTCAAAAAGCAGGGAAGCCTGGTACGTACAAGGCTTTGGGGAATAAGGGGGTCAAGCCCAATGGAGCGAAATCAAGTGGGCCCACTCGTGGACTGATTTTTGGCCCAACAAGAGAAGAAGTGGACCGACTGTCGAGGGGGAAACGTCTCCGTGTGGAATCGATGGATCTGGGACGACCAGGAGGATCTTTTGTACAACAGAGCTCCGGTAATGATGACGGAGGTCTTCCGGCGTAGAGACAAACGGACGATGCTGTTCGGGATCCGGATGATGGTAGGGTGGCACCTACTGAGACCAATAGTCGACAGAGCTCGTCGGAGGAAGCGATGACGGAGCTATGCTCGGGGGAAGATTGCCAATAACGGATCTCCCTGGTTTTTCCGATTATCTTGATACTTGTAGTGATGAATATCATACTATGGAATTGCCGGGGGGCGAATAAACCTAACTTTTGGAGATCAATCCGTTATTTGTTGAAGAAATTTCTTGCGGATGTTCTAGCTGTTTTCGAAACGCATGCCGGCGGAGATAGAGCGGGGAGAATTTGTCGAGGACTGGGATTCGAAAATTCTTTCCGTGTAGACGCAGTTGGCCAAAGTGGTGGATTGTGGTTGCTCTGGAGAGAGGGAATAGGGGATTTGGTGGTGGTGAAGTCGACGGATCAGTTCATTTACGCAACGGTGGCAAATGGAGAAGAGATGTTTCACTTGATAGTAGTGTATGCGGCTCCGTCTGTTAGCCGTAGAAGTGGATTATGGGATCAACTCAGGGAAGTCGTTGGTGATGTTGATGGTCCCTTAGTCATTGGTGGAGATTTCAATACAATTGTTCGAGTGGATGAGCGAGTGGGGGGTAGCGGGAGATTGTCGATGGATTCAGTAGCTTTTGGAGAATGGATCCAAGATCTCTCCCTGATTGATATGGGTTTTAGCGGCAACCAGTACACTTGGCGAAGAGGCAGAGTGGAATCTACTTTCGTTGCTAAGCGGCTTGACCGTGTTCTATGTTGTGCACATGCTCGCTAGAAGTGGCAGGAAGCGCGAGTAACACATCTTCCGTTTCTGGCGTCGGACCATGCTCCTCTGTATGTGCAGCTCTATCCGATGACGCGAGGAAATGCGGGTAGACGACCCTTTCGTTTTGAAGCAGCGTGGCTGAAGCATAGTGATTTCAAGCAGTTGGTACTGACGTCTTGGAAAGGGGATATTAGTACGCCTAAAGCTCTAGATTCCCTGCGGATTATACTGAAGAAGTGGAATCGTGAGGTGTTTGGAGATGTTCAGAAGAGAAAGGAGAAGTTATTGGATGATATAAAACGGGTGCAGGATTCACTGGAACGAGTCCAAACAGACGCGCTATTAGCAAGAGAAATGGTGTTACTCAGGGAGTTTGATAGTATATTGGAACAGGAGGAGATGATCTGGTTCCAAAAATCTAGGGAGAAGCATATAGCGTTAGGGGACAGGAATACGTCCTTTTTTCATACTTCGACGGTGATCCGTAGGCGACGTAACAAGATTGACATGTTAAAGGATGATGCAGATAACTGGGTCACGGAGGACCAGAGTTAGAAAAGCTGGCAGTTGGTTACTACAAGCGACTTTATTCACTGGTTGATGTGGAGGCTTCTGTGGAGACGCTGCCGATGGAGGGCTTTCCGCAGTTGACTAGAGATGAACAAAGAAGCTTAAATAAACGTATTGAGCTTATAGAGGTGGAGGAGGCGATCATTCGGATGGGAAAGTTTAAAGCTCCAGGACCGGATGGATTCCAACCGGTCTTTTATCACAACTGCTGGGATGTGATAAGAGAATCGGTTACTCAATTTGTGCTTGAGTTTTTTGAATCAGGACAGTTATCTCAAAAGATGAATGATGCGCTTCTGGTATTAATTGGGAAGGTGGCAAAACCAGAGAAGATATCCAAGTTTAGGCCAATCAGTTTATGTAATGTCTTATTCAAGACTATTACAAAAACAATGGTGAACAGATTGAAGAAGGTCATAGCGAATCTGATCGGACCAGCGCAGGCAAGCTTTATCCCGGGACGCTTGAGTACGGATAACATAGTGGTCTTACAAGAAGTTGTACATTCCATGAGACGGAAGAAAGGGAAGAAAGGTTGGATGCTTTTGAAATTGGATTTGGAGAAAGCATATGATCGGGTTAGATGGGATTACCTAGAAGACACCCTCGTTGCTTCCGGCTTATCAGAAAAGTGGGTTAGATGGATCCTTGAGTGTGTTACAGGACCCTCGATGCATGTTCTATGGAATGGAGAAAAACCAGAAGCAGGGAAGCCTGAGCGTGGGCTAAGACAGGGTGACCCTCTCTCGCCGTACTTATTTGTGATGTGTATGGAGAGACTGTGTCACATGATTGAGAGGTCGATGGAGGAGAAAAAATGGAAGCCCATCTCCCTTTCGAGAGGAGGACCAAAATTGTCACTCATGTGTTTTGCGGACGACCTGATTTTGTTTGTTGAAGCTTCAGTGGCTCAGATAAGAATCATATGAGGTGTTTTGGAAAAATTCTGTATGGCGTCAGGTCAGAAAGTAAGCTTGGAGAAATCGAAGATTTACTTTTCTGCGAATGTCACTTGGGACCAAAGAGAGGAGATCAGCGGTTTTAGTGGTATCCAACAAACCTGTGACTTGGGGAAGTATCTTGGGATGCCTGTTCTACAAAAAAGACTGAATAAGGAGACTTTTGGGGACGTATTGGCAAGGATGTCATCTCGCCTGGCGGGATGGAAAGGAAGAGTTTTGAGTATGGTGGGGAGACTTACTCTTACCAAGGCAGTGATATCGGCGATCCCCATTCATTCCATGAGTACTATAATGCTGCCACAGGCCACGCTAGCAAGGATGGATCAAATATCACGGAGTTTCCTGTGGGGTAGTGATGGAGAGAAGAAGAAACAACATCTCGTTGCTTGGAATAGGGTGTGCGTCCCGAAAAGAGAAGGTGGATTGGGGTTTCGCTCAGCTAGGGAGATGAATATGGCTATGATAGCGAAAATAGGGTGGAGATTACTGCAAGATCAAAACAGTTTATGGGCCGGCGTTCTACGAAGCAAGTACAAAACTGGAGACCTGGTGGATCGATCATGGATTGTGGCTAAGTCTCATTGGTCTTCGACGTGGAGAAGCATTATGGTAGGTATGCGAGAAGTGATATTGGAGGGAATTGGTTGGGTCATTGGGGATGGGAGATCAATCAGTTTCTGGAGGGATCGTTGGCTGTCGGATACGCCTCTGATCACGAGTGCTGGAGTCATGATACCGGATGGGCTCAAACTTATGACAGTACGAGACTTATGGCAAGATGGCATGAGATGGAGAATGGACAGGATTCTCCCCTATGTGTCGGAAGAGAACCGCCTGAAAATGATGTCTGTCGTCGTGGACACTCTCTCAGGCGCTAAAGATAGCTTGTCGTGGACAGCAAACCCGGATGGAGAATTCACGGTGAGTTCAGCTTATAATCTTCTCACGAGGAATGAAGTGCCAAGACAAGATATGGAGAAATTTTATGACCGGGTTTGGAGAGTAGTAGCTCCGGAGAGGGGTACGGTTATTCTTGTGGATGGTAGGGAACCAATGTATAATGACGAATGCTGAGAGGCAGAGGAGACATCTAAGTGACTCAGATCTGTGCAGCATTTGTAAAGGAGGAGCTGAGACGATCATTCACATACTGCGAGATTGTCCGGCTATGACCGGTATTTGGACATGTTTGGTTCCACGCAGTAGACAACATGTGTTCTTTGGGCAGTCTGTGCTGGGATGGCTCTTTTCGAATCTGGGGAGTGATGCTTATGCGTTTGGTGCGTCATGGCCAACTCTCTTTGCCGTTTCCGTCTGGTGGAGCTGGAAGTGGAGGTGCGGGAATGTGTTTGGCGTAAACGGGAAGTGCCGAGATCGTGTACAGTTCCTAAAGACTCTGGCAACAGAGGTCACTAAGGCATGGGAGGCATGTAGAGAAGCGAATGCAAAGCCAAGTCGGGTGGAACGAATGATAAGCTGGACTCCGCCAGCAGAGGGGTGGATGAAAATAAACACCGATGGAGCTTTTAGAGGCAACCCAGGACTAGCTACTGCAAGAGGGGTCCTCCGTGACCAGTATGGAGCTTGGTGTGGTGGGTTCGCTCTGAACATAGGGATCTGCACGGCCCCCTTAGCAGAGTTGTGGGGAGTCTACTATGAGCTTCTGACTGCATGGGAGAAGAGAGTAGTGCGGCTGGAGGTGGAAGTAGATTCGGAGTTGGTTGTCGGTTTTCTCAAGACAGGGATCTGTACGTCTCATCCTTTGTCTTTCCTGGTACGTTTGTGCCATGGCTTCATCGCAAGGGACTGGATAGTCCGTATATCTCATGCGTATAGGGAGGCTAATCGTCTAGCTGATGGATTGGCTAACTATACTTTTACTGTTTCATTGGGTTTTCATTGTTTTTCTTCAGTTCCTCCTAGCTTGGACTCAATCCTTCAAGATGATATCTTAGGATATGAGTGTCCTTGCAGCATTTGTATCACTTAAATGTGTTTGGTTTTCTTAATAAAGGTGGGAGAATTTCATCTCCCACACAACTTATCAAAAAAAAAAAAAAAGTTAAATTAAATGTGGAGCCTTCCTTGATTCAGTAATATTGAATGATCGGATTTTGAAGTTTCAACAAACGATTTGTAAAGTATCTTACAAATGAATTGAGGAAAAAAAATTAGTGGCTTGAGATGAAAATCTGAGAGCCGATTACAATCAGATTTATATGCGACCCGCACAAGCATTGTACAGTGGTGAGTTGGAATGACTGGTGCAAACTCAACAACCACATCTTCCATTACCATGGTACCATCGATTAAAGCTGAGAAAAAAATGTTCAATTTTTAGTTTTGGGCGGCTTTTTGTTTGGAGTGGGTTTGTGGGTGGATATATATAGAGAGTCAGAGGGTGTTCTATATTCTTTTGTATTACTCAACCTGAGTTGAAGCTCACACCTTTTATACTCAATTCAATTCAGTTTTCTTGACCATATCTTCATTATTTATTATCAACCTGATCATGACTCATATAAAGATTTTAAAATGAAATGAGTATGGTAATGGGATATCATATGACCAAGAGTATCTCATCAATACAATACTAATAATTTTAGTTTAGTTTTGTTATTTAAATTTAAGTTATGTTTTTTTTTTTTTTTTTTTTGGTCAACAAAAATTTAAGTTATGTAAAAAGATCAAAATAACATAATGATACATGTGCTCATTGATCTCGCATGAGTCTCTCATAATCTCTCTTATGTTAATAATAACATAATAATACATGTGCTCATTGGCCAAATTTGTTACTTTATGCTATTTTGCAATAGTATTTGCTCCAATAGTATTGCATTTTCTATTGCAAAATAGCATCATGCTATTTTTGTTTCCAAATTTAGCATGAGATTATGCAATATGATATTTTGCCTTTAAACTTTTTTATTTATAACATAGTCCTTCGATTTATAAATAGTTTTAACTTATCAGTTTAATTATTTTGATTATGATTTATTTAAATATAATCAAAATATTCATAACTCTACTAAAATAGAAATAATATTTATTTAATAGAAAATATAATAACATAACCATAATAAACTTAATAAATGTTTTTAAAAATACTGAAAAATAAATATTTCTATAATTTATATGTAGTGAAATGTATTTTCTTAATATTAGAATAATACAATTTTAAAAATATTATAATTGTTGATGTTTAATTTTCAAGAAGAAAAATAGATGATTCAATTTGTAAAATTTGAAGAAATTATGCAGTTTTAGCAATTAACAATAAGTTGAAAAATAAAATATAGCATGAATTATTGGAGAGAAATTCAATTTTATTACAAATTTTTGTCATTTGCAATAAGATATGGCATGAACCATTGGAGATGCTGTTAGAGACTCATTGGAGATGCTCTTGTAAGAAACTAGAGACAAAAAAACAGTTGAATGAGAAATCTAAGAGAATATTGACTTTACAATAGTTTGCTTAAGCGTAACTGATACAAAGGAGTTGTAGGATGATCTACACATAGAGGACTATGCAAGCAAAATATTGAAGTGAATTGTTGTTTAGAATATGATTAGTTGTAACTTCTCATCTTGTCACGTGTTCATGAGTTTATGAATACTATTAGAAAGAAAATGATTTAGAGCTTGTTTCAACTATAGTAGACTTGTCTGAGTATCATATAGTATGTTTAGTTCTCCATTATAGACGACTTTTCCTGGACTTGTCAAAACCCAAACAATGACAAAAAAAAATTACTCTTATTGACTGTTTTTCTTCCAAGAAGTTAGTTCCAAAGGAATCAGCTCTTCATTGCAACACAAAACAGCATTAGCCATGAGTTTCCCAAGCCAACCGTGATAGAGTAGTCCCCTTGATCCAAGCCCTCCAAACACCCAGAATCTGCAAGACCCTCCTGATGCCGCAGCACCAATGAGCTGATTCACACACCCCAAGAGCGGCAGTGAACCATGGCTTGTCACAGGCGGCATTGCTCTCAAACCGGCCCTCGCTCCTGCAAACTCCCACTTGTCTATCTCTGGATAAACTGCCCTCGCCTTCGGAAGAAGCTCGGCGAGAGCTCTTGAAGCTTCCTCTGCTGAGACATCCGGTGAGTGGTTTCTTGATAGCCATTCCCATGTTGATCCCATGTGTAGACTGCGAGGTCCCTGAACAGCGAGCCATGCTTCTGACAAGATCGATGGTCCACCTTCAGGGTAACTTCCCCTGCAGTAGAAAAGATCAACAAATGAAATTCTTGAAAGAATGTATAACTAGAGAAGGTCGAAGTTACTGAGCACAGAGAAGAATTACAAGGTAGTCTCGGGTAACTGCAAATGAGTAATGACGCCTCTGCATGTCCTTAAAGGAAGCTTTCCAGTGAGACTGGCAAGAAAGTCTATCTTCGATCCAAGACATATTACAACAGCATCATATTCTCCTACATATAACAACACACAAAAAGCTAAATTTCTTGACTGTCAAAAGCATGGAAACTCTACTCTTATATTGTTAGCGGCTATCTAAATTGTGTTCATGGACTCATATAACGTTTTCAGATTAGACACACATCCAGAAATATAAGATTATAGTTCAAATAGTAAGAGAAAAAGGATGATGAACCTGAGGAAAGGATTCACCTTCAAGTTGGAGCACATCATCGATAGATTTCTTCACCAGAGTTATGTTTTTCCTTCCAAGTGATGCTCTTGCTGAGTTCTGGCATGCTAGAAAGAGTCCCTAAGTAAAGATAAACGTAAAAGGCTTGGAGTTAAGAGTAAAATTTTCAGAAAGTGTTGTTCTTTAAGTTTCTCCATCCAAACCTGGAGATAGCGCTGAGGATTAACATTCACAGCTCCTGGGAAATAGAAGGCGCAGTTCAAAGGCAAGCATAGATTGGGGACAAGTTTTTGGGCACCTTCTTTGTCAAGAGTCTCTACTACACAACTGGCAAGGCAGTTTCGAGCATTCTAAACGCATAAGTAAGAATCAGGCTTAGTTAAAAATAACAAAGAGGGTTATCTGAGTGAAAGGGAGAACTTACATCACTCATTAAACCCAAAGTCTTTGCATTTGTTGCTGGTCTCAAGATTCCCCTGTAGTAATAAGAAGCTGGTCAATTTTGAAAGAGTAAGCACAAGTCTGTCGAGAGTGTTACAGAGAGTGTAGTACCTTCTTCGAACCATAAAGTCTCCAAAACCCTCGTTACAGTCACCCGGAGATGGGGACGTTGAAAAAGAAGAAGCTGCTGTCTCTGCAACATTCAAGAGCTCTAAACATTCTCTCCAACACTCTGCACCATGCCATAGTAGCTTCCCTGCATCAAGTGTAAAAAGGTCTATGAAACTAAACTTTTTAAAGCAGCAGTAGAAGTAGAGTAGACTATAACCAAACTCTACCTTTAGGAGAATAAGGGTGGAGGAGGCCTCCAGAAACTCCAGAAGCACCACCTCCTATCCCAATTTCATCATATACATCAACACTTAATCTCACATCCTTTGGACTGTCCTGTAAAATTAAAAAAAAAAAACACATTTTTTGTTAAATTTGGACCAACTCGTATTGAATTCAGAAAATGAAGTTGAGATTCCCGAACAAGTAACCTTAAGCAGGTACCAGGCAACAGAAAGTCCAGCAAAACCAGCACCAAGCACGGCGTACCTTGAAGCATAATAAGAAGAAACCCTATTGAAATTCACAATGGGGAAGATGAAAGAGAAAGAGATAAGAATGGAACTAACCTCAGAGGAGGACGGTTTGGAACAGAGAAAGACGCCGAAGAAGAAGAAGAGACCAGACAACGGGGAAACACAGAGGTCATGTCTTCACTCTGCACCAAAATGCCTCTTAAGGATTTGGTCAACGCAAACTATTAATTTGACTATTGCATCTTAACCGGTCAACGAACCAATCCAATTGAACCGGTCAAGTATCACCAATCTTATAATTGAACCGGTCCTTGTTTTCTGATTCTCTTTAGTGTAGCTCCTTTCAAAATCGAAAATCAGGCGAATCAAAATGTTGTCGGAATCTTCTAGTTCTACTGCTGCTGCTAGATTGATCAGTACGAGAGAATGGTTCATGGTCGTGTGTCTCCCATTACACTAGAAGAGGGTTGGAATGTTTAGGAATACACGTGGAAGATGAGTTTGGTGGAAGCACTGAATGTGTTCGACGAAATGATCGTAAGAGATTTATTGTACTGTGGAATGGATTCGATCAAATGCAGAGGAGAAGCGTGGGCTATAAGCTAACGATGATGAAACCCCATAGAAATTTTTTGAGGCTGGCCAAAAGAGATATCACTTCTTGGTTTGACAAAAGAACGGAGAACCTATCTTGTGAGTGCCATCAAGAAATGCTTTTTTCATGAGCAGACCAAAGATTCCGATCAAAGAAGCGGAAGAAGATGATGATGATGATGATGCGGACGAGAAGAAGAGCGCTGATGAATCTTCAACCTTTTCATCAATTCTTGCTGATGTTGACCAGAATACTGCAGAATAAGAACCATGAGACGTTGATGACTACATATCTAAGGTTTGATCAGTGATCTCCTCCAACAAGTAGTGAATCTGAGAAGAGGCAGTCAAATGAAGAGTAGAGAGCTTTCTGCTACAGAAAAAAAGAGCCAAAGAGACTTTCAGTTGCAATGGACGGTTGATGAAGATAGATGTGGCCAAATAGGCTTCAGTGGATAGAGAAGGGCACTGAAAGAGGGTTTGTTGGATTTGAATCTACGGAACACTCGAAAGCTAAGCCAAGAAAGCAAGGGACATAGCCTGATTCAGTCTAAGTCCAGTTTCTTCATACATTCTTCCATCTCCTTCTCCGTATAGGGATTATCGTTATACTTTCTTTTCTTTTGCCCTTCTTCTTTCTTTTATTCACAAAACTGCCACCCACGTGGCCTTTGTTCAGATAACGACACTGAGCAGAGAGGTAAGTGGAAGCAGCCGGCGCATTTCAATTTTCTTTCGTTTTAGATTCCTCCGACCTCTCTCTCTCTCTCCAATGGCTGCTACTGGTAGTTGCAGACGAATCCTCACCTTCCTCCTCCTTCTTCTTCTTAATCTTCACCTATGCGTATCTACAGTAGCCCACGAAGACGACGACGCGATCGTCTCCAGATTCCAGGACTATCTCCGAATCGACACAGTCCAACCCAACCCGGACTACTACAAAGCCGTTGACTTTATCAACTCCCAGGCCAAATCACTCTCCCTCGAATCTCAGACGATCGAGCTCGTCAAAGGAAAGCCTCTCCTCCTCCTCAAATGGGTCGGCTCAGACCCGACCTTACCCGCCTTCCTCCTCAACTCACACACCGACGTCGTTCCCTTCGAGGAATCCAAGTGGACCCACCACCCGCTTCGAGCCCACATCGACGGTAAAGGCAACATCTACGCCAGAGGCTCGCAGGACATGAAGTGCGTCGGGATGCAGTACCTCGAGGCCATTCGCAAGCTCAAAGCTTCCGGTTTCCGCCCCATCCGATCCGTCTATCTCTCCTTCGTCCCTGATGAAGAGATCGGCGGCCACGACGGCGTCGAGATGTTCGTCGAGTCAGAGCTCTTCAAGTCCTTGAACATCGAAATTGTGCTCGACGAAGGTAAATTCTACATCTTTTGATTGTAGATTGTTACTTACAGCAAAAGCGATGATGAATTGAATTGAATTGGATTGAGTCAGGTCTGACATCGGCTAGTGAGAGTTACAGAGTGTTCTACGGAGAAAGGAGTCCATGGTGGCTTGTGATTAAGGCTAAAGGACCACCTGGTCACGGTGCTAAGCTTTATGATAACTCTGCCATGGAGAATCTTCTGAAGAGCATTGAGAGTATACGGAGATTCAGAGCTGCTCAGTTTGATCTTCTCAAAGCTGGTGGGATTGGTGAAGGCGATGTTGTCTCCGTTAACATCAACTTTCTCAAAGCTGGCACTCCTTCTCCAACAGTAATCTAACTTCCTCTCCTCCGTTTTTTGTATCTTGCTTTGTTTCATGTGGTTGCTAAAAGTTGATATCTTTCTTGCTTTGCTTCATGTGGTTGCTGAAAATTGATGTCTTTACTTACAATTTGGGATCTTTATCGGTTTATCCTTCAAGGGTTTCGTAATGAATCTGCAACATTTTTGTATATTGCCTGCTTCATGTGGTTGCTAAAGTTTATATCTTTGTTGCTTTGCTTCATGTGGTTGCTAAAAGTTGATATCTTTACTCACAATTTGAGGTCTTTATTGGTTTTTCCTTGAAGGGTTTCGTGATGAATCTGCAACCATCTGAGGCAGAAGCTGGTTTTGACATTCGTATTCCACCAAGTTATGATTCTGAAGCACTTGAAAGACGTTTGGTGGAGGAATGGGCACCAGAAGCGCGCAACATGTCCTTTGAGGTAATTTTCTTAGCTACTCACTCGTCTTAGAAACTGTTTATTAGTCTTTCCAAGCGTAGCTAGCAAGTAACACAAGTGTGGGATGTGTTTTCAGTTCAAGCAGAAGTTTTCAGGGAAGCAGATCATTACAGCAACAGATGATACAAATCCGTGGTGGAGTCTCTTGGAAAATGCTGTCAAGGAAGCTGGAGGTAAGACTAGTAAGCCTGAGATATTCCCTGCGTCGACGGATGCTCGCTACTTCCGGAAAGCTGGCGTGCTCGCGATTGGCTTTTCTCCCATATCCAACACCCCGGGCTTGCTTCATGACCACAATGAGGTATTATTGTCTTTGATGTTTCATGTCAAAAGATTGCATGTTTGATGATTCTCATGAATCTTATAACGCATATGTTGTTTTGCTTTGCTATGCTCTGTTGCAGTATTTGGGTAAAGATGAGTACTTGAAGGGCATCGACGTGTATGTTTCAATCATCAAAGCTTATGCATCGTATGAGAACAAGAGTCGCTCGCGAGATGAGCTATAAAGGTCCCCAATTCTCCACTTGGTGCCACTCTCTTTCCTATAACAAATGTGTACAATCAATAAGCTGTGGTAAATCAGACATTGTTATCATTTTGCAAATTGCTCATTCTTGTTTCTCTGACTATATTGAGGTGCTTAATGAAAATGATCATGTTCTTTCTTTTCTTAAAGCAACTTAGAGAAGATGTACACAAAAGTTTTAAGCTTTATTATAAAATCTTGAACAAACATACAAACACATACAGACAGAGAGAGTTTAAGTACTCTGCTAAGTACTCTTTCTTTCTTCTTCTTCTTTGAAAGCGGCTCGATGCTCTCTCAACATGACAACCATGATGATGATAACACTTGCCAGGAATCTGAGGTTTGGTCCTTGAAGCACTTTCGAAGAGAGTAATACACCCAAGGAGAGCAACGCATCTGCGGCTCCAACGTCTTGTAGATAACCCATAATCTTAGCAAATGTGATGATGTGACAGTAGAATGCGAAGAAACTGCAGATTAAGAACCAATCCGCCCACTCTGATTGAAGCTCAATCTCTTTAGCAAGACATTCAATGATCAAATGCAATTGCCACTGGATCACGAGTCGTCTGATCGGCCTTGAACAGTGGTGTTGTTGTTGCCTCGGTCCGTGGAGGCGTTTTGAATAGTAATGTGAGATTATGATACATTGGGGTATTATTATAACCACAGCAAGAATCAAACCTTGGAGTTTCAAACCGATCTTTGAGGCTATCATAAATGTAATCTCAAAGATTAAAGAAGACAACAGCTGAATCTGGAGGAGATGAGGAAAACGTGTGTAACACGAATTCAGTTTGAGGCACACATTGTCAAGAACGCACAGACAAGGGTTTAGGACACTCATGATCTTAGGGTTTGACTGGTTTAAACGCTGCGGTTGCGGTTGCGGGAGTTTGCGGTTGCGGGAGTTTGCGGAAGCGGGAGTTTGCGATTAAAAGCTGTTTGTACGACTGGTATAGCAATTCATAGCGGTTGCGTTTGCGGGATATTTTTGACTGGTTAACCAGCGGGTGCAAGAGCGGTTTAACCAAAAGTTACTAAAATAAAATAATATATAATTATTCAAAACATTTATAACCATATTATTAATAGATTTTTTTTAAATATATTCTTTGATGAATTTTTAATTTGAAAACTACCCTTATTTTTTTGGTTTTGAAAAATACACTTTTTATATGTAAAATGATTATTCCTAATTTAATAACTAAACGAAATTCAAATAAGAAATATAAAATATTAATTTTGATAATAATTTTGTATCATTTTAACATCTAAACTAATTACCTGTTTAGTTTTTTTTTAAAAATTTAATAAAAATATAAGATTGTTTATATAAAGTTTAAATGGGGTGAGATTAAAGTTGTTTATATAAAGTTTCAAAAATATTTAAATTTTTCAAAAGATAAACATTAAAAATGAAAGATATATTTCTCCACTTTTTAAATTTTTAATAATTTATAAACTTTAAAATATGTAAAGTTTTAATTTATTTAAAGTTTCATTTGGTTGGAATGTGTATGAGGTTAAGTTGTTTATATAAAGATCCAAAATATTAAAATTTGTTTCAATTTAACATATACTATATTTATTTGAAAAAAAACTTATTAATTTATTATTTTTTTAATTTTCGTTTATAATTTGTAATTATTTATTATTTTTTGTTTAAATCACGTCAAAACATACTTTTTACATTTTAAAAGTGTATTTTTCAAAACAGAAAAAATTTAGGGTATTTTCGAAATTTTTAAACATAATTATGGTATTTTTCAAAAAAATATACCCTTATTCCAAATTTGGAGATATTATGTTTTTTTTTTTTTTTCAAACCGCAACCGCCCGCAACCGCAAACGCTTGCGGAAAGGAGCTTTTGATTTCCAGCGATATAGAGCGGTACAGAGTGGTATAGAGCGGTTGAAAGCGGTTGTCGTGATTGTTATAAAACGCTAAGAACCGCTACGAACCGCAAACGCTGCGTTTGCGGGTGGTAGCGGGAGAACCAATCATCACCTTAGTCCAAACGTTGGAGATAACAGTCGAGCACTTTGAAGTAATCATTGTTTTTCTTTCTTTTTTTTCTGTTGGGTGTTATACAATTTTTCTTTTTGGAAGAGAAGCCTAAAATCACTCAACAATTAATGAAGCTATTTATACACAGGAAAGGATAACTACAAATATCTACGAGATTAGTAAATATTAACAAGTAAATCTATCACAGAATATTTACCCTAATATAGAGAAGATACAGACATTTTCCGTATGGAAAGTAATTTGTGTTTGCTTATAATGCAAAATATAATTTCTTTATATTCTACACATATTTTCTATAGGTTGTTTATTTATTTTTACTCAATCTACACAAGTAGAGTAAACAAAATCCTAAAAGGCAATTTTATCTAATTTGATCTTTTCTTCTTTCTCTAATGTCATATTTTTTCCTCTTTCTCTAATCTCATTCTTATCTTTCACGCTGAAGTTCACCAGAATCTTTACAGAAACCAAGAATAATTGCTTCAAGATGTTAAAAAAAAAAAAAAAAAAAAACCCAAGAATAATTAATTTTTGAGTGGAAAATTTTATGATCACTAGATTTCTTTCCTTAAATATTGCACCAAACAATTATTTATCTTTTAGTTATAAATCCACATCAATTTATTAAATCGACACTGAATTAAGGAGCAAGCAACCAAAACATAATCATGGAAGATCGTAACAGAATCATGAAAATAGGGTTTGATCAATTCACTGATTACAAAGACACATAAGAACACAAATCTCGAATCTTGCACAATCGCAATCGAAAGAGATAATAAATTAAAAAACTTACGGAAAATCAATCGTAAGAACCCAAAATACAATAACTGGAATCAGTTGATATCGGAATCATCGAAGTCATCTTCGAAGCTGTTGAAGAAATTGGCGTCTTTGAGCTTCTTCGCCGAAGAGAAAAGTCCGCCGCCGAACATCTCCATGGGTTCGTCATAGTCATCGTCGACGTCCATCGGCATCGCCATGGATTCTCCGAGATCATCCATGTCATCAAAAAAGTGATCGAGGATCATCGGCCTCCTCATCTGCGATCTACTCCAATCTCTATTCATAGAATTCCCTTCTGCGTGAAATCAATCAAATCAACCAGCAGTGGAATGGAATCGTTTAATATATATATAAGAAAAGTTTAAATAGGAAAAAATAAATAAAATGGAAAGATATCTAAGTTTGAGAAATTTTAAAATTATGGAAAAGGAAAAAAAATCTTTAAATTTCTTCTCTTCAATCACACCTTGCTTTGTCGATAAGACTATATCTATAAAGTTGTTTCTATGGTTTAGATTATATTCTAATATTATTCTTTGTTATACAGAATTTTCAAATACAACAAAATTTTAATGTATAGGTACAAACGGAATTATACACAATATATTGTTGTATTTTTAAAAATCTGTATAACATTTTTAAGAAATAGAAAAGTTAATTTGACAACAGTAAATACCTGTCAATGGGAATAGAAAAACTTCTATGTAAATGCATAACATATAGAGAAAGGAAAAGAAGAGAAAAGAAGCACGTGCCATTATTATAATAATAAAGATAATGAAAAATCACGTTTGATATATAAAAGGAAAATTCAGGTTTGATATCAAAACAAGGAAGAGGAAAAGGAAAAATAACGTTTGATATTAAAAGAAACCACTAAGAAGGTTTTCCATTTCAGAATAGTTGATTTTCCTTTTATGCAATAACGTTAAGTTTTTCTTTTCCCTATATATATGGATGGGGAAGATGCTCGGCTGAGAGAAATAATCAACCGAACAATAATCATATATTGTTTTTAGAACTACAAATCTCTTTCTTTTTTGGTTTTTGGTTCAACTTCTCTCGTTCTTAATCACAACATTCAACATGATTACTACAAAAAATTTAAGCTCCGCAGTTGAAGCCTTCAAGACCTCTGATGTCGACATGGACAAGGCGCCGCCAACAATGGAGGAGTTGCAGTTGAATCCACGGCACTAAGTAATCCACGGCCAACTAATCGGGTTTCCCCATAACTTCTCTTCGATACTAAGTAATTTTTATTTTTTATTTTTTTTTATCCGGACTTGTCTATCTAGATCACTATTTTATTAATAAGAATTTTTTTGTTTACTTTTTTTAATCAGTTGTTTTAACAGCAATATTCTTCCACAGCTTCAATAGTATTATTTTTACAGAGTCTTGATAGTTTTTTCAATTCAGATGAGAGAATCTTCAATTTCAATTGGTTATGTACTTATGTTGAGTGATTTACAGATGCGAAACAGCATGTGGAAATTACGAACAACAAAAGCCCAAGCCCTAAGGATTTAAACTAGTGATCATGTAAACGAATCAGGATCCAGACGTAAATTAAGTATCTTCGATCTCTTAATTTTCTCAGTTGCGTTGCTAACAAGGTTCAAAATTAGCAATCTCCGGTGAATTGGATTCCGACGAGAAACGAAGCAACTTCTTGTAAAGCTGTAACGAAATCCGGAGAAACAAAATTGAGTTTTCTGTTTCGATTTCTTGATGAAAAAGAAACAAATCGAGAGAGAGAGAGAGAGAGAGAGAGAGACTAATTTTGAGTCTGAGACTACCGTCACTACTCTATTACTACGATACCAGAACGGTGTCGTTTTATTATCTCAATGAACTAATGGTCGATACGTCACCGTTTTGGTTACCTCAAATGTAAAAAATAATTATACTCTTGTTCCCACCATTGAAACACAAACATTGATCGAGGCTTTTAGGGATGGCGAATCGCGTCAATCCTCAACGATTCAGGTTCCTTAGGTGGAAAGTGTTGAAATTAATCAGTTACAAAACCAAATGGCTCGATGGAATTTCAAAACCCCATGCTCGTCGATCTCGGGATAAACGAGGAAGAACAGTTTATACTTGCGAAGCACTCAATCTGTTCGACGAAATGCCTGTGAGAGTGTACGGATTTGGTGAACTTTTCTGTTTGCGTTCGACAAAATGTTTTTATCAATAGAGAAACAATAGAGTATGTTTTTATCAATCTGAAAAAAAATGTTGGCTTGTCGTATAAAAGACTACTTTAATCCTTTAGAAAGACTCTCCCATCTCTCTCTCTATAAATCTCTCTGTTTCTCTCTCTCTAGGTTTCTGTGGTTGCCGTAACCAGAAGATGGAGGCGAGAACAACGATTAAAGACACCAAAGAAGCAGAAAATGATACGGAGAAGAAGACGAGTGCCGAATCTTCAATCTTTTCAACTATTCTCGCTGATATTGAACGGAATCCAACGATATTGCAGAACCAGAGGAATCTTAGCGCTGAAGTTTCAATCTTTACAACGATTCTCGCCGATATTGATGATGAGAATCCAACGATATTGCAGAACCAGAGGAATCTGATCCCTCAAGTTTCAGTCTTTACAACATTTCTCGGCGATAGTGATGAAGAGAATCCAACGACACTGCAGAAGAAGAAGAAGAAAGAATTGAAGAAGACCAAAAGAAGAGGATCAACCCCAATTGACTTCTCTTGTACGATACCGAAAACCCTAAGACGTTCGTATTTGGTCGACAGTCTCAATCAAGAACTTAAGATTCTGAAATCTGAATTGAAGAGCAAAGGTCAAACGAGCGGTCTCTCTCGTAACCCTAATTACGGTAGAGAATGTGGCGGTTGCGTAGAAGAGGGGAAAGTAGAAGAACAACGTGAAAAGGTTAAGTTTCTTGCTGAAGGAGATGGTGCGATTGATGAGGCTATTGAGGAGATGTTAGGGATGATTGAGAAAGATGGAAGTTACTTGGAGCAGATCAAATACAATTACGAGAATGGAGATTTTCATGATGATCGGTTTAGAGAGGAACTAAGGAAGAAAGCTGACAAGGATGAGAAGGAGATCTCCTCATGGATCTCTAATGGAGAGCCTGAAGCCGAAACCAGAGTTTCACAAGAAGAGAAGCAGGATATCAAGAAGAAGAGTCCAGTGAAGGTGAATATGGAGAAGACTGATGAACAAGAATCAACTGTGACTAAACGAGATTACTCCTGGTGTAAGAGACGGTGGTATCTGATTGAGAAGCTGAGACAACGAGAGGAGAATCTGAAGAAGAGGAGAGCGAAAGCTGTTAGATTTGGAGTGGAGTTCTCGTTTCTTGTGGCGGAAGTCATGTTTTTGATACCTACTGAGTTTCTTGCTAGCGAAATCGAAGATTTTTGGATCTCTCTGAAGCGTTTTGGTGTCAATGGAGATGATGGTAAAGGGACAAGTGTGATCATAGGAAAGCTAGAGGAAGTGTTTGAGGTAGTGATTAAGAAGAAGGAGAACAAAGAGCGTCACAATGTGAACGTTCTTGAATCTGTTTTCCGGTTTGATGGTTACAAACCTCTTTGCGTGGATGCAATTCAGTTCTTGGGGAAGATTGTTTGGGGTCTGAGAAGAAGTAAGCAGAGTGAAAGAGTCGAGCTTTGTGATTTGGATTCTCTGTTTGAAGATTGCCAGAGAGTGTTGATGAAGTTAGAGCTGAAGCTAGCAGAGATGAAGCAGAGGATGTACAGATCGGTTTCTGCTGATTATGAATCGGTTTCGAAGACAGAGAGGTTTGGTTTGCTCAGTAGAAAGGTTATGAGAAGGGCCAATGCGGATAATAGGTTTGGGAGGTCTGTGATTGGATGTTACTTGACTGAGATATGGAAGTCTCTGTTTCAGGCAGAGGCGTTGCAGGAACAGAGAAAAGAAGAATGATTTCGAAGTATAGTCATAGATTTTTACTTTTTAGTGTTCTTGGACCAGGATTTCTTTTTCTAGGAATTGACTAGCGGCTTTGTGTATATCAAACAATGTAGATTCTTACATCCAACAATAGTCTGAATGTTAAAAAATGGGTTAAATCTCATGTGTATATCACCAATCAAGTAATCAAGTGTTAGAGGAGAAATTAGCACATTTCCCTGAGCCCGTCATCATTAGTAAAGTTACAAAGCCCAATCCGATTTTAGGCCTAACATCTTCAAGAAAAAGGCAAGACTTGAAGAGAAAGGCACAATCCATGGAGAAATGTAAATAAATCTTCATGCCGACTTAAAGAATGGAGAAAGATCCAAAAACAAGAGGGAATTTTCCATATCGCAAAAGAGGAAGTTTTCCATCTCGCCTGAAGGAGAATATTCATCATTCGGCCGACTTATCAACGCTATATATTGAAGACCCCCCCATTGGGGAGAGGGATCCGAAATCATCTAGAATCACTAGGCTTTCACATTAGCTTTTACTCTATCCTCTTGTTCATCATCATAATCTCGCTAGGCTTGTTAGCGAGATTGCTCTCTTGTAATCTTCTTGATAATCTAAGAGTCGAATTAAGCGTTCCAGTTTCCTAAACTCACATCTTAGATAGCCCGTCTTGACGAGTGCTATCTCGGATTCAACATCAAGTAATCAACTGTAGACACTCTTGTTGGCGATTTGATTTTTAAAAACAAATGTCTTATTGGGCTCAGAGTTCATTAAGGTATGTCAAGTCATTAACCTAGGAGACCCAATGAAACACTTCATCTGTCTCTAAATCATACAAAGTAAATACAAACCAGTTGATCGAATTTATGCAACTGGTTGTTAATGTTTTGTGAAGACCTCACAAGGTTGATCCATGGCTGATGTACATTTGAAGAAAATAAGGTTACGTACGTGAATTTATGCAACTGGTTGTTAATGTTTTGTGAAAACCTTACACGATATACTTTGGAGTAATGACTTAAAAGAGTAAATGAGTCAATGGCTATGTACGTGGAAGACTCACTAAGTTTGTGGTGTTCCATTTGGACTGCAAAGTACCTCATCTATAAAAGGAAGGATACGAAAATATATATGAGAACCATAAGAAAGAAAATGAGGCAAGAGACCATACACTACGACATCGTAATCATAATAATGATGGTGGCTTTATTTTGACGCGTCTAGAGTAAAGGAGAGACAGTTTAAGCTATAGACGACTTAATTAATAACTGTGGGTCGTTGGATAGACGTGTGGCCTCCTCTAATTTTCTTTAACACGTTGTATTTACACTTCTACAAATGACATACTTTGTAGGTATCTCTTGGTGGCTTGCGTGATCAGGGAGTGTTTTGGACGGCTGCTTCTCAGTGATTTTCTGTCCACTGTGCCGTGACGTGCTCCGTGAGACTTTAATGTTGGAACCCCCATTGCCTTCCAAGTTCCTCCTCATTGTTATTGTCTCTTTTGCTCGACCTACACATTACACAAGACATAGCATCAAATCATTAAGTAATTTCGACTATAATTTATTCATAAGCTCCATTCAAACTAAGTGACTAAAACAGTAAATGAGTTACAAATTAATACTCTATGTGTTCTCCAATAAGTGGCATTTTAGAAAGAACAAAAAAATGTAATTGTATTTTGTTATTTTGATTGTTAAATTTTGATATTGAAATTTTATTGGTTGAATTTTTGTGTAAATGTGATAAAACATGTTTGGGTACATTTCAAAAATACATCTTTTGGAGTGTCAATTTTCTAAACTACACCTCTATGATGTTAATTTTCAAAACTACATTTTTTCATGTAATAAAAGAACTGAAATATAAACTTCAAATCATAAAATCTTAACTCTAAACCCTAAATCTAAACCCTAGTCTGGGATTAGTGAACCCAAACATATATATTAAATTTCAAAAAAAGTGTAAGTTTGAAAATTAACACCATAAATGTGTAGTTTTGAAAATAGACACCCCAAAAGGTGCATTCCTTAAAATTTCTCAATATGTTTTGTTTAAAAAAAAAATATTGTGTACATAGCTCCAAACTACCACTTATTGTAAAACAGAAAAAGTATATATAATATAGCTTTTACCAAAATAAATAAATATAATATAGCTAGGTCGAAGACTCACTTAGTTTGCGGTGTTCTATATGGGCGGCATCAGCAAAATGTGAAAATGTTATTACAAAAAGAATGAGAATGATGGAAGAGACTATAGACGCTCCCATCCTGATACTGAATGACAAATTACTTTGATTACATTTCAAGAATTTATAGAGAACAGACCAGAGAGAGGAGTTGAAGCTTGCCATCTCTTTGCGTTTACTCGGTCAAATGGGTTACCATCATGGCATTGGTTAATGAGAGCCAGATTTGAATTTTCTTTATTTTTTTCCATATTTATTACTGATAATAAATTAAGAATTTTTCTTTATTTTTTCCCATGGTTTATGCGGATTATGAGTCGTTCTCGAAGACAGAGAGGTTTGGTTTGCTAAGTAGAGAGGTTATAAAAAGAGCCAATGTGGATAATAGGTTTGGGAGGTCAGTGATTGGATATTACTTGATTAAGATATGGAAGTCTCTGTTTCAGGCAGAGGCGTTGCAGAAACAGAGAAAAGAAGAATGATTTCCAAGCATAGTCCTGGATTTTTAGTGTTCTTGGACCAGAGATTTCTGTTCCTAGGAATTGATTAGCAGACTCTGTGTATATCTGTTTTTATTTTCTTGATGGAAATCAAACAATGTAGATTCTTACATCCAACAATAGTTTGAATGTTAAAGATGGGTTAAATCTCATACGGTTGTTTTGATCCAATGAGTCTTCTGAGATGGTATTATTTGGGCGTCCCTTTCCTAGAGACTAGGTGGATCTCTTATTATTTTTTATATCAATAATTCACATGGTGGATACAGTAGAACTTCTATAAATTAATACATACTATACTATAAAATAAGTGCAATTCTCTACCATCAAAATGTATTGTAATTCCTCTCACAGCATCATTAGTTTTTTTTCCATCTCATAATATTTTTCCATTCATAAAAGTAACTTTAAACATTAAAGCTAAACCCTAAACAATCAAAACTAACCCTAAATTTTCAAAACTACTAAATACTAAACAAAATCCAACAAAATGTTCTTTTGGTACTACACATTTAATTCGATACAACAACATATAATGTTAAGTCATGACGCCATTGCAGCACATGAGACTTTGGCCATAAACAGTGGGTTCGAAACTAGTTAATGGCACAACTATGCAAGAAATGAGCAAATCAGAAGAAATAACCATAGAGATCAAGCAGGTTGTTTCCAAATAACTGCTACAACAAAAGTTGTTTTGTAGAAAGTTATACTCCTTGTATTTTATAAAGTAGTTAAACATATAAATATTCAGAAATTAGTTTTTCTTTATTTTCCTATGGATATCCATGGCATATCACATTAATATGTGATCCATGACAGCTTCTATGTGAATATCCATGGCAGATCACATTAATATTTACTCAAAACAATTCACTCTATAAGCATCTGATTTACTCTGAGTTATCAACAGCTGATACACAAAAGTTATAAGTTTTATCATAAAAGAGTATGTTGCCTTGAAATATGATGTTGATTATTATGTATGCATCAAATTGATTCTTTTTTGGTAAGGCATGACAAAACCATTTCAACAAATTGGCTCAGAACCTTACAACTCATCTCAACTCTGACATAGTCATTAACGCCCCTCTGAGGGCCTCCAGAGTCTTGAGGCAAGAGGTAAGAGACGCTGAACAAATTTTGTACATGTAATCCCTAAAACTAAAAACAAATCAATTAATGCTGGCTTAAACATCTCATCACTTGAGGGGCGATAGATCTGCTGCAACAAAATAAACAAAAACCATTGGTTTAACGTGTGATTGACATGACCACATATACAAAATATGTGGTGTAAGAAACTCGCCAAATGGTGGTTTAAGAAGAAAGAATGATATGTTGGTATGCCAACACACATCGGTCCAAGTTCAAGTTGTTCTCCGAGAGTCTCCTCAAAAAGTCGGTAAGAAGGAAAATCAGTGGATTTATAAAAATCCATGGCAGCTTCTATGTGAATATCCATGGCAGATCACATTAATATCTACTCAAAACAATTCACTCAATAAGCATTTGATTTACTCTCAGTTATCAACAACTTTATCATACAAGAGTATGTTGCCTTGAAATGTAATGTTGATTAAAGTAGAAACTCTGTAAATTAATAATTCGATCAATCAGTAAAAAAAAATTGATCTAAAATTAAGTTTTTGATCCAAATAATCTCATAAATTAATAAAATATTATGGTTCCAACATTATTAGTTTATATAGAGTTTCTACTGTATTATGGCATCGGACTGAATCCTTTTTTGGTAAGACAAACTTTTGTGTTTTGGAGTTGTACAATTTTGATGATTTTTGATTTTATATACCGTTTGGTATTAGAATGGATATCCAGAGTAACAGAAATCCGTGGCACAAATGCTATAGATATGGTAGGATATTATTTCTTGTTTAATTTCTAGCTTATCTATGCTTTATAGTATTATTCCAAGAGGATGTTTAATTCCCTCTTTGCTTTGTAGTCCAAAATCATTAGGATACTGTAAGCTCATGTGTAGTGAAATAATCATTACATAAATAGTACATTAAGTTGGCAAACAATAGTCTCAAACTCTAGAACCTGAGAAAACAAAAAGAACAAGAAGAGATCGTACAGAGCGAAAAGGGAAGACAACTGAGTTTTATAGAAGCTGAGTACTATTACTGAAGACTTTTATAGAAGCTGAGTACTATTTTCATATGAGAGAAAGGTGCGTTTTGTGAGAGACTGAGTTTTGTTGGTGTATTGTTGTATCATCCATCACAAGTAATCGAAAGAGAAAACTGAAAATCCTTGGCTTGTGACTGATAAACACTTGAGCTGCTTCTGAGTTTATACGCGACTCAAGTTTTTGTGGATGAATAGATTTAGAACAAAAGAGTGTCAATAAACTCATCAATGAAGCTCATAATGCATCCAACAGTGCTTCAAGGAGGAAGACAGAGAAGACTAAAGAAGTTGTTGAGGTTACCTGAGTTTATCTACCGGATCCTGTCATCGCATCAAACAAGCCACAACAACTTAACCAAGAGGTTCTTTGTGCAACTCCATGTGTTCGCACAGGAGCCTGAGAGAAAAACAAAGTTTTAGTCTTTCAGTAACAAAGAAAGAATATGAACCAAATCAAATCAAGAAAGAAGATAACCTCTTCTTCCTCCTCATGAGAAATGACAACTTCAGACTCTCTGCTGCCTTGAGGAACATCGTTGGATTCTAGAAGAGACGATGACGCTGCTTCTCCCTCGTTTTCCTTCACGTCAGAGTCGGTTCCACTTGAAACGTCAAGAGCAGTCTCAGTTGGTTTAGGCAAAGGAGGAGGCTCGTTTGAGACCATAGTACCACCAACCGACAAGATTTCAATCATTTTCTCAGAGTTTGGATCGTTAGCCGCAGTTGAATCGATTAAACCTGTATTCTCCACAAACGGAGCATAAACGGAGCATCTCCAGCAACTGGAATAGGTTGATCCGGCACAGAGATCACTTGAGAAACCGAATCATCACCACCAGTCTCCTTATTAGCATCTTTCTTCTTTTTAACTTCTTGTGATTCGTCATCCGAGCTGCTGCTGCTACTGGAGATGCTCCGTTTACAAAAATGGCTATTCATCCGGTACAGGATCTGTTGGAATTGAAGCAATCAGTCGAGGATGCTCTGAGGTAGCAAAGAAGTATATAACTGTTATGGGCTGGTATTGTTTTGTATGATCTTGTTTGATAGCTAAGTAGGATTTGACTTGTTCTCCACAGGCACACTTTGTTGAGATGGATCCTTGGGTTGTTTCAAATGTTGTACAACCAAACTTAGAACACACTGGGTTTGTTGATGCTTCGGTTATACACACTGCTCGAGTCGAAAACTTCTTGGAACGTGCAGATAAATTAGCAGACATGTCTAGTCTTGAAGATGTTAAACAGTTTGCCAGTTTCCATCTCTCATTATGACTTGCAAACTTCAGCTTTTAATAGTATCTGTTGCTATCAGGTAAGGATGTACCATTTGATTATATCAGCGTTACACCACCGTACATGGAGGTTGATTATGAGGTTCTGATGGATCAGATTTCTTAGTCGGCAGCTATATTGGGGAAAATACATTTATTGTGAGTAGCTATGTATCTCTCTTGTTAAAGCATCTTATAAGTAGTTTTGGTTCACTGTGTATTTCTCATGCTAATCTGGAAATGTTCTGATGTAGGTGGTTGAGTATCCCTCACGAACAACAATGCTTGATTCATGCGGATGCCTTGAAAAGGTAACGATTTCCTTATATTACTAGCGTAATGCATGGTGGTAAATTGAATGTTGATGAGAAAAAATTCATACAGATGACTGATCGAAGGTTTGGCCGGACACATCTGGCCATATATGGACCAAAATGGGCTCAAAAGCCAAGAAAATACAAGGACATAAAAATTAAATTATGGAAAAGTATCTTCAAATAAATATGTTACAAACAATAAGATATTATTTCACAAATGCTAAAACATAACTAGGCAAGAAAATCATTATTTACCTATAATATAAGAAACAAATTTCAAAAATTTGCTTCCTTTCCTAAAAACTTTTGACTAGAAAATATTTTCTACATATACCGTGTTATTATATATATATACTATTCATCCAGCCAAAATGAAAACATCTAAAAACAATCTAAGAAAATATCACAAAAATGGCTATCACAACGAAAATGTTGATCGCAATTTTTCTGAGCTTTTTCTTGGCCATATCTTATGTCAATTGTTCTGCTGAGAGTATTGGTACTAGCTTATTATTATAATCTCTATTTTATTATGTTATTTTGAGCATAATTTTTTTTTATATGTGAATGTTCATAATAGTTTATTAATTCTTGTGAAATAGGGTCTGGAAAATGGGGTGACAAATAGCAGATATGCTACTCCAAAGGTTACTGGCCATGGCAAGGGAATGCTTGCGAGGCGTTCTGCCAAAACAAATTAGAAGGATCGGCAAAATTAATAATTGGTGAAGTTGTTCAGGATCACAATGTTGTTGTAGAAATTATTATAATTTTATATAAAAATTTATGATCTTATAATAATAATAATATTATAAAATTTTCTACAGTTGTGAGTGTAAAACCAAAATCATACTAAATTGTATTCAGTTTCATTTTACTGAAGTAAATTTGGTGGCAATCCTAACAAAATATTAAACAAAGTACAAGAAAGATTCTGGTTTAGTCGGAGACTCGGAGTAATAGCCAGTGATCTTATTCTTTCAGCTTGCAAATGTTGTTGTAGAAACTTTTATGATCTTATCTTCTTATCTAATATTTGTATCTGCTAGAAACATAATTATCATACTATAGTTACAATTATAAAACCGAGAATGTTATCTATATATATAAAGTTGGTGTCATTCTATTCTGTTGTTGCCAACTCAGCAAAAGAGACTCCTTCTAAATTCAGCATTTTGCCACATCAGCATATTATTTAGATTATTATTTTCTCTTTTTATTATTTTAGTTTCATAATCATTAGTATTCATTACTATAATAAGTCTAACAAGAATATGAAAGGTCATTTTTTAAAAAGGAGAAAGATTATGTATAGATCTACAAAAACTATTATTTAGTAAATTTATTTTTATTAGGTTATATAATTTACGTTGATGTCAACATATTATATAAAGAACACTGAATTTTTTAAGTATTTTGGGATGAAATGAGACGAGACCAGACATGATGAGACGAAAAAAACATAACGAGATGGGATGTAAAAGAACGGAATGGAATGGGATATCACATAATTTTGGCTACTTCAAATTATATTTAGAGACGGAACAGAAAAAAAAACGAAAGGAACATGATGAGATAGGACAAGACGGAAAGAAACATAATGAAACAGGATAAGACGGGACGAGACAGACAAATTAAACATGACGAGATGAAAAAAAACGGAATGAGGCGGGATTGGACGGGATGGGATGAAAGGGACATAATGGGACGAGAAGGGACGGGACATAAATTTCACCTAGCCCAAATTATATTGACAGGACAAAGACACGTCAAAATGGAAAAAAAAAAACATAAATAGGATGGGACTCGATAGAGCGGACAGGACGGAACGGGACAAGATGAGAAGGAATGGGACTATACGGGAATTTTGCCTATCATTAGTTATATTTAGGGAACGGGACGAGAAGAAACAGAAGGAACATAATGGGATAGGACATGATGGGACATGACAGACATGACGGATGGGATGGGAAAGAACGGACATGATGAAAATGAACAAAATGGGATACGATGGGACAAGACGGTACGTTAATTTTATCTAACCCTAATTATTTTTAATTAATATGTGTATTTTTTTTTGAAACAATAATAACCCACATGTATAAATTAATTTGCGGAAAAACAATAAAATTAACACAATAATGTAAATTCTCGCGTGAAGCGTAGTAAAACATAATGGTTATGACTTTTTGATGAAAAAGGATGTACAGATCGGTTTTTGCGGATTATAAATCGTTTTCGAAGACAGAGAGGTTTGGTTTGCTCAATAAAAAGGTTACGAAAAGGGCCAATGCGGATAATAGGTTTGGGAAGTTAGTGATTGGATGTAGGTATTATTTCTTGTTTAATTTCTAGTGTATATATCTTTATATTATTAATTGAGAAGTACATTCTAATGTTTGGACATAAGAATAAGAAAAAAATCTATTTGGATAGAAGAATAAATGGAAAAAAATTGTTTGGTTCCAAAGTAATAACTTAAAACAAACCAATGGTTTATAAAACTTCCGTTTTTCAGCTCATAAAAAATCTGCAAAAAAGAAAAACGAAAAATTAACATAATCTATCGATAATACCAAATAAATTGAATATGATCGAATGATATTTGAAAAATTTCCAATAGTGAAATATAAATACGTCTAATTTAAATCAAATTGTGGATTTCTGTTCGGGTTTTTTTTTAAATTTACTGATCTGTTTGGGTTCGAGTGATATTTTCAAATATTCCAATAGTGAAATTTAATAAATACGTCTAATTTAAATCAAAATGTGGATTTTTGTTTTCTGTTCGTGTTTGTTTTTGAAAATTTCTGATTGGTTTGGGTTCGAGTTTTTTTTTGGTTTACTTCAGAGTTTTCCGGATTTTTTGGATTTCGGGTTTAGACAAATACTTTTTTTAAGTATTTTAAAATTTTTATTAGGGTTTTTAGGTCGGGTTTCGGTTAAACAACTTTTGAGTTTTTTTTTTTAAATTCGGTTCAGGGTTTTCGGGTTTAGACATATTAAAAAGGTTTGGGTTTTTGAAAATTTTGATTAGGGTTTTTGGATCGGGTTCGAGTTTAAGATTTAGATTTTTTTCACAAAGCCGCAACGTTAATAAGCTACATTATCATTATGTTAATTAATCCGGTTGATTACCAAAACAAAACAAAACTAAAAACATAAAAAACATAACCCCGCGCTACTGCGGGTCAGCTACTAGTGTTTTATTATTGTATTATTCAAGAAGATGTTTAATTCCCTTTTTGCTTTGTAGTCCCCAAAATTAAATTAATGAATTTTAAGTGTTTGAACAAAAGATATTAGAAGCTCATGTGTAGTGAAATAATCATTACATAAATAGTACATTAAGTTGGCAAACAATAGTCTCAAACTCTAGAACCTGAGAGAACAAAAAGAACAAGAAGAGATCATACAGAGCGAAAGGGAAGAGAACCTCTAAGGACTTATATAAAGAGCAGAAACTGAAGACTTTTACAGAAGCTGAGTACTATTTTCATATGAGAGAAAGGTGCGTTTTTTTTTTGAGAAACTGAGTTTTGTTGGTGTATTGTTGTATCATCACAAGTAATCGAAAGAGAAACTGAGAATCCTTGGCTGTGACTGATAACACACACTTGAGCAGCTCCTTTAGTTTAAACACGACTCAAGTTTCTGCGGATGAAATAGTTTGGCACAAAAGAGTGTCAATAAACTCATCAATGAAGCTCATAATGCATCCAACAGTGCTTCAAGGAGGAAGACAGAGAAGACTAAAGAAGTTGTTGAGGTTACCTGAGTTTATCTACCGGATCCTGTCATCGCATCAAACAAGCCACAACAACTTAACCAAGAGGTTCTTTGCGCAACTCCATGTGTTGGTCGCACAGGAGCCTGAGAGAAAAACAAAGTCTTAGTCTTTTCAGTAACATAAGCAACAAGAAAGAGTATGAACCAAATCAAATCAAGAAAGAAGATAACCTCTTCTTCCTCCTCATGAGAAATGACAACTTCAGACTCTCTGCTGCCTTGAGGAACATCGTTGGATTCTAGAAGAGACGATGACGCTGCTTCTCCCTCGTTTTCCTTCACGTCAGAGTCGGTTCCACTTGAAACTTCCACGGCAGTCTCGTTTGGTTTAGGCAAAGGAGGAGTCTCCTTTGAGACCATAGTACCACCAACAGACAAGATCTCAATCATTTTCTCAGAGTTTGGATCATTAGCCGCAGTTGAATCGATTAAACCTGTATTCTCCACAATCGCATTAGCACTAGACCCCATAAACGGAGCATCTCCAGCAACTGGAATAGGTTGGTCCGGCACAGAGATCACTAGAGAAACCGAATCATCACCACCAGTCTCCTTCTTATCATCTTTCTTCTTTTTCACTTCCTGTGATTCGTCATCCGAGCTGCTGCTGCTACTGCTACTATTGCTGCTGCTGCTGTTAGAGCTCTTGTCATGATCATGGCTTGAATCTGTGATCTCTATGCGTTCATCAGTGTCCACTTCATGTTCCTTTTTGATTCTGATTGCATCCTCGTCTGTGAATCAAACCATTTTAACAAATCTAATCAGTTTCAGAACAGAGAAACAAAACAATATCACAAGTCAGAACAAAGACTGACTTATTTGACTGCTCAAGTCAAATCAAGAACCAGAGATCCACAAAATCAGCAAAAGATGCAAACTTTCAATCAAAAACATGAATCTGACAAACAAAATTACCAAAATGCTAAAAAGGTCAAAAATTTACAGCTTGGGATCCCTAAAATTTGAGCCTTAAACCCCAATCGGTAACACTTAGGGATAACAAAAAAAAAGGAAGTGAAAGGGTACCCATTTGTTTGGATCGGTGAGCACAAGAACAATAAAAATCCAAACTTTTTTGAAGAATCTATATAGAGAACAGTCCCAAATTTCAACAAACAAGAAAGGTCGCCTAAACGTGTGTGTGATTGAATGATTGAGATACAGCGAGAGAGACAGAGAGACAATCCCAAAAAAATAAAAAAGCGAAAGACAAGGTAGTGGGATTATGTGCTGTGAAAAATAATTAAAAAAATCACCATGGTTGTTGTTGGATTTAAGATTGATTTGAGTAGAAGATGCTTGCTCCTGCTTTTTCTTAGCGGCTTTTCTTTTCTTAGCACCTGAAGGCATGATTGATTGGGGTTTTTTCTTTTTCTTTCTTGTGGGGATCTGTACAGCTATGGCGGATCGTGGGTTGTCTCTTCTTCTCTTCCCTTTCTCTCTGTAAATTAGGAGCAAACAAAAATATGGCGTTTTTTTTTTTGTTTGGCTGTGAGCCGAAAAGGTTCAAAAATCAAATGGTAGAAGTGGGAAAGTTTGGTGTGTTTTTTTATAACAAAGTGATTCGTGAAGGCGTTTTCTCGTTTATTGACATTTACTGCAAAATCAAATCCTTTAAGTTTTATTTTTTTCTTTTTGGATTTGTTTCCGCGTTTGTTTCATTTGTTTTCCGCGTTTGTTCCGTTTACTAATTTAGTATGTCATATCAATTGATGTAAATTTGGTTAGCTTTTGGGTTTTTTGTCTCATATGGAAAATCAAAATAAAAATAGCTTTTACATTTTCAGTTTTAAAAAGTTTAATTTAGATTACTAATCTAGTCATATCAATTGATGTAATAAGAAAACATAATTGATGGAGATTTTCATTAAAAAAAAACAACAAAAATTGGTAGATGAATTCAGCAAGTGTTTAATACCACCATCTTAGGCTGATTGATCATCTTGCGAGTCTTCAACTATGATGATGATGTGTAATGTATATTTGTGAATCAACGGAACAACAATCATAAGAAGCACCTTGAGGTCCTTGACCATAAGCAGTATCGATTGTGAAATAAAAGAGCGATTCAGAGACAATCAAGCTATTGTATCAATTTCACCTTTTACCTTGAGACATTATAGGCCATGATCGAAAATTGACTCTCTCGAGGCTTGGCAAGTCGGAGCAGTGTATGTTGTGTCCAAACACCTCATTGTTGTTAAGAATGGAGAAGATTTCACTGCTGACAGCTGTGAATGGTGATGCAGTTTCAAGGTTGGCCGAGTGATTCCATTCTTACAAGTTGTGAAGTTTGAAGGTTATATGAAAAAACAATTCGTTTCAATTACCTTGAGAGTCTTGAGCGAAACAGAATCTCCAATAGTTAGATAAAATATTTTTTTCAATTTTAAAACCAACAATTAAAACAAAGTTGTTGCCAATTAACAACACTTCAATAAAGGAAACCATATTAGTGTAAACTACATGATCTTTATTATATTATTAATTGAGAAGTACATTCTAATGTTTGGATACAAGAATAAGAGAAAAATCTATTTGGATAGAAGAATAAATGGAAAAAATTGTTTGGATACAAGAATAATAACTTAAAATAAACCGATGGTTTAGAAAACTTCCGTTTTCCATCTCTTAAAAATCTGCAAAAAAGAAAACTTAACATAATCTAACGATAATTCCAAATCAATAGAATATGCTTTTTGGATTTTCGGGTTTTTATAGACAAGTTCGGGTTTGGGTGAAAATCTGAGACATAATTTTATAGAGATATATATAGAGATATAGAAATTGTTCGGGTTTCTTTGAAAATTTCTGTTCGGGTTAGGTTCAATTTTTTTTTTCAGTTTAGGGTTTTCCGGATTTTTTAGATTTCTGGTTTTCGGGTTTAGATATATTAAAAAAATTGAGTATTTTAAAATTTTGATTAGGTATTGGGGTCGGGTTCCGGGTGAAAAAGTTTCCAGATTTTTTTGTTCAGTCAGGGTTTTCGGGATTTTTTTTATTTCGGATTTTCATGTTTAGACCTATTAAAAAAGTTTGGGTTTTTAAATTTTTTGATTAGGGTTTTTTGTCGGGTTCGGATTTAGGGTTTAAATTTTCTACACAAAACAACAACGTCACACCGCACAAACGTGCGGGTACTCTACTAGTTAGTTAATAAAAACAAATTATAAGGAAAAAAAATTCTCAGGCCTTTTAACCAAAAAAAAAGGAAAATGATTTTCTCTAAGTAACAACAATGTTGATATATCATATATTAAGACCCTATTAAGACCCGATGATGAATCTATATTGCAATATGTATTTGGTGATATTTTTCATTGAGTTCATTATAGCAGTTAAGGCGGTTGTATTACTGAAGCGACTTAGTATTGGTTTTCTTGCGTGATTTTCATAAATAGGGCGAACATTTCTTTTTAAAAACATTGGTAAGGATCTCCTGAAAGTTGCAGGTTGTAATGTGACTAATGTCGCCATGTCGGTACATATTAGAAAACTAAATCCAACGTTAACAAAAGGAACATAAATAAATACTGTATAAGGTTGTCTTTTTCGGATTATTATTAATCATGTTATCGCAATTACGATTTACGACAAATGATATGGGTGAGTGGGGACAACAGACAAGTGGTTGTGAGGTGGCCATGTCAGATATTTCGTTAACACCAACCAATAATTTAATTATTAAACGCTCTGTTTATGCGAATGGATTTCTCTAGAAAAAATAATAATCGTCACTAGTTCTGGTCATTTCGGGAATTAACGATATGGAACAGAAACAGAAAATTCGAGAAACCAAGTATGATTTCCGAAGCATTCTTTTATTATAACGGGAATAAAAAGGGAATGAGAATTTTGAGAATCAAAAAATAATATCTGGAATCTTAATAAATCGGAAAAATTGAAAATAATATGAAAAATTAGGGAAACAATATGGGAAAATATGAAAAATAAAGGAAAATATGGAATAATACGGGAAATTATGGAAAAATTCGGAAAATATGGAAAAAATTGAGATATTTAAGAAAAAATGTCTAATTTTCAATTTTTTTTTTTTTGTAAATTGGAAAATAGGGAAATCTATTACCTTTCTCTTACACATTTGAATAAAATAAATGTTCTCAAACGAAAAATTGTAAATTTCGATTCTCGAAAAATTTGGGAAATTTTAAACGGTAAGGATGGGAACGGGATTCCCGTCCCGAAATGCCACTAATCGTCACGTAAAAAAAGTCTTTGGTAAGGCCTCGTTTGGCATGTTACTTTACAGTTTACATCATCCAAATTAACCGGACTGCCGGTTCGGTTCAGTTTCACATGTTAAGTTAAAATTCAATTTTAGCATTTTTCGCGACTTTTTTTATCCGACCCGACCCGGCTCGTTGTGTGAGCTCTGTAAATTTCTCCGAGGATCAGTGACATCGAGTCGAAGAAGGACACACATTTCAACAATCTCTGAATCAGATCTGATCTGTTTCGTCAGTTCCTCTCAAGTCCCTGATCAAGAGGAGAATCAACAATGGATGCGTTTAGAAGACAAGCGAGTAAGCTCAGAGATCAAGTGGCTAAGCAACAATTGGTAACTTATTTCCATCCAATTTCTTGTTTAATCGCTGAAAATATGTAGCTGAAACGTTTAGAGAAATTCTCCTCTTTCAATTTCGCACGGATTTGCCGAAAACGAAGCCTACTGCGGATTCCAAATTGCGAGTATAATGGTCTCTGAATCTGCTAATTTAGGGGAAATACCAATTAAATGCTCATAGTCTCGAGGATTCAAACATTTTGATTTGTATATTAGTATCTTAGAGTTGTTTAATTACAAAATCTTGGTGATGATTTGTGTTATTAGGCTGTGATAAAGCAATTCAGTGGGACTGGTTACGAAAGCTCAGATGTAATGGTGATTGATGAGCTTGAAATGCAAAGGCATCACCAACTCGATAAGCTTTACCGCTATACTCGCTCCGCTAAGGTTAAGACTGATAATTGACTTCGTCTCTTACTTCAGCAATTGACTTTGCGTTTATCTTCAGATGGAGAAGGTTTTCAATAGGTGTTGTTATTGTCACTTTTTCAGGAGTTCCAGAGAGAGATAGTTAAAGCAGCTGAGGCATTTACCACCATTGGGCTCAGACACATTGAAGCAGGTACTTATATGAGTGCACTTGTTTTGTGCTGTCCTTGTCCTGTTTCTGGTTATGACACATTTTGTGGTGACATGTCAGGAACCAAGTTGGCTGAAGACTGCAGTAGATATGGAACCGAGAACAGTCAGAGCATGGATGAGAATATTCTAGCCAAGGCTGCAGCTATATACGGCGATGCTCGGAAACATGTTGAGAAAGAACAAGAAGACTTTAACAAGCTTCTGTCTTCTCAGGTTTGCCTTGAAATCATATGTTTTAGTATATTGCTTAGAACCAAATCTAGAAGGAAACTTATTTTGTCGAATGAATTAAGGTGTTGGATCCACTTAGAGCTATGGTTGCTGGTTCTCCTCTTGAAGATGCTCGTCATTTAGCTCAACGTTACAGTCGCATGAGACAAGAAGCAGAGACGCATGTAAGAATCATTTTTAAAACCTCAGTTCTTTTTGATGATGTTTGGATGATATTTGTAATGTGAGTTATAATTCAAGAAAGTAAAAACAGGCAACGGAAGTGTCTAGAAGGCAAGCGCGTGTGAGAGAAGCTCCGATTCCGGAAAACGTGGCGAAGCTTCAGCTAGCGGAAGCGAAGATGCAAGAGCTAAAAGCGAACATGGCGGTTTTAGGTAAAGAAGCAACCGCTGCATTGGCTGCTGTTGAATCACAGCAGCATAGACTTACTTTCCAGAGGCTTGTGGCTATGGTATTTTTACACTCACATACACTTGAGTTTTTCGTGTTGTACGTTGATTACTGTTTTAACTGTGTTCGCTTATTCTACTTTAGGTCGAAGGGGAGAAGAATTATCACTTAAGAATAGCTGCCGTACTCAGTGACATTGAAGCTGAGGTTAGTACTAATGGATGATGAGTCGTTTTGCATATGTGAATCTAATCAAAAGCCTCACACTTTTTTTGGTATTTCTTAGATGGTAACCGAGAAACAACACAAAGAGTCTGCTCCTCCTGCGATTCCAACAGAGAACAGCTCAGAGAAAACATCATACTTCCTAGCTGAAGTAAGTTTTTATCTTGCGAAATGTCTGAGAAAAAAAAAGAAAAAAAAGACTCTTCATAAGCAAACATATGTTCTCTTGACAGGTGATTCATCCGTTTTCCGCTGCTTCAGAGAAAGAATTAGAGTTGGAAAAAGGAGATTACGTCGTTGTCCGAAAGGTTCATATACTTTACCAAGATCAAAGAACTAATCTTTGTGGTAAGAGCTTGAAAACTTAAGTCTTCTTCTGTGCTCTGTCTTTGAATAATCTCAGGTGAGCCCAACTGGTTGGGCTGAAGGAGAATGCAAAGGCAAAGCTGGTTGGTTTCCTATGGCTTACATTGAGAAGCGACAAAGACTTCCCACTAACAACTTCGCTGCTGAAGTTTACTGAGTCTCTCTTCTTCAAAGATTTCATTTTTTTACATTTGTCTAAAAATACTGCGTTTTGTTCTCTCATTTCCCAAGAAGTTACTACTCTTGTTCATATTTGTTAATCCAAAATAGGGCGTTTACCTCCCAAAAGATCTTTACTGCTGCTTATTGAAGAGTGTTCTTATTGCAGATAAAGCTTTAGAGAAATTCGAAATTTGTCATTTAAACACGAAGTTTTGTTAAGTTCAATTAAACCCTTGACGATTTCTTTTTGTTCCTTAACTTAGCCCGTAAGTAGCACAAATTTGAAACAACTACAAACTGCAAAAATCCAAGAATTATGTGGTAGGAAGCTTTCGAAAGCTACAAGTAAAAAGAATAACGAATGAGATTCTCTCTTCCTTTTTAAACTGTTAGGCCAACAACAAAAAAAGACGTTCTCAATTTGCACTCATATGCAGAGCAGCAAGAGAAGCATAAGCACCGCCTGAAATCTTCATCAGCGTCTCATGCCTTCCTTTCTCCGCAATACCGCCGTTTTTCACAACCGCGATCACGTCCGCGTTCTTGATCGTCGTCAGCCGATGAGCCACGACCACAGTCGTCCGGTTCACCATAACCCGATCAAGCGCGTCTTGCACTACGCGCTCGGACTCCGCGTCTAACGCGCTCGTCGCTTCGTCGAGCAGAAGAATCTTCGGATCCTTCAGAATCGCGCGCGCAATCGCGATCCTCTGCTTCTGACCGCCCGACAGCTGAACGCCGCGTTCTCCGACAGACGTGTCGTAACCCTGAGGCAACGAGCTGATGAACTTATGCGCGTTCGCGGCTTGCGCGGCCGCGATTATCTCTTCCTCTTTGGCTCCACCGGTTTTACCATAAGCTATGTTTGATCTGATCGTCTCGTTGAACAAAACCGGTTCTTGGCTAACCAAACCCATTTGCTGCCTTAACCAACTCAATTTGAATGTCTGAATCTCCACCTGATCGATCAAAATCGTACCGGAATCTGGATTGTAGAACCTCTCAATCATGCTTATCACTGTCGATTTCCCACTCCCGCTCTCTCCAACAAGCGCAACGGTCTGCAAAAACAATAACCAAGAGCAAATTTTTAACCGCTGAATCCGGTTTAACCGGTTAAAAAAAAAAGGCTCTGTTTTTTTTTGTTTTTACCTTTCCGGAAGGAATAGTCAAGCACAAATCCCGGAAAATCTGAACGTCCGGTCGCATCGGGTACCGGAAACTAACATGTCGGAATTCGATATCTCCGTTAACGTTTTGTAACGTTGTACCTTCATCAGAGCTCGAATCGATCTTCGGTTTAGTATCGAGGATATCGAAAATCGACGCTGCAGAGTCCTTGGCTTTGTTCGAATCAGGTGCCAGAGCACTCGTTTGAGAAACTCCAATCGCCATGATCGTCAATGCAAAGAAAACCTGTAAACTCATCAAGATCAGTAAAACCAAACGACATCTTAATTAAACCGGGATTTTGGTTCTCTTCTTTAATTACCTTGAAGACTTCACCAAACGTGGCTTTACCATGCTGAACCAACACCGCGCCGATGATGAAACAAACGGCATTGACGCAGTAGAGGAAAAAGAAAGACAAACCGAAACCGGCACCGCTCTTAAGACCTAACCGGACACCTTGCTTCTTCGGTCCGTCGCATTTTTGTTGGTACAGATCCATCACTTTTCCCTCTGCGCAGAAAGATGCAACTGTCCTTATGCTGCTCACTGCATCATTCGCTACTTGGCTCGCTTCTTCATACATCGCCTAAACCGAAATTAATCAAAAATCAGTAAACAAACCGACATAACCGGAATTTAACCAAAAGATAATGAATGTCAATCACAAAAACCTTAGCGTCCGCGCTAAAACCGGTTAGGAACTTGGTCTGAAGGTATCCTTGCATGACGATAAGCGGTGAGAGAGCGAGAACTATTAACGCTAAAATCCAATTAGCCGAAAACGCGATTATCAAACCGGCAACCACAGTCGCGATATTTTGCACGATTAACGCCAACGCATCACCCACCAAACTCCTCACTGTTGCAGCATCCGTGGACAGCCTCGCTCCAATCGCACCGCTGAAAACAAAAAATCAGAACAAAACATTGTTTAATATAAACTGAAAACGCGTTTGGCGGTTGGAACGGGAGGGATGGTTAAGATTTTTAAATTACCTTGAATTTGATGCGTCATCGAACCAGCTGATTTCTTGATGAACCACTTTATCAAAACACATGGACCGGATGCGTTTAATCAGCTTCCCTCCAGCGATACCAAAGAAATAGTTCTGAACCGGTATCATGACGAAATTAGCTAAACCGAGAGCCATGTAAATCATCGCCCAGAAACGCGAGTCTTTCTTCAGTTTATCGTGTTGCTCGTAGAACATGTTGATCGAGCTCGAAAGCAGCAAACCGAATATGGGAAACACCGTTCCGTGAACCATTGCAGCCAAGGAACCGAGAATCAGAACCGGAATCTCCGGTTTGTTGAGTTTAGCTAACCGTTTCAGTGACACTTTCTTGTGCCTCACGGTTTGATTCTCATCCTGGTTCTCATCGGTCTCGTTAACGTTAAGCGCTCCTGGTATAAAGAAATTTGCAGCGAGAGAGAAAGAATGGCGACTGCTCGATGAGTCTCGGCTTACCGATCTTCTCATCGCCGACGATAGCCTCTGGCTTCCTGATCTCTCTACGTCTAAGCTCGTTTCAGGTACCTCTGTTTCCTCAGCTTCTCCATGTGATCCTTCTTGAAGACGAACGAGCTGTGAATAAGCTCCACTTGGATTCTGAATCATCTCATCGTGAGTCCCTACAAAACACATTCCACAAACGGTTACGTACAATGCACGCCATTGTTTCAGAATAGGTCTACTTCTAGCAAACGTTACCTTTCTCGACGATTTTGCCCTGGTGGACAACGGCGATTGTGTCGGCTGTTCTTATTGTTGTCAACCGATGAGCCACCACAACGGTAGTTCGGTTCGACATTAGGTTCACAAGCGCGTCTTGAACAATGCGTTCGGATTCAGCGTCTAAAGCGCTTGTTGCTTCGTCTAGAAGCAAGATTTTGGGGTTTTTCAAAATCGCCCTAGCGATTGCTAGTCTTTGCTTCTGTCCACCAGACATTTGCGTCCCGTGCTCTCCCACCATCGTGTCCAAGCCCTATAATAAACCGAAGGTACTGTCACGATAAACCAAACACAAACCGATCATTCTAAAATTGTTTACTGTGTGTAAAATTTGAAGGCACCTGTGGGAGTTTGTCAATGAATTTGGCAGCGTTTGCGAGCTCAACCGCGGTTCGAATCTCCTGTTCAGTCGCGTCTTCTTTACCGTAAGCAATGTTCTCCTTGATCGTGGTCGCAAACAGAACCGGTTCTTGGCTGACCAAACCGATCTTGCTTCTAATCCATCTAAGCTGAAGCTTCTTTAGATTTATGTTATCTATCAACACTTCTCCTGATTCTGGATCATAGAACCTCTCGATTAGACTGATAACCGTCGATTTCCCGCTTCCGCTCTGACCCACCAGAGCCATCGTCGTGCCGTTTGGCACAAAGAGCGAGAATCCGGCGAAGATTTGAACGTCAGGCCTAGCCGGATACCTAAAGTAGACATCTTTCAGCTCAATGTCTCCTTTTATCTCCTCAAGAACATAACCGCTCGTGTCGTAAGAGTCAATATTTGGACTCCTCTTGATCGTTTCAAACATTTTGTAAGCTGCAGCTTGACCAGCAGCGAAAGCATTCAAACATGGCGATGTTTGCCCTAACGACCTGATAACAATGAGAGGTAGCTTCAGGAACAAGTAAGAGAGTCGATTGAGGGAATTAGGGTTTGTAAACTCACATTCCTCCGGTTAGGACCGCGAAAATCACGTTGATGACTTGTCCGCCATTGTAACCTTTCTCCATAATCAGCTTTGCGCCATACCAAACCGCTAAACCGTAGCTACAGAAAATCACAAGTAGCATTGTACCGAGACCTAGACCAGAGATCAAGCCTTGTTGAACCACAGTCTTGTAAGCGATCTCAAGCTTGCTCTCGTATTTTTCTATCGCTTGTTTCTCTCCCGTAAACGCTACTACCTGAGAGACCACAATTGACGCGACTTTAGAAATGCACAATTTTCAGAAATGAGGAAGAAGAAGAAGAAGAAAAACAGAGGAAACTCACTGTTCTAATGGCTCCAATGGTTTGTTCCACTACGTTTCCGGCTTCTGCGTAAGCGACTTGACCACGACCAGCCATTTTAGACATGATCAGAGACATTGCTCCACCAGCAATTACGATCAAAGGTATGCAACCGAGAAGCACAGACGCCAATAGTGGTCCTTTATAAAACGCAATCGCGAATCCTCCCAAGAACGTTGCTGCTAGTTGTAGAAATTTCCCAACCTGGTCATCAATTTCTCAGTATCTTGTTGCGCAAGGAATCTTTGTTATTGAATAAAGAAATGATCAAACCTTTTCTCCCATGGCATCTTGAATCAGAATTGTGTCTCCGGACATTCTTCCGATGACTTCTCCGGTGTTTGTCTCCGTATCGAAGAAGCCAATGTCTTGTCTTAATATCGTCTTCAGGTATAGACCACGGATTGTGGCGGATTGACGTTCTCCGGTTACCATCCAGCATGAGACCTCTGTTGAACATTTTGCACAAGAAACTGTTAACTTGGAACACGAGTAAGGGCAAAAGAAAACAGAGAGTAGTATAAACTTACGGAGGAAGGCGACGACACAGGCGTATACTGCAAGGTAAAGAAACTGTACAGCAGCAACCTATAAAAGAGTCATAAGACCAGAGGAAGTTTGATGAATTAGATACTAACCAATCGATTCTTTGCCACGCCAAGCGACATTCAAAAAACAAAACTTGCTTTAAAATCTTTAACGTTAAAGTAAAGGCTAATCAAACAGTATCTTTGTCCATATCTTCAAATCCAAGAAAACAGTAAAGTCCATTAATGTATATACACCAAGATCATGCAAAATTACATGTTACTCATAAATAAAGAAATAAAGTATAATTAGACCAACCAGTGTGATATAAAGCAGAAATTAAAGGGTGATTACTATTTAAGGTAACATCATAATTTTGTCTCATCAAAATAATTTAGGAGCTTAATTAAACCGAAATAACTCAAATTGAGTAAATAACAAGAGAAAATATTCGCAAATGCTTATTATTATGGAAACACTGGATAATCACTGAATCAAGAATATCATTAACCATAATCCCTAAATCAAAGGTACGTCTTCTTTCAAGATCGAAAAAATCTGACCCGATCTAATCAAACCCAAATTAACTAAAATGATGATAATATAAACTCAAGAACCCTAACCTTCCACACTTCTTTAACCATATGATCTGGATCTGTGGTGCCAAAAGCATTGATGAGCTGGCCAAAGATTAGAGTCATGAGCGGCTGAGTGACACCGTTAGCCACCGCGCCGATACTCCCGACGGCCATTAAGGCGACGTCGGTCTTGTCGGCGAACGAGAAAAGCTTGAAAAACGATACTTTCTGATTTTCCCCACCGTCTTTCTTGGTCGGTTTCTCCTCCATTGTTTCGTCTCTCTCTTTTTCTTTCTTCATAATGGAAAAAGTAGAGACTGTATAGGAAATAAATGAAAACTTTCACGGGATCTATGAGGAAAGAGAGAACAAAAGAAAAGAGAGAAGAAGAGAAGGCTTTATATAAGACTTATTGCGTAGAAAGAGAAATCGAAATTTGATGCGTGTTGTCGAAGAGCAAGAAAAAAAATAACTGAAAAAACAAAAAAGAATCCAGACTGTAAAAATATGAGAATCTTAGAGAGTTTCTAGAGGAAGGGGGAGAGAGAGAACATAAGTGAGACAACGAAGAGGTAGGAGAAAGAAGCTGAATAAACTTTCAAATGCTGTTATAGATTTTTTAGATCTCATTTATATAAGTCAAGTCCATAACTTACTTTTTGTGTTGCTTCCTTAATTTAGTGTTAGATAGTTAAAACACTATTCTTAGCTAATTCAAAATCAATTATTATTCTCTTTGACGTTTGCTTAGTGTTGTTACGGGCGGCTTTACAAAATTGTGTTTTCATACAAAAGCGAAAAACAAGTGAAATAAACAATGTTTTCATACAATGAACATAAATTCATTAGATAGCCCCACAGGCCACATCATATTTGTTATTCGCTTTTTAGGTTAAAGTTCACTGATTCTATTCAAAGCTATAACGTTTTCTTATTAAAAACAAATCATAGAAAGGACATTTATTTTGAAAAGGGAGTAATGGTTATGCCATTCCGAAGGTGAGGTTATTAATTTCACACAAATTTGCGGATATAAAGATGTTTGATTCTCCACTACGGATTCTCCTCATAACTAAATTATGTTTGATAAGATTCTAATTAATTCTATACCAGTCAATATATATTATATGTGTATGTTAAATATATACGAGACGTCGACATATTATTGAAAATTCTAGTCGGAAGAGAACTGTCTCCCTCTAAATCGATATAAAGGTTCACACAAGGTGGAAGAACTGATTCGAAGATGGTTTGCGACACGTACGACCGACATAGGCATCCCTATCTGCCGTATGTTTGTTTTCTTAGCCTAATTATGCAATCTGTTTCGTTTTCCCATTATTTTAACAAACACGGTCTTCATTTTCTTAATTCTTTTTGGGCACTATATTTTAAGTGCTTCAACAAAAGTACAAAAAAACATTTCCATGAAAAATGAATGAAGAGCTTCAACAAAAGTACAAAAAAACATTTCTATGAAAAATGAATGTATAGTTTAACATAATAGTAATAAATGTTTCAAAAGTGTTGATATGAACGTTTTTAATCGGTTTTATACATTGCTTAACATATATTTTACTAAAGATAAATATGTGTTGGATTACTTTTATAAAATAATATGTGATTAGAAAAGGACTCTTGCTGACCGAAAAAAATATAAGAGAAAGGGGTCTCTTAGAACAATATTAATGTCGAAGAAAAGAAAAGAAAGGTCAAAGACAGTATAGTGATTAGTGACTAAGACAAGAAAAAAAGAAAAGGTAAAGCAAAGGATACATTTAACTCTGTTTTAATTTCCTAGCTTATAAAATGTTATAAGTTTCGCATATGCCTTCATAAAAAGAATATACATGCATCATGTGAAGTTCAGTGTTTTCGGTTCTTCTTTAACTTGGACATATATGCTTTGTGAGTCATTTTTTCATAATTAAAACTATTACTGATTTTTTTGTTATAAATTAAAAAGAGGGATTTGATTCTAATCTTTAAAGAATAATGGAAGAAAACCATGACGCATTAGGCATTTTCTCGTGTAAGTCGTACTCATAACTTATTTTTGATCAACCTTTTTCTGTTAAAGCAATTTAATTAACTTTTGGACGTTTAGTAAATTAAATATTAAACAGGAATTCTGATCATGATCATGTTTTTAGAACTTAGAAGATCATAAAATATTCCATGCATCGGTGTTATGCAGTGAGATGCTGTGATACTAAACTATACAATTTAGAGTGGTTGACAATTTAAACAAGTAAAAAATATTCATCTCGAATTACGTACTATGAAATATATTCTTAAATTAGACATTATCAAATACATCGTTATATTCTGAAACGTGTTAGTATAAATAAAATTCGAGATTCTTGGTTTTACGGCATATAACAAGCCATGCAGTTCTATGCTTTTGCAGTGGACCAAATCATCTTGTTTATTACAAAGTCTGAAGAATAGGCAGCATATCCTTTATCAAAAAAATACATATATAGTTTCTGCCCCTCTCACTCTCTCTCTCTCTCTCTCGAACTGATTGAAGAATAACTATTAATTTTATCCTATACAAGTCAGTTATGTATCTATTTATAATTAACTATACTTACTAGTGATGCACAATAAAAAACAACCTGACAGTTAATGGAACAGAATCAGATTCATATAGTTATACGTCACTATCAACTTGGAAGAAATAGAATTCATTCGACTGCAAAACATTATGAAATATACTTTTTCCTCTTTTCTTTTGACTGGGAAAACCAATCTCAATTTAGAAGTTTTTATATACACATACATAGACTTCAAGAACAAACATTTATTAATTTTTTTAGCATTGGGTTGTTATTTCTTTAACATACTTTCTGTTAGTAATCTGAATTATCAAATACATAAAAACCCAATATCGAGTAAAAGTACTTTAAAGGATAGGATATACAACATAAACCTACAAAAAGGTAAGACAAACTCCTTCGGTCACACTTGATGGCCAAAAGAGTTAAAAAATCTGAAGTCTGAGACAATTCTGATTAAGCGAATCGATTATATAATCGGTTGTTAGTCTTATTCGTTAATTATTCGGTGAACAAATATGTTTTTTTTTTAACGGCAAAAACCAAACTTTTATTAAGACGTTGTCACAAGGAGACTTGCCTCATAAAGCAGCTCGTTTGGTGACAGCGAGTTTACATAATCTAAACAAACCCGTGTGAACGTGCTCCCTTGGCAAGGGAGTCGGCACAGACATTCAAAGTACGTGGGATATAGGAAATATCAAAACATGTAAAACAATGTTTTAGAAGGGTAAAATCTTCGATCTCATCAGCAAAAGCTGGCCATTCTTCCTCCTCTTTGATCATCTTGAGTACTTGCTGGCAATCGGTTTGCAGGTGTATCGATGTGTATCCGATCTCTGTAGCATTTCTCAGGGCCCAAAGTATGGCTTTGAATTCGGCATGTGTTACTGTTTGTGTCATCACGTTAGCCTTTGCTCCGTATAAGCATGATCCATCTTTATTCATAAGTACAAAGCTCAATCCTACCAAATTATCCTTCATGTCCCAGGACGCATCAGTTTTACATTCCGGGCATGAACGTACGTCTTCCCCTTGAGGAGCCGTTTCCGTTTCATCGTCACTATCTACTGTAGATTGCACCACTTGTGCCATCTTCCAACATTTGGCTTCGCTTGATGCCCATTGGACAGTATCAAGAGCCGAAAACTCTTCACCGTTAAAGTCTTTTTCATTTCTAGCCTTCCAGATAAACCAGATTATCCATAGGAAGGATTCAATCTATTCTTCTAGCTCTCCCATCTCTTTCACTCGCCATAGCAAGTACTCGGAGTTTTTGTATATGGAGTTACACGGGAACTCGCCCGGAATAGTTGATCTCCCATGTAAAGTGGGTCTTATCGTCTATCCCGACTATAATGTAACATAGACCAATGTACATAATTTTGTTAGAATCTGTGACAAATTATGTAACATAGTGTAAACTGACCAAAACTATGAAATATAGTATTAACAAGTCAAAGCCCAATATAAAGGCCTATTAAAGTTTCGATACTAAATTTAATTACGAAATAAGTGAATTTATTGTGTTGGCCCACGAAACTAGAAAAAGGCAAAAACAAGTCTATTACGAGAAAACGTGGTCGTATTGTAATTAACCCTACAAGAGAGAAAGTATCTGAAATTTGGAGAAGAGATAGAAATCGAGAGAGAGAGAGAGAGAAGCAGTTTTCAAGTAGACGGAGAAGCAATGGCGGTAGAAGACACTCCCAAGCCTGTCGTTACGGAAGAAGCGAACCCTAATTCTGCAGAGAACCCAATCGATCAGTACCATGAGGAAGGTGACGATGCCGAGGAAGGAGAGATCGTCGGCGGCGGAGAAGGAGGAGACGGAGATGTAGACGAATCGAGCAAATCCGCCGTTCCTCAATCGCATCCGCTGGAGCATTCGTGGACTTTCTGGTTCGATAATCCTTCTGTTAAATCGAAACAGACCACTTGGGGAAGCTCCTTGCGTTCCGTCTTCACCTTCTCCACCGTCGAGGAATTCTGGAGGTTAGATTCTTATACAGTGATTTCGAATCTGAGTTTCTGGATTGGTTTTTTGGATTCCGAATTTACGTTCTTTGATTGATGGTTTATATCTCATTATGTCACCATTTTGATCTGTTTCTGAAGATTTTGCTGTTTGAATTTGTAGTTACGGTTTAAGATTGATAGCTTAAATCTTCTGAAGCAAAAGTTCAGATCTTTCACTTGTTTATTTCATAGAAATAAACAATGAACCAGAGAGAGATATACAAATTAGTTTATTGGTTACTTTTGGATGCTATTTGTATTGTCATGTGTTACGTTTTGGTTTGTGAGTCTCTCTCAGTGGGGTTAATAGATTTGTGATTTGTACTAATGATTTTGCTATTGACTTTGATTTGCAGTTTGTACAATAACATGAGGCATCCGAGCAAGCTAACTCATGGAGCTGACTTCTACTGTTTCAAGCACAATATCGAACCAAAGTGGGAAGATCCTATTTGTGCAAACGGAGGCAAATGGACTATGAACTTCCCCAAGGATAAGTCTGATAAGAGCTGGCTTTACACTGTATGTTTTTCTTTATTCTTCTTTTAGTTGAACCATTGTTGATCTATCACCATCCGATCTGAGTCTAATTGAGTTTTTTTTTTTTATGGTTTAGCTGCTTGCATTGATTGGGGAACAGTTTGATCAAGGAGATGAAATCTGTGGAGCTGTTGTGAACATTAGAAAAAACCAAGAAAGGATTTCCATTTGGACCAAGAACGCTTCCAACGAATCTGCTCAGGTAAGAAAACATCAAAAACATTCTCATCATTAAATAAAAAAATTCCGTTTGCTTCAATTGCTTTTGAATCATGTGGCAGGTGAGCATTGGGAAGCAATGGAAGGAGTTTCTTGATTACAGCAACAGCATAGGTTTCATCATCCATGTAAGAAAAGAGCTTCTCTAGATTGTTGCTAATTCAAAAAGTCTCTTTTTTTTTATTGCTTTCATTTCTCACTGTTTGTTCTTTGGCTGGTTTTTCTTCAGGAGGATGCAAAGAAGCTGGACAGAGGTGCAAAGAACGCTTACACCGCTTAAGACGCAACAAACCCTCTAAAAAAATTTACATCCGTTTCAGTTACAATTTTGTATGTGAGAGATCTCTCTATTTATATCATCAAAACATGACACACTGTCTTTTCTCGAGTGTTTGATTTGTTCGCAAGCTCATTAATATATTAATTAGTATGGTCTTCAGAAAACTTATGGTGCCCTTTTGTGTATATAGTATGCAGTATAACCACAGACAATTACTTTTGAAACCCTTTGGAATGAGAACAATTAAGCTTAATTGACAAAACATCTCAAGACTTTATTGTGCCTTAAAAGCCCATAATCTATCTATAACATTGCATGTTTAGTTGACAAGGTCCCACGGATAAAAATAAATTTGGGTGAATGTAGATTTCTTAGAAAACATCCCAGCCGATTCTGATGCTAGATTCTGATGCTACTATAGTGATCGGGATGTTGACTACATCACATGACATCTAGACTAAATCACCAAATCGGTATTGGTTATCCTATTCCTTCCAAATAACTCAAAAGTCAAAACAGCCAAAACCGAAAATACCTCTTTTCGGTGCCTAGATTTATCTAAATAGATATCCAAATGTTTCTTTGTGTTGTCCACCAAGTCCGATGGTTTTTTGTAGCACAAAGTTTCACATCAAATTGATCAAAGTTACGATAAAGTAATTGTAGTATTATACTTCTAAACATTACAGTATGTCCTGGATGTGCACATAGTCAAGGAATTGTCAATGATTTACTTTGATGGTTTATTGTTGGCAACAAATATAATGTTTTCGGATGCTCAAATGAGGATGTCTTTTTTAAGAAGATAGACCTCAATTTCAAAAATTACTTCAAAAACGAAAAATGGTTAGCATGATTACAAAAAATGCTAGTGATTTCTCACGTTTGGTGATGAATACACTCACTATATAAAATTCATTTCAAAGATGAGGGTTTGTCCTCCAACATGTTATTTTTGAAATATTTAACATGTAGTTAAACTTATCCCCAACTTATCTTTCCGAAACTGTTGAGGCTCATACAGTCTTGGAAACGATGAATTACATATATATTTGACTACACGAATCCCTCACCCACTCGATTTAATGAAATTTATATTCTCAATTTGAAATTAGTAATATAAATATGCTATAATTTTAATTATGATGTGCAACACAAATTGAGATATAATTCAAAATTTTACAAACTGATATAAATATATATATGTGTGTGATTTCTTTGAAGCCCATAATAATCAATTTTAATGGAACAAGACAAAAATCTAAAAACTGTCAATTTTCTTTTTGTTAATTGAGAATCTGAGACCAGAGGATTCCAAACTAAAAGCTTAGACAAAATTTCGACCGTTTGCATAATTGTGAGATTTTACCACTTAATGTGTTTAACATGTACCAAACATTATTGAAAGTGTATTGAAATAGAGAAAATATATGATTTATTTTACTTATAAAGTTAACACTTACTCAGAAAGTTTCAAAAACCGTAAACGTAGAAAATAAATTATGAGTTTTTATTGTCCAAAACCGTGCATGCAATGCAATCCCTCACGAAAGTCTTTACAAGAAGAGTCCCAATTTTGTAAAATATTAAAGAGGAATTTGGCCATAATGCACTTGTATAATCAAGTGTAGATTTATATTCTTACAAATGTGCCTTTGTCAAATAGACACTTTCGTGTGGTTTTATTCCTAATCCGAACTTATCACAAGTCAAGAGTGATGATTATGCAGATTAACATAGGACTTGTTAATTAACTAGGGAACTCTAATGGTTCAACTTCGAATAGAAATATTAATAATGTGAGATCAAGGATTTTCTGTTGTTTTCTTGAGCTTTTGGGTTTCTCTGAAGATGTGCTAGTAGTTATTGTTTCGCATTGAACCGATTTAACTCGGTTTTTTACGGTGACCGGTTTAAGTAACCGAGTGTCGGTAGGAGATCGAAGTAAGGATAATCGTCAACTGTCTGAAAAGGACAACTTGCGACGACAAGATTCTTCAACTCACAAGTCATACCCTTATTTACTTGCGCAATAATAGATTACTCGATTCAAAAAATTATTCTTTTTTTTAATTATTTTTATGCAATCTTAACAATATGGGTTTTGATCTTTTTTAATATACAAACAAAAGGGTTTGGTACATCAACTAAAATAATTAAAAAATGAATAAATAAAGTATAGTTTACATACATACAAACGAACACACAAAAAAGGGGTTGAAGAAAACATATGGATGCATGTGCAGATTAGATCTAAATCTATGACTATTGTAGTATATATTCGTTAAGATCTTGCTGCGAAACTACACACATTTAATTCAACCAATTTTTGTATTTATATATATAAAAAGTACTTTCAAATCGAAAAAAAAACAAACGCGCCTTCATCAAGGTTAAAATCAAATCTCAATTAGTGTTCCGATTAACGAAGACGAAGTCGAAGACATTATTATTTTAGTGAGTTCTCTCTCTGTCACACTCATTGCTTCTTTATACTTTCCTGCTTCAAGCTCATCACTGAAACATCTCAAGCTAAAGCAAGCCAGAGATCTGAGAAAGGGAAAGAGATTTCAGAACCTCTCTGCAACAAGATCTAATTCAACCAGGTGATTATTTTTCTAGCTCTGAAACTCAAATCTTGTTTCGAGGAGATCCGTTTTGGGTTTTCGATTCATTGCTAAAGTTAAGAGTCTTTGAAGTTTAAATCCCTTGTCCGTTGGAATTAGTCTTCAAATCGATAAACCCTAGATTTATCAATTGCTTAAGTCTCCGTTTTGATTTTGACATGACTTGGTTTGAATTAGAACAGATCTTGATTAAGTGTGTTTTGTTCAAATGCTTCAGGAGATTTCATCAATCATGGGTTCTAAGAATAACCCACCAGGGAGCAACAGATCAAGAAGCACACTATCTCTACTCGTAGTGATTGGTCTATGCTGTTTCTTCTACCTTCTTGGAGCATGGCAAAAGAGTGGCTTTGGCAAAGGAGACAGCATAGCAATGGAGATAACAAAGCAAGCTCAATGCACAGACGTTGTCACCGAGCTAGACTTCGAACCTCACCACAACACAGTCAAGATCCCCGAGAGATTAGCCGATCCCAAACCGGTTTCTTTCAAGCCCTGCGACGTGAAGCTCAAGGACTACACGCCTTGCCAAGAGCAAGACCGAGCCATGAAGTTCCCTAGAGAGAACATGATCTACAGAGAGAGACACTGTCCTCCAGAGAACGAGAAGCTTCGCTGTCTTGTCCCAGCTCCTAAAGGGTACATGACTCCTTTCCCTTGGCCTAAGAGCAGAGACTACGTTCACTACGCTAATGCTCCTTTCAAGAGCTTGACGGTCGAGAAAGCTGGACAGAATTGGGTTCAGTTTCAAGGGAGTGTGTTTAAGTTCCCCGGTGGAGGCACTATGTTTCCTCAAGGCGCTGATGCGTATATAGACGAGCTTGCTTCTGTTATCCCTATCAAAGACGGATCTGTTAGAACCGCATTGGACACTGGATGCGGAGTAAGTCTGTGTTTTTCGCATTTTAGCTCTGCGTTTCTTGATCTTTCTTGATTCTAATCCAATATCTCTCCATAGGTTGCAAGCTGGGGTGCTTATATGCTTAAGAGGAACGTTCTCACAATGTCCTTTGCGCCACGAGACAACCACGAAGCACAAGTCCAGTTTGCGCTTGAGAGAGGCGTTCCCGCGATCATCGCGGTTCTTGGATCCATTCTTCTTCCTTATCCTCCAAGAGCCTTTGACATGGCTCAATGCTCTCGATGCTTGATTCCATGGAGCGCAAACGGTAACTATCAGCTGTTCAAAGTTCTTGCATTTTCACATGTTCTTGCCAAGATATATACTCACATGTCTTTGCTTTCTTGATTGTTTGTGTAGATGGAACGTACTTGATGGAAGTTGACAGAGTTTTGAGACCTGGAGGTTACTGGGTCTTGTCAGGTCCTCCGATCAACTGGAAGACGTGGCACAAGACGTGGAACAGAACCAAAGCAGACCTCAACGCCGAGCAGAAGAGAATAGAGGAGATCGCAGAGTCTTTATGCTGGGAGAAGAAGTATGAGAAGGGAGACATTGCCATCTTCAGAAAGAAGATCAACGATAGATCCTGCGACAGATCTGTTAACACCTGCAAGAGGAAAGACACTGATGACGTATGGTACAAGGAGATGGAGACTTGCGTGACACCGTTCCCTAAAGTATCAAGCGAAGAGGAAGTCGCTGGAGGGAAGCTGAAGAAGTTTCCAGAGAGGCTGTTCGCAGTGCCTCCGGTTGTGTCTAAAGGTTTGGTTGATGGCGTTGACGCTGAATCTTACCAAGAAGACGTCAAACTGTGGAAGAAGCGTGTGAATGCGTACAAGAGAATCAATAGACTGATTGGTTCCACTAGGTACCGTAATGTGATGGATATGAATGCTGGTCTTGGTGGGTTCGCTGCTGCGCTTGAGTCTCCTAAATCTTGGGTTATGAATGTGGTTCCAACTATCACCAAGAACACGTTGAGTGTTGTCTATGAGAGAGGTCTCATTGGTATCTACCATGACTGGTAAAATCTCTTGTTCTGTTTTCTTCCTTCCATTAATGGCACCAACAATCTCTCTGTTTTTTCCAATATGTTTCGTTGTGAAATCTCTTTGCAGGTGTGAAGGGTTTTCAACTTATCCAAGAACGTATGATTTCATTCACGCTAATGGTGTTTTCAGCATGTATCAGCACAGGTAAACCCTAATTTTAACCCTAAAGCTGAAAACTTTCGGAGAATTAGTGCCGTAAAGCTTCAAACTTTCCTTTGTGTAACCTTAAAGCTAAGAACTTTCGGAGAATTAGCAATCTTTTAACTTAACCGTAAAGCTTCAAACTTTCCTCAGAATTAGCAACCCTTAGTGTAACCTCAAAGCTAAGAACTTTCTGAGAAAGCTACTGATAAATGGTTTAACCCTAAAGCTGAAAACTTTCGGAGAATTAGCAACCTTTGACTTGACCGTAAAGCTTCAAACTTTCCTCAGAATTTGCAACCCTTAAAGCTTAAAGCTAAGAACTTTCTGAGAAAGCTACTGATGAATGGTTAAATTTCATTTGGCAGCTGCAAAATTGAGGATATTCTTCTTGAGACTGATCGGATTCTAAGGCCGGAGGGGATTGTGATTTTCCGGGATGAGGTTGATGTGTTGAACGATGTGAGAAAGATCGCTGATGGAATGAGATGGGACACTAAATTGATGGATCACGAAGATGGTCCTCTTGTGCCGGAGAAGATTCTCGTCGCCGTTAAACAGTATTGGGTCGCCGGCGGGGATGGGAACAGTTCGTCGTCGTCGTCGTCTTCTGATAAAAGTGAAGAAGAGTAAAGAAAAACTCAGGTATTGGATTTTACGGTCCCTGTAAGTTTACATGTTTAACGGATTTAACCACGAAGTTTTGTCAAGATCAATTGAACCCAAGAACTGTGAAAATCTTCAGTTTGCCCCCTTTTCTTTTAAAATTAATGGCTATTATCGTATGATTGAGATAAGAATTGAAGAGTTTGTTTGGTATTTTGTCAGGTGAAGGTTTCTAATGTTGAAGTGTAGATCTTTCTATCTTATCAAAGGAAGGAATCAGTATTTCCATGAAAGAAAGGGGTCAAAAGTTGAAATACAATATAGATGATTTAGACGAATATGTGCATTTATGTTTTATTTTTATTTTTAATTCTTGAAGGGGACACAAATCAGTTCCATGTAGTTGAAGCTTTGAACGTGTTTTATGATGTGATCTTGACATTTTTCTAATAACAGTTTTTTTTTATATATAAAGAAATTTATGGACGTAGTGGAATCTTCTTGATAATAATTTTACTATGATTTAAACAAACAATTCAGCCTGCAACATTAACATGTTTTAGTTTCATATCCAAATAATCTAGATTGTGAAATCAAAAGCTCTTTGGCTACAGAAAGAGGTTCTCAAATTATCATGAGGAATAAATTTTGAAGAATAAGAAGAAAACAAGGAAATAGATATGGAGAAACAAAAAGGACCATTGTAAAGTAAAAACCAACACAGACTCCAGTTTCGTCTACACCACGAGCTTCCACCGAACAATCACTTTCGATGTCTGAGTGATGAGATATAAAGAAAGCTAGTTTTCTCATTCAATGGTAACTTTTTCTCTTCTGATATAGTTTTTACAAGGAAAATTCAAGGATTTAAGTGGAAACTTCTGGATGATTTTAAATTGTAGAAAAATATCAGTAATAATTCAATGGCATTATTGTAGGGAAAAGGATTTACTAGTCGGTCGATTTTGTATGTAAATGGATATTACTGTTTTGGAGCAAAGCTATAGTTGTCATGGGGCACCTTTTGTCTCACGACTCTCATCATACAAATATGCATCATGCACTAATAAAAGCATAGCTACAGTTTATTTTATTTTTTCTTTTATCAATTTAAAATCAAGCCATTTTACAAACTTTGATATATCATGTCTTATGCGAATTGATGTGTATCTAAGAACAACACAATCCAACTTATATAGCACGTGAGATTTAAACAAAACGATATTCGATCCGTAACATCACTGTTTTAGTTTTCGACACAAAAACAGGCAAATTATTGTGTAATCGGAAGCTCCTTGGCTACAAACAAAAAGAGGCAAATTATCATGAGGAATAACTTTTGAAGAAGGGGAGAAAAGGGAAATGGCCATGGAATCAAGGAATAAAAGGACCAGCAAAACTAAAAACACAACACAGACTCAAGTTTCATCTACACCACCAGCTCGATATCACTTTTGTCTAAGTGATGAGACTATAATAAAGGAAACTTTTTTTATCCATTCTATTAGTTCACCACAATTTCAGTATCTTCCGTTTAAAAAGTATAAGTATGGTTTTTTTTTATAATTAAAGCCTTCATAGGAAATATACGTGTATGTCTTGATAGTTTGATACCCATCTTAATTAGTTTTTGTCCTTACTAGACGAAGAAACAAGATTGGCTTATTCGTCTAAACCTAATTCAGTCATCGGCTTATATCAATTGTAGTCGCTTTAGAATTCTATTTTTGTTTTACAAAAATGATCTTTTCATATATTCAAATTCAATGCATGCTATTCAATAATTTAAATAGTGATAATTGTTATCATAATTTCTTGGTATGTGACAAAATATTAAACGAGAAATATAACAAAACTCTACGGACCTATGGTAGTTCGGAAAAGAAATCAGTATCATTAATACAACGCTTTTAGTTTACATGACACGTGAAATGAAAAAGTGTTTTGGCGACCACGATATTAATTTTATCTTGTGTCGGACTAAATAAATTGAATGATTCAAGAAGTACTACTAACAATAAAAATTTAATCATAGTCAAGTAAGAAACTAGGAGCAATTATTTCACGCAAGAAATTTCAAAAATAATGTATCTTTCTCGAGTAAAAGTTCCAATAGGCGACTTGAAAAAAAGGTGTGGCTAAAACCAAAAGAGGACTACATTGGGACACCTAAAAAGTCAGAACTTCATTCAATTATATACATATACAAACAGAGATTTTGACAAATGTTAGTTGTCTGTTTCAACATAAAGAGTTATATATGAATATATAGCTTATCGTTTTCTTTATTTTTTGTTTCTTTTCAAATTTCTCTTATCATTATTATAATCATTTTTGAGAAAAAAAAAAGAAATGTCTTATTATTACGTCTTCTTTGATCTAAATTTTATTTTATGTGTTTAATATGTATATACAAACCAAAACTGATCTATGTATATTCGCTTTTATTTTAATTACCCTTCTAAGACTTAAAAAAAAAAAATCTTAATTTGTATCGAACACTACTATCAAATGTATAACAAAACAACTGATTATATTTCTGGGTTGTAAGATATTCTTTTATTGGTAGAGAAATTGTAAAAACCACCATTTGCATCTTGAGGCGAAACTGTGGGCTTTTCAATAACAATGTGCTATTCAGTATTTTGATATTTTCTCACCTTTGTTTTATCACTGGCTCATCATACTCATACAAATGTTTTTGTTTCCTTTCTATTTTTGGCTCAATTAAATTAATCGACCACAACTTACCTCGATTGGTCCGTTATGTAGAAGCTCGTTCAATACAATGTCGACCAGCTTTTTTATATATAAAAATAAACTTCGGTTACTTTTTTTTTTTTTTTTTTTTTTTGTCAACAGCCTAAGTTCCTAGACCGGTTCGGGAAGCGAGACCGGTGGAACTGAGTTTACATATTACACATCATGAGGCTGAGCTCGAGCACAGCGTGCTAATTTGTCTGCCTTCGTGTTGTTCTTCCTCGGGATACGGGTGAGAAAACGTTTGGAACTGCCTTCTGCACTTCTCCACCTCCTCAAGTAGAATTCCAAATGCCGGCCAGTCTGTTGGTGTAGCCACCATCTGTTTGAAAGTTCATTCGTCTTTTATTATGGGCCAGCATACTTTGCATCGCCCAAACCAAAGCTTCTAGTTCCGTCTGAAGGGGAGTTAACCCCCTCCGTAAGTTACAAGCCCCGACTAGTACTAATCCCGATTCCGGATCAAAATTATACCAGCCTAGTCCCGCGCGACACTCGGTATCCTTCCATGCCCCGTCTACTTGGCACCACTCACCCGATGTGACCCGCTCTATTTGTGTTACCGCATGTAATGGCACCACTTCGCCAGCCGTCTGGGCCGCAGCCCAGTCCCGAGCCTCCGTGATTGCCGAGTCTAAAACATCCCTTGGATCCTGATCATCGTTTGAGAAAACTTTATAGGTACTCCCCTTCCAAATGAACCAGAGTAACCATGGATAAATTAACATGTCATCATTGTCTTGCAGGTTCCAGAAAAGATGCGCCATGTTTGTAAATAAAGCTCATGTAGGAAACACCTGTGGGTGCGTAGGGATTGGGGATAATGCCCATGCCTGTCTGGATGGAGGGCACTCAAACAACATATGATTGATTATCTCCTCCCCCATACCACATCGCACACACTGCGGGTCCACCCGCAAACCCCGACTGCATAGCCGTGCGCCAACTGATAAGCAACCTGTAATGATTTGCCACATAAAATGTTGTAGTTTTGTAGTACATTTAACTTTCCAAGCGCGCGCTTGCAAAGGCCGGATATCGGGTCCGACGACCGGCATAACTTCCTGATCCGGGAGCTGTTGTAAGATATGGTATTCCGATTTAACCGTATACCGACCCGTTTTTGTATAGAACCATCCATTAGTGTCTGGTCTATACCCTGTTGCTACTGTAATACCCGTAATCCGGGCGATTTCCGCATTGTCGAAAAGTTGGTGTAATAGTGGAAGATTCCACGTTGAAGTCTGGGAATTAATTAACTGACCCACCATCAACTGAGGGTAGTAATTAACTCCTTTGCAAATAGCTGACCTCGGGCGAGAGTCGGATATCCAGGGATCATACCAAACAAAAATAGTAGATCCTGAACCAACTCTTTTAATGAGCCCTTTATGTACCAGAGATCGAGCTGAGATGATACTCTGCCACCCATAAGATGGAGAATAAGATCTGATTGGGTCCAAGGGGGTAGAGTTCCGATAATAACGCCCCTTAAAAACCCTAGCGAACAGTGAATCCGGATTATCCATTAGTCGCCATAATTGCTTGGCCAATAAAGCCGTGTTAAAATCTTCAATAACTCTGAAACCTAGCCCGCCATCACTCTTGTGACGGCATAGCTTCCTCCATGCCAACCAATGCATACCCCGTGTTTGGTTGTTACTGCTCCACCAGAAATTAGCCACCGCACTTGTTAATTTAGTAGTTACCGCTTTTGGTAAACGAAAACATGACATGACATGTGTAGGCATTGCCGATAACACTGACTTAACTAATACTTCTTTACCTCCTCTAGAGAGAACTTTTGATGTCCAGCCGTTACTCCGCTTATGCTGTCTGTCTATAAGAAAATGAAAGATTTTTGTCTTTGCACCCCCTAGACTTTCCGGGATCCCCAAATAGGTGCCTATACCCCCAACCTTGTGTATCCCCAAAAGTTGGTGGATATCTGACTGTACCGTTGTGTCCACCGTATGACCAAACTGTATAGAGGACTTATCAAAATTTATCTGTTGACCTGAGGCCCGTTCATAACACTGCAGTATATTGAGCAGCACCGTACTTTCTTCCACTGTTGCTTTACAAATAAATAGACTATCGTCTGCAAAAAGAAGGTGTGAAATTGGGGGACTTGCTCTGGATACCTTCAGCCCCGTGATAGATTTTTGAAATTCCGCCTTCTTGAGGTTTGATATCAGCACCTCCGTGCACAAAATAAAAATATAGGGAGACAATGGATCCCCTTGTCGTAATCCTCTATGTAGAATTATTTTTCCTTTGGGCTGCCCGTTAATAAGAACTCTATATTCAACTGACTTAATGCATCTCATTATCCATCTGATCCATTGTTCCGAGAACCCCATTTTCCGCATTGTTGCCTCCACAAAATTCCATTCGACCCGATATGTAGGCTTTACTCATATCCGTCTTAACCGCCATGTATTTTCCTTTACAAGACTTATTTGTTCGTAACCCATGAAACATCTCTTGCGCTATCAGTATATTATCCGAAATGAGTCTCCCCGGTACGAAGGCTGACTGAGTTTCAGATATCAATTGAGGTAGCACCTTCTTCAAACGTTGACACAAAACCTTAGAGACTATCTTATAGCCCACATTACATAAACTAATTGGCCGCAATTCCGTCATCCTGGTTGGTCGTTCCGTTTTCGGAATTAAGCATATATTCGTCCTATTTAACCTTTCGTCAAACTTGTCCGATGTTAAAAAATCATTTATGAACCCCACCATATCCGTTTTGATCAGTGGCCAGGATCGTTGGAAAAACAGAGCCATCATCCCATCCGGTCCTGGCGCTTTCTCCGGATTCATCAGAAATAGAGCCAAGCGTACTTCCTCCTCCGTCGCTGGGCTGGTTAGTAATGTGTTATCCGCTTCCGTAATTAAACCCGTGATTCCTTCCAGAGCCTCCGTGAAATTATCTGGTGAAGTAGTCATAAATAACTCCGTAAAATAGTCCACTGCCACCTTCTCTATTTCTTTATCTCCTGACACCCAAACGTCGGATTTGTTGTGTAATCCGACTAGTCTGTTTATGGCTCTCCTTTGCTTTGTGGTTGCATGGTAAAACTTAGTGTTCAAATCTCCGTCTTTAAGCCATAAATTTCTACTTTTTTGCTTCCAATATTGTTCTTCATTTCGATAGGCTTCCTTCAACTTCTGTGTGATCTCCACTAGTTCCTCTTGAGTCCTACGATCGTCATTTTGGACCTCTTCAAGAGTTTGCTGTAACTCCGCAATCTTATCCTTCCCGTATAGTTTATTTTCATGTCTCCATCTGGATGTCTCGTGACGACAATTAGAAATCATGTCAACTAACTTGAGTTCCCGGTTATGTCGTTTATCCGTCCATCCCCGTTCAATCGCTGCAGAGAAGCCGTCTTGCCCGATCCATCTTTTGCAAACCGAAATTTACATCGCCCTTTCGGGATCTTATCGTCGATAGTAGCTAGAATCGGCCTGTGATCGGAACCCACCATTTTCAAATATTCCACATGTGACTTCGGGAAGATATTGTGCCAGTCCTCTGTAGCCAAAGCCCGATCTAACCGACATCTAACTATTTTTCCCCATCGTCTCCCTCGCCAAGATAATGTGTTTCCGTGACTCGGGAAATCCACCAAACCGCAGTCATCTATCATGAGATTGAAAGACATGAAAGTGGAAGCATACCTTAACACACCGCCTTGCTTTTCATGATTTCCTGTTATTTCATTAAAATCTCCTATTAAAAACCAGGGTTCCGTTCGTGATATTCCTATCCTCGTTAATCGTTCCCATAAGTAATTCCGTTGTTTTGGAACTGGGTTTCAATAAAAAAATGACATAAACATTATTTTTCCATCAATGATTACTTGTGTATCAATTAAATTCTTAGAAGAAGTAATAATTGAAACATTATAATTATTATTATAAAATAAGGCAAGACTACCACTTGTGCCACATGGGTCAACCGTATACAAATTATCAAAACCAAAATGAAATTTAAACTGTTGCAAAAAACTGAAATCTTGCTTTGTCTCGGAAAGAAAGAGAAATTCCGGTCGAAATTTCCACCAAACCTCCCGGAGATAGCTTATTGTGTAACTATTACCCAACCCTTGGCAATTCCAACTGAGAATCCGCATTAACCAATTTTAGACATGGTCGCCGATCCCTCCGACGGGTTCTCCTCGAGCTCCTTCCCTGCCCCTTTGTCTCCGCCTTTCCGAGTATCCTTCACTGACATCGGCGCCTTACGCCGTGGTGTCTTCCCACCTTGGATCATCCTCCGTAAAGGGCCGCCTCCACCACCAACCGTAGTCCTAAAAGTCTTCTTTTTGGCACCCACCTTTCTCTCCACAGCCTGCTTTCCCTTCCCCACCTCTTTTGCTTCCACCTCCACATATTGCTTAACGTCAAGCCGGCTCCCCTGTTCACTCTCCTCCATCTGCATATCAGTACCATCCTCCGGTTCCGCCTGCTCCTCTATATTCTCCACTGCCTTCTCGGTTTCCTCTCCCTCAGTCACCTCATTCCACCAAATTTCTCCATCTTCACCCTCCTCTTGTATCTCCACGCCCTCCACCATTGGAACCACTTCGTCAATTGCAGGAACTGCAGTTGCCGGAAAATCATTTTCCCCAACTTTCTCCGCTACAGCATCATCAGGCTTGGTTCTCACATCATCCAACCCTGCCTCAACAGCAGAAAAGTCAAGTGCCTTCCTCACCTTCTTAGCCGAATGTTGACTTGGGCTTGGATCCCTAGTTCCACTTACGATCGCCGGAGGGGCAGCAGGCTGAATCGCCAAATTGCGGAAACCACCAGTTGGCCGATTGACTCTCTTCCTCTGCTCCGGAGGAACGTATCCCGCCGGTCTCCGATGGGATCCGGAACTTTCTCCACCATGCTTCCCATTCCCACGAAAAGCCGGCACTCGCTTGCCTTTGTCTTCCCTCATCTCGGTCACCTTTCCTTTGCCTTTGATATCTCCCTCCACGACATTAGAAGGCTGCCTCAGGTTTGTATTTTCACCACCAGATCCATTCAAGACCGCACACTTGTAACTTTGAGCACCATTGTCAGGCTTCTCATCTCTCCGCCTCTGATTGTCCCGTTCCTCTCTAGCTCTCCGGAGATCCGGGCATTGGAGGACGTCATGACACAAACTCGAACATTCACAGCACCAACCAAACAACCGCTCGTACCGTAACGCCACCACCGTCTCCTCACCACTGTGGAACTCAACTGTGGTCTCGAAGACCAATGGTTTGTATCCATCAAGACACACACGTACCCTTCCGCCATCAATATCCACCTCGATCACTTCTCCAATGGCCTCTCCAATACTCCGGAAAGTGGGTTCAGCCCAAAAATGGAGCGGGATGCCCATCATTCTGACCCAAAACTTGATGGCTGACGGGTACGTAGCTTCCATCACCCGCTCCCACCTCACAAGTGAAACCATCCAATAATCAAAATGGAATGGCTCCAGTTTGAAAACCTCCTTGATATCCTCCTCCTTATCAAAATCAAATTGGAATCTTCCCATCCCAAGATCTGCTCCCGCCACTCGCTCCTCCATTTTCCAGAACCGAGGCATATGGTGTAGTAATGCCTGGACGTCTTGAGCCGCCAGGTTCATACAGCGGCCAATCAGAGTCCGGGAGTAACCCCTGATCAACTCTGAGTTGTCAAATCGTGGAACCGTGATCTTCAACCGAGCCGCTGGTTTCTTGTTGGCCTTGTTTCCAACCTCCCCACCAATCAAATTTCCCTGAACCATCGAGATACCTCGTACAAAAACGTCAAGACACAAGTGTGTGAAAAGACGAGGAAAAAAGCGAACCAAACAAAAGTCGAAACAGCAATAGCTCGAGAGAGAAACAGCAAGAAACCAAAGACAAGAAAACTGATGTGTGCAAACCCAATCACTAAGTTTTCTTTTATACTCAGCGACCTTATCAATTCTAATCTCTGCAAATCCCGTTAAAACACCGTCCAAATTCTTCAATCCGATCAAAATCTTTCCATATAGCAACACACAAAGATACAAGAGAATTAGATATGATTGATTTACCCGCATAATCATTCGTAAACGAATCCCGTGAATCTCCGTTAATCCTACCTCCTTGACTAGCTTCCAAATCGTGACACAGAAAATAACACCAGTTTCCTTTTGTCGCCGCTCACCCAATATTCTCCTCTGATCGTCAACCTGTGCCGTGAATACCCCAGATTCGATTCACTCTGATACACTCCACCCCCAGATCTGAGAAAACCCCTTAAATGATTTGTAATCCTCCAGGCCAACTTTCCTTCCCTTCGTGACAACGAGATCCCGTGAGATCTTCATTCCGCAATAGTACATCTCTAGTAAACCGACCAGATTCATCCCCTTGACACCAATAATCCACCGAATTAAGAAACCAAGGACCGTAATTCCGATTCTCCGTGAGATTCATACCGAGACGCCAAAAATCGCCATCGCTGTCGCCTTTAGGGTTTTTTGTCTACTATATGGGAATCCACTTCTAAAAGGAAAAATAACTTCGGTTACTTATGGGTTCGTTTTTTTTTTTTTTTTTTTTTTTTTTTTTTTGCGTTAAAGCTTATTTCTATTAATATGCAGAAATCGTATTTAAAAGAAAATAAACTCTTGATTTTTTTTTCTTTTCTTGTGGCAGAAAATAAACTCTTGATTTTAGTATAAAATGTTAAACTTCTATTTTTTGGTCTTTGTATGTTACTGACAAAAGGTAAAAATTGTATAAATAATAATTAAAGCAACCGCATTAATGACTATGAACTTTACTCTCTCCCTTTAAAAATATTAATAATCACAATTGGATACAACCTAAAATTTAGATTGGTTGTAGTTATGCCTAATAGTAACAATCAATATTATTTTCCGACCAAAAAAAAAAAACAATCAATATTATTTGTTTTATCTATAATGCTACATAACAATCAAGACATAAATCCGCCAAGTTGGCTGTTACAGTTTTGTATTTTCCTTAAACTTTCTAATAAATTAAGCCGAGAAAAAAATAATCAAGACATAAAGTTAATGACACTAAACCACCTTTTGCGTTGTTTCAATTCTTAAGTTAAAATGTACTATTTCCGTATTAAATTATTAGATGTTGAATTTAAAACAGAGTATATGCGTAAATTGAATTTAAAGTTAAGTGTAAGTGAGACTATATATAAAAAGAATATGGTTTAATTAAGATAAGAAGTCTGGTTAAATTCAATTGTTGCTTTGAGATTACACATATGTAATCATAAAAGTTGGGCAAGGAGTTTGAATATGGAACATCTGCCAAAATGCAACGTTGTACATATATATATTTCCGCGAACATAAAAGCAAGGTTTATGGAGAGCGAGCTAACGAACATATATGGAATACACGTTGTATGTATATATATATTTCCACGAACATAAAGCAAGGTTTGGATTTTCAGGATAAAATAAATAATATCAAGTTATCATCACACACGAGCAAATATGCAAAACTCGAGAGAACACGTTTGGGACTGAAATATATTATACTCCCTCCGTTTTTTTTTAATGATTTTTTTTAGATTTCACATATATTCCTTCATTAAGGAAAAAAAATTTAATCATAAATGTATAGATTTTTGCAATTAAGTAGTTTTTTTATAAATTTAAACCAATAAGAATTCAAATAGCATAATAAATGTTTATTAAAAAATGAAAAAGTGTATCAAAAAGTTAAAATATTTATCTTTATAAAATAACAAAATTTTGCTAAAAGTTCATTAAAAAAAAACAGAGGGATATTTAAATATGGATTTACACAGACACCAATGGTTAGCAACAAAATTATGTTGTTTGAGATGTTTATTTCATGCTTTTTTAGTTTTTGAATTTGTGGATTTATAAAACGTAGAGACATACTTTTCTGTTTTGTTTTCTTTTTGGGGTTAGGTTGTTATGTTTTTAGTTTCAAACAAATGTTGTTTTTAAGAAAAAAATATTTATAATTTGAATAACTTCATTGAGATTTTACTTAGATTTATTGCTTTTTTAGTTTTTATTATTTGATTTCTTGAACCGTTTTGAATCTTTGGTTGTATACAAATAATAAGGGATTCTTTGAAAAATACCCTCTTTGTGTTTAAAATTTTGAAAAATACCCTAATTTATTTCTGCTTTGAAAAATACACTTTTTGAATGTAAAAAGACTGTTTTGACCTAATTTAAACAAAACATTAAAAAATCATTACAGCTAAAAATTAAAAACGAAATTCAAAAATAATAGAATCAATAAGATTTTTTTCAGATAAATATAAATTTTAAAAATTAAAAAGTGGATAAATCTATATTCCATTTTTAATGTTTTCTGTAAACAAATTTTAATTTTTTTATAACTTTATATAAACAACTTTAATCTCATCCCCATTCCAACCAAATGAAAATTTATAAATATAAACTTTACACTTTATAAACTAATTGAAATTTTAATAGTGGATAATTTTATCTTCCATTTTTAATGTTTACCTTTATACATATTTAAATATTTTTGAAACATTATATAAACAATTTTAATCTCACCCTCATTTAAACTTTATATAAACAAACTTATACTCTTAATAAAATCTAAACAGATAATTAGTATTGTTTAGTATTTTAAAATGAATAAAATCATAATCAAATCTTAATATTTTAGATTTTTTATTTGAATTTCGTTTTTATTAAATTAGTTGAAAACCTCAAATTAGGATAATTAAGTCATTTCATATATTAAAAAGTGTATTTTTCAAAACTAAAAAAAACAAGGGTAGTTTTCAAATTAAAAACTCATCAAAGAGTATATTTCCAAAATTTCTCAATAATTATTACTCCCTCAGTTTTTTTTTTATAAATTTTCTAGGATTTTCACACATATTAAGAAAAAGCAAATTTTCAATCATTAGTGTATTGATTTCTGCAATAAAATAATTTTTTATAATTTTTAACCAATAAAAATCTAACAAATACAATCTTTGTTTCTTGAAAACTGAAAAAGTGTATAAAAAAAGTAGAAAATTTATCTTTGTGAAACAACAACTAATGTCTAGAAAATCCATCTTTAAAAAACGGAGGGAGTACTAAATTAGACAGTCTAACTTTATCCTACCTTTTGTTAATATATCTGTAAATGCCTATTTTGTAAATAAATCTGAGCTAATATGGATATAAATATATAATTATGTTTTAAGGTAAGATTAACTTTTCTTTTTTATTGTGAGAGGAAAATAATCTTCTATATATATAAATTAAAAAGTCATAAAAAGTAAAATCAATTAGCCTTTATCCCTTTCTTCTCTTTCTAAATTTAATCAACCTTTATCTTATCTTAGTGAGGTGTTATTATTATTCCCTGTATCTTGTGCATTACCCAATGACAATAACAACACTAGTCACCAACTTATTATAACTCTTCATCCATTTTCTCTCACTAAAAGTCACCATGCCTACCCAAAGGTTTTAACTTTGAACGTGACTCAGGAGAGAGAGAGACAGAGAAAGAAAGAGAGAGAGACAGACAGAGCTTGAGGAAGGGTTTAAGCAGATCTGCAAGAAACACTCTCAGGTATGGTGAGACCTTAAAAAATATGAAATTACCCATTAATTCAATTCTTTTATTTTGACTTCCGGATCGTGAAAGATTAGTTTTTATTTTATAAAGTTTCTTTTTCCTTTGATCAAATATATTTTCACTGCATGTGATGTGTGCATCTCTTCTCTGGGAAACACTTGATTTTTTAGATCTTCTTCTTCTTCTTCTTCTTCTGCTAATGGGGAAATAAAAAAATAATAATTGAAAGTGTAATTCTTGATTTGATCGCAATTCTTTCTCTCTGGGTATGTCTCTCACCCTGAATTCTAGGGATTTGCCTTCTCCTTCTTTGGTTGTCATTAGTCTGTGTTGTATCAATTAATCATTGGAATTACATACTGCATGCACAAGTTAACACCAATTAGTATATAATTAAGATTTTTTTTTGCTGACATCAGTTAAAAATGTAGTTTAGACTTTAGATGTAAGAAGAAAAGTTTATCTATTAATTTATTCACTCTGAAATGATTCAAAGCTTTGTTAGATTTCGTGGCACGGTGGTCCACTCTTTTAAATAACAAAATCAAGTTCCTCATGAATTATTCTTATCTCATCATCAATAATACACACCTTTTTTGTAAATTTACTTTTCTATGTTTATTCCTTTAAAAATATATTCCATTTTCCCCTTTTTTTTGTCAAAAATCAAAATCTAGACTCGCTTCCGTAGGATCTACCGGCGACGACAGTGACGGAGGCGATAAACGGCGGTGTTGGCCGCAAAAACGATGCAAAACCAGCTATGGTCTTTACCGCCGACGATTTATCAAAATGGGAGAATTTTCCAAACGGACTTCGAGTTCTTCTCCTCAACGACGGCGGCGACGACTTATCCTCCGCCGAGACCCGATCAGAGCTCGAGTCCTTGGACTATATCGGTGAGCCAACTGATTTTCCTCTGTTTCTTTCTTTACACCTTTTATTTTCGCTTTTGTTTCCATTAGAAAAATGTTATTTAAATGGTTATAAATCAGTAAAATCATATTTGAGTGAGACTTTACTTTATATCTCTCTTGTATGTCCCGTGACGAAATTTAACATTATTATAAAATGAATATTACTCTGTATAATTGGATTATAGTAAGTAAACGATACATTTTAGTCTGTTGAACGTGGAAAACAGAAGTAGTAAAAGTTGTGGCAGTTATGTTTTGGAGTTTTGCATAATTACGTTAATATTATATTGTTGCATCTTGAAAAACTCATCAATGTTTTTGAATCTTGCAGTCACTACATTCACTGATGAATCCGAAGCTCTCTCTTCGGTTCTCAATAACCAGGAGAGCTTCCACATTGCAATCGTTGAGGTGAATAAAAGCGCCGAGAATGAGAGTTTCAAGTTTCTTGAAGCTGCCAAAGACTCTCTTCCTACTATAAGTTAGTGAACCGTTACAATTTTAAGTTTCTACGAATCATTACAATATTAAAACAAAAGCGTTAAAATGTGGATTTGTCTTTGTCTTTATCTTTACAGTGATTTCGTCCGATCATTGCATCACAACTACAATGAAATGCATAGCGGTAAGCATTTGCCTAAAAAAATGCACATAAAAAAAATGTTGGTTGTGTGATGAGAATTTGACAAGTGTTCTCCAGCTTGGTGCAGTTGAGTTCCTACAGAAACCGCTCTCGCCCGAGAAACTAAAGAATATTTGGCAGCACGTCGTTCACAAGGCGTTTAACGATGGAGGAAGTAGTGTTTCGGAATCGCTTAAGCCGGTTAAAGAATCGGTTGTATCGATGCTTCATCTCGATACCGATATGACAAGTACTGATGAGAAAGATCCAGCACCATCAACACCGCAGCTGAAGCAAGTCTCAAGGTTACTAGACGGTGATCGCCAAGATAACGTGAACTGCTCGATGGAGAACGTGAATTCCTCTACCGAGAAAGAGAGCGCGGAAGATCAAGACATCGGTGAGTCCAAATCAGTCGACACTACGAATCAAAAAGGCAATGTGATTGTCAAAGAAGAGAAAGAAGACATTGACAAAGAACAAGAAGAAGAAGGTGAAACCGAAGAGCGTAAAGAAGAAGGCGAAACCGGAGATTCGCAAAGCGAGAAGACAGCTTCGGTTAATTTTCGTAAGAAAGAAGATGATACTAAACCTATTCTTAAATCATCCGGGATCAAGAACTTGTCAGGCAACAAAGCTAGTCGAAAGAAGGTAACGTCAAGTTTCTTGAATCAAGATTCAAGCTCTTCTTGATTTTTGTTCTTGATTTTTTTTTGTTCTTTTTTTTTTTTTTTTTTTTTGCTTTTCAGGTGGATTGGACACAAGAGCTGCACAAGAAGTTTGTGCAAGCAGTTGAGCAACTTGGAATCGATCAAGCAATACCTTCAAGGATTCTTGAGTTGATGAAAGTAGATGGCTTAACTCGTCATAATGTAGCTAGCCACCTTCAGGTACTTAATTAGAGTGTTTGAATATTTTTTTTTGCGTGAGATTATTGAGCTCTTGTGAAAATGTTTGCGGAATATTTTTAAGCAGAAATTTCGGATGCATAGGAGAAATATTCTTCCAAAGGAGGATCATCACCAAAGATGGATACAGTCTAGAGAGAACCATAGACAAATCCAACGGCATTATAACGGTTTTCATCAGCAGCAACACCGTCCTGTTATGGCTTATCCCGTTTGGGGTCTTCCCGGTGTTCTTCCGCCGGGAGCAATCCCTCCTTTGTGGCCTCCTCCGCTTCACTCCTCCGGTCAAATGCCTCCTCCATGGCATTGGAAACAACCTTATCCAACGGTAAGTAACATTTTAACTCTATATGAATAATCAATCGCTTATGTCATTATAGTACATGTGATTATCACTATGCATTCTCTATGATAATATGAAACATATAATTTGTCATTTTCTTAGACGTAAAACTGTAAAAACTAAACCGTGGTAATTTATATGATTTAGTGACGTAATATAATCGTGTTAATCGTGTTTATTTAAATTATATAATCGTGTTTCAGGTGAACGGTAATGCATGGGGCTGCCCGGTTAGACCGCCAATGACCGGATCATTCAGTATTCCTTCGGTGAATATTTTCACAAATATTATAATCATGAATTTATATTGTTGGAATTTTAATTTATTAAAGAAACTTTTGTTTGTCACAGAATAATAACGGCGCCGGATTTCGTTACCCCACCGGAGCTGAAACCGGCTTTAAAGCAATGCCGGTGACTCAGCCGGTAAGTGTCACAAATACTCTGTTTTGCGATAATAAATAATAAAAAATACATCAAATTAAAACTTTCCGGGTCGGGTTGTGTTGTGTTGTGTATGGGTCGGGTCAGGACGAGGAAATGATTGACCAAGTGGTTAAAGAAGCGATTAGCAAACCGTGGCTGCCGCTACCGCTCGGGCTGAAACCGCCATCCTCCGAGAGCGTTTTGGCTGAGCTTTCGCGTCAAGGAATCTCAGCCGTCCCTTCTTCTTCATCCTGCCCCATAAACGACTCTCGTCGTCTCCGCTGACGTGTCAACCCATGCAAAAACCAGCAGATTTGATGACCTCATGTGTGGCGTACTTCTCCGTATATGACGGTCCGAAGCGGGAAGTGATTCGGATAGAGACAGAGAGAGTTTAATTGTTAATTTATTTTTGTCATAAAAATAGTATTTTGGATATTATTATTAACGATGAATCGGACGGTAGAGATGTGGGCCACGGTGTTAGTTTCAGGCCACAAATTGGAATCTGCGGCTGTAAATAGATCTCGGACACGGGATTTTGACAGGTCGGAATCTGACGTGTGTGTATCTTTTTGTGGCCCCTTAGGCGGGTCCCACTTGAGAATTTAATAGTTGACACCTTTTTAGGTGACGAAATTACAAAAAAAATAAAGTACAAGTCCAAGATTATTCCGTGAGGACCTTTTTGTTCATTTTTCTATAAAAACAAAATACATTTTTAAAAATCATAAATTTATTCGTGAGAAGAAAGTAAGGATTTTTCTTGTAATGGGATTTTATTAGCTGCGACAAGAAATTATTTTGAAAATTTAAATGTTAATCCCCGCAATTGATTTGATGTGACTTGTGACTTTCTTTTAGGTGACTTGAAAAAAATAGGGAATAGCAAATACAAATTAAGACCAATCTATTAAGTACTATGTAAACCCGCGAACAAACATAGACTATGTTCATTTGGTACACTTGTTAAATATCATTTTGAGTTTCTTCAAGTCTTTTTATGCAGACTCTTTAGTCTAAATCGCTTAGTTTTCATTTGATTTCTATTGCAACTTCATTCGTTGCTCATGATCCGTCGCTTCTTAAAAATATTTATCGTGTTTCGTTATTTTTGACAACTTTTTATTCTTATTATTCACGTAATGTATAATCTAGCAAAAAATCATACTATTTTATACTTCAATATAGCAAAACATTACACCGATCATAAAAAAGGTTTTGACCATTGACCACCCCTTTTCTTTCTAATTTTGTTGCTTGAGGAATACTAAAATATACTCTCTGTACTGTTGAAGTAAAGTTAAAGAGACATCTACACTATTCTCTCTCGGACTATTCCCTTCGAAGGTTCATCCTTTTACAGCCTCTGGTCTATATATTCTGTATTACAGTTTGTCTTGTTGGTTAAGTTTTCAGATAAACTGTTTCGGTTTTGTTGTACTTTATGAACAAAAGTTGGTATTTTCCGGTGACGAAGTTTGTTCCGAGTACAATTAGTGAAAATTCATATTTCCTATATGATGTTGGCTATGATCACACAGCCAAAGTCATTCAAAGCCAAGTGTCGTGTTAGAAGATTAGTGAGACATTGTTAATTGAATTAAGGTTATATAAGGGGTACAAATTCTAACCTAAATATATGTGAGTCTTCTTGTGAATTTTTTTCTTTTGTTGACCTTGCAGATTTTTTGCGTGTTTCGTCGAAATAGTTATACTTACGGTGAGATTCATTGGAAGCAAAATTTAGAAGATGAGGAGATAGATTGGTTTACAAGTATGATGTTGTGATCTCTCAAGGAGTATAGCTCTGTACATTTTAAAATCGCTGCGATCACTCTTGCGACCCAAAAAAACAGTTAATAGAATAATAAACACGATAAAAAATTGAGAAACAGTCGCTGCGACTGCGTTTACGGAGGATGTCGGGTGTCGTCGCTATCGCTGGATAAAACCAGCGGCTGTAAAGGTGATCGCTGCGATTAGTTTTGTGACTAGTTTACGTTGTTGGCGATGTTAGTCTCAAAAGACTTGGTGGAAAAGTAAGTGTGGTCGCAATCGCTGCCGCTGCGATTTTAAAACGAACACGCCCTATATGTTAAAGTGAAAATAGAGGCTGATGTTGCAATCAACAACACACAGTCATTTGGCTTTCATGATGCACTCGGCCAATCTAATGATCTTGATGACGTGGGACACAAGAAACAACGGAAATATTCTGAGAGTAAATTGTGGTTGAATAATGATGAAATGTCAATCAAATAAGTAGAATAGAGTTTACAATATCATTTAACCCAAATAAAATAAAATATTATTGATAAATAGTGCAGCATCGCATAATTGGATCATTCAGTTTACATGTAACTAATCTTAAAATTCTATCATAAAAGAAAAATGTCAAAGCAAAACAGATTAATCTAAACTGGTATAACCCGTTTATCACCGGATTCATGGCAGCACTCATAAAAATGTAAACATAAGTAGTAGATTATGACAATCGCGAGAGCAATTGCGACAGCTATAACACCGAAGAAAAGAAAAACGTTCATGCTGTTTCTTCACCACACACAAAAATTGCTAACTTTGTTTTTCGTCTTCCTGTGTTTCTCGGATGCAGACTTACTCTTATATACATATATCTTCAACACAAAAGTTTACATCTTTGTAAATATATCGGTTAAATTTGTAAAATTACATTTTGTTATTAAGAAACATTAAGTAGGACAAATTGGAAATTTTACATTTAGTTATCAAGGAAAAGGTTGCTTTCTGATACATAGATTGTCTATACTTTTGACAAAAAAAAAAGTCTGTCTATAATGGGCCAGGTTTTACGATTTGGGATATGTTAAAATCATTTTATGTCCGATATGAAAATTCATTAAAGCCTTGTTTAACTCTGTTTTGTTAGTTGACAAAAAAAAATGTCTGTTTGTCCATAAAGTTTCATTTCGAAAAGTTGAAAGATATGTGAATTTTGTTAGCGTTTTGCTACAGCTTCATTATGATATCGTTAGCCATACTCCACTGTAATAAAATTTTGAATTCCTTAAGAGAAACAGCCTAAAATTATCTGACAATAACATATACCAAGAGACTTAAGACCACAAGCTAAAAAATACTAGTCTTTAATACGCTAAACATGAGTTAAGGTTATAAAGGATACAAACTGGAACTTTAATATGTATGTGATTCTTTTTGAGACAAAGTCCTTTACTTGGTCCTGCTGATATATTCTCGTGTCTCTTTGAAATACTTTCATAATCAGAGAGATTCATTGGAAGCAAAATTCAGAACATGAAGTGATTGGTATAAGTATGACGTTGTGATCTCTTTACATACACTACTCTGATAATTTTCTTTTTGTTTTTTTCATTATATAACCAAAAAAAAAAAAGAGAAACAATAAAATTTCTACATACTATTTCCAAAATTTCAAGTGTCACTAAAGAAAGAGCAAAATGTAATCTTTGGGGCCATTTTTGTTAACTACTGACTCATACACATCCACTTTATCTAACATGTATTTCTCCACCTGGTTTATATATAAGTTTATAATGAGACATTGCAAGATTAAAAAATAACTCAATATTCAGAGCCACTACTGACTACTATAGCAGAGAGAGAAGAAACGCGAGATGGGATTTTTATAACATAGTGAAGATTGATTATACCTTAGTGGGTGTAGTCTCGTTTAGTGATATAGTTGAGATTTTCTTTGACAGATTCTCTGGCGCCTTGTCTTCCTCCATGATCCCCGAGCGATGCATTCTTTGCTCAAATAAAAGACATATAACATCAGGGACAGTCATACAAATATGTGAGTATAACAAAATCTTCAAGAAGTACCTGACATGAGTGACAATTGATTCAAGAATGGCTCGTCGAGGGTATTTACCACGGTCAAGGACTTATATAGCCTCCTTAATCGTGCTGAGCAGTACCTTCTACACAAAGACGACACAATCGTAAATAGAACATTACCTAATATTTTGTTTGAAAATACCGTGTACCGTACGCCAATGAGTATGGTTTCCATATAAATTACCGATAGCGAACATAGTCACCATGACGCAGACCATGTTGCGCCTTAGAAGATCTCATCAGCTGCACGACTGAAATGCCCAAATGGACAATGTTGCATCAATTCACAAACTTACAAGACTTATATCTGTATTAACTACTAAGGTTAAGCAACTATACATCTTCCAACGCGATAGTAGTAACAAATCGAATTTTCCAAAATGAGGGTGAATTTTTTTTTCTTAGTGTGTCAAACACCTATTTCTATCTTGGTATGAAAATAATTCAAATGAAATTTAATTGTTTTCCAGCATTAATCATCTTAGTTTTTAGTATCACTAGGTCTCGAGTCTTAACGAATTTGCAGCAGAAAATATCATACATCTAATCTTTTCATAAATATTATATATTTCATAATTATATTATTTCAAATATAATATATTTAGTCTCGGCTTTTTGTAAACAAGCAGATGCTCAAACCATTCTTCTACTAATTAATCTTACCACAAATCTGATTAGTCTTCGGATGATCAGCAGGTGTGGAATATAGATAGACACGCGTAAATGAACGATCAATTACAAAAAAAAAGAAAAAAAAAAATCAATTACAGAAAATAAAGAAAAACAGTAAAAGTTAGGGTTAAAGGTGATTCTCGGAAGCACTTTCTAGAACTGTTATGGTTAAAGGTGAATGTGTACAAAACAAAATAACTATTGTGAAAGACACGTGTTTACGACAAACATTTTAATTGTTATAAGTAAACACAGTCGCAAAGTAATGATTAGAAGATGCAATCTTCCAGAACCTTTTTTTACCATGAGTAAAAATGTGCAAATATTACATGACAGGACATTTCAAAATACCCTTTCAAGTATTAAAAACGATGATTATAAGTGAAAGATTCTAGAATAAAGAACAAAGAGTTTTTAAAATATGCGATATTTCAAAGCATTTTCTGAAGATTTTTGAAGACGATTACAATTTAAAACATATAAAAAATTGAAGTGATGAAAAAATGTAGTTTCCTGAAATAATTTATAGTACTGTTACTGTTATAAGTGAAGAAGTACACTATGAAACAAAACAAAAAAGATATTATATTTTGAAATGATAAAATTATCACAATAAGCGAAAATGTAGTTAATATATAGTTATGATTAAGAAACACAAAACTGGTAATATTTTTTAAAAATTATGATTATCATGGTATAGAAACACAAACACTAATCATCTGAGCGTCCAAAACATTTAAACCGTATAT